CATCTCATTTCCCTTACTCTCCGGCAACCACTATTCTCCTGTTTCTATGACTTCAGCTTTTTTTAGGTTCCACATATAAGTGAGGTCATGTAATATTTGTCTGTCTTATTTCACTTAGCATACGTAATACCATCAAGTACTATGCATGTTGTCACAAATGACAGGACTTCCTTCTTTCTTATGGCTGAATAATATCCCATTGTGTGTATGTGTATTTTATACCATATAATGTGTACACACTTGTGTATGTGTGTGTATATATATACACACACACATATGTGTAGATAAATGAATAAAGAAAATGTGTTTGATCCTTTTAATGTACTGTTGAATTTGGTTTGCTAGTATTCTGTTGAAAATTTTTGCATCCACATTCATCAGGCATATAGGACTGTAGTTTTCTTGCAGTGTTTTTACCTGGCTTTGGTATTAGGGTAATGCTAGTTTTGTAAAATGAGTTTAGAAGTGTTCTTTCCTCTTCAATTCTTGGAAAAATTTGAGGAGAATTGTTATTCTTTTTAAATGTATGATAGAATTCACCAGTGAAACCCTCAAGTCTTAGGCTTATCTTTGTTGGGAGGCTTTTGATTACTGATTCAATCTCCTCACTCCTTTTGGTCTGTTTAGATTTTGTTTCTTCACGATTTAGTCTTGGCAGGCTGTATGTTTCCAGGAATTTATCCATTTCTTCTAGGTTGTCCAATATGTTGGCATATAATTGTTCACAGCAGTCTCCCATGATCCTTTGTATTTCTGTGGTGTCAGCTGTAATAATATCTCATTCATTTATACTTTTATTTGACTGCTTTCTTCTGGTTAGTCTAGCTAAAGGTCTATCAATTTTATCTTTTTTAAAATCAACTTTTTCGGGCGCCTGGGTGGCTCAGTTGGTTAAGCGACTGCCTTCGGCTCAGGTCATGATCCTGCAGTCCCGGGATCGAGTCCCACATCGGGCTCCCTGCTCGGCAGGGAGTCTGCTTCTCCCTCTCCCACTCCCCGTTCGTGTTCCCTCTCTCGCTGTGTTTTTCTCTGTCAAATAAATAAATAAAATCTTTAAAAAATAAAAAAAAATAAAAAATAAAATAAAATCAACTTTTTCATTGATTTTTTTACGAATTCTTTCTAGTCTCTATTTTATTAAATTTCTGCTCTAGATTTTATTATTTCCTACCCTCTGTTAATTCTGGGCTTACATTATTCTTCATTTTCTAATTCCTTGAGGTTTAAAGTTAGGATGTTTATTTGAGACCTTTCTTTTCTCTTAATATGTGGGCATTAATTGCTATGAATTTCTGTCTTAGAACTGTTTTTGTTGCATCCCATAAATTTTGGTATATTGTATTTTCTTTTTTTTTGAGATACTTTCTGATTTTCCTTTTGATTTCTTCTTGACCCACTGATTGTTCAGGAATGTATTAATTTCTATGTACTAGTGAATTTTTAAAATTTTCCTTCTATTACTGATTTCTAGTTTCACACCATTGTGGTCAGAGAAAATACCTGATATGATATCAATCTTCTTAAATTTGATAGGTGGCCCAATATATGATCTATCCTGGAGAATGTTCTGTGTGCGCCTGAGAAAAATGTGTATTTGGTGTTGTTGGATGGAATGTTCTGTATATGTCTATTAGGTCCATTTGGTCTATAGTATAATTCAGGCCCTCTGTTTCCTTATTAATTTTGTCTGGATGATCTATCCAGTGTTGAAAAGTGGTATTCTGTGGTCCCCAAGTATTACTGTATTGCTGTCTGTTTCTCCATTTAGGTCAATTAATATTACTTTAAATATTTATTTAGGTGCTTCAATGTTAGGTACATACATATTTACAACTGTTACATCCCTTTGATGAACTGACCCCTTCATTACCATATAGTTACCTTCTCTACCTCTTGTGACCAATTTTGACTGAAAGTATATTTTACCTGGCGTAAGTATAGCCACTCCTGCTCTCTTTTGGTTTCCATTTGCACAGAATATCTTTTACCATCCCTTCACTTTCAGCCTATGCGTGTCATTAAAAAGCTAAAGTGAATCTCTTATAGACACTATACTGTTGGATCTGTTTTTTTTAATCCAACAACCACTCTGTGTCTTTTGACTGGAGAATTTAGTCCTTTTATGCTTAAAGTAATTATTGCTAGGTAAAGAATTACTATGGCCCTTTTGTTAATTGCTTCCTGGGTTTTTGTTTTTTTTTTTTTTTAAGTTCCTTTGTTCCTCTCTTGCGGTCTTCCTTTGTGATTTGCTTTTCTTACTGGTATGCTTTAATTTCTTTCTCTTTATCTTTTGTATATCTATTAAAGGTTTTTTTCTTTGTGGATACCATTAGGCTTACATAAAACATCTTATATACATAATAGTCTATTTTAAGCTGATAACAAATTACCTTCCTCTATGATGCTGTATTTCTAGTGATATAATCTGATGTTAGTGTTCTCAGTAGAAATGAGACATTATCACCGCTGAGTCTAGTTAGTTAAAATCCCAGAAAATTTCTAGTCATTCATCTGCTACTTAAAGGATGCCTCCACTATTCTTGTTACAGAACACATGGAGACCAATAAGACATACAGTCTCTGTCCTCATGGAGGCCAAAGTTTAATGGGAACATTGTCATCAGGTAAACAATTTATGAAATTACAATTGTGATAAGAGCCCTAAAAAGAAGTACTACAGGCTAGGAGCATATATCATGGGGAGACTGGCCAATTCTGAAGTAAACAGAACAGTGCTTTGAGGAAGAGATATAAGCAAAGACTTAAGAATAAGAGTTAAAAACTGAGAGAAAGAGCAAAGTATATGCGAAATTGAAAAGGAGCTAAACATAGCAACTGGAGATCAGTTTGGTTCAATGTTAAGGAAGGGAACAGGGGCTGTGAAAGGAGCCTGGAGGCAAGTGACTGAGACCTTGCAAGTCCTTGGGGAATCAGCTTAAGGAGTTTGCATTTTAAGTGTAATGGGAGGGCTACGTGGTTCAAAGCAGAGAAGCAATAAGAAGGGATTTACAATTTAAAAAGCAATGCTTCCTGTATATGGAAAAGAGATTTAGGTAAAGAAGAATGACCAGCTGAAAGGGAAGCCATGGCTATAGTCCACAGAGGGGATGACGGCACGATAGGCAAATTTGGAGCCAGTGGTGATAAAGAGATTCAAGATACATTTATGGCATGATGACAAACTTTATGTGGCAGATAAGGAGGAGGAAAGCGTTAACCCTGAAGCTTTTTGCATGAAAAATGAAAAATGGACTGAATGATAATGCCATTTTACCAACAGTAAATACTTTCTTATATAATAAGGGTTGTCAAACTGGGCTTCCCCATCCTGAATTTGGATAATTAAGGTTTTAAACTTATTGCAAGACTTTTATATTCATCCTTGTCAAATTTTTTTTTTTTTTTTTTTTTTGGCTCATACTTCCAGTCAGTTCAGAATATTTAAAATTCTTTGGTCTAACACCCAAAATCTCCTTATTAACTCCTCTCAGCTTTCTATCACACAGAAAATTTGGGAAGTCACACTTTGTAATCACTTATGAAGTTGTTACTGAAGATGCCCGCAGGTTGGCACTGACTTATCAAACAACTGAGGCCTATAGCTAACGCCAGCAATTACACTAAACACTTAGAATGTGCCTAGCGCTTAATGTTCATTATTTAATTTGGTTTTCATGATATTGTTTCCATCCTCAAATACTCACTGAGCCCTTTTATGTGTAGGAAACTGCCCATTTTAGAGAGAAGGAAACTCAGGCCCAGAGGTGAAGTTAATTGGTTTTACATTACACCGTTAGTGAAGGGCAGAGTTATAACGTGCACTCCTGCTCAGAGGCTCTCAAACACATGCTGTTAAATTCTGAGGTTTCATTTGTATCCTTGTATTAAATTTTATTACTTCCTTTTTCTTATCCCCAAGTCCAGCTCTAAGGTATGAGAATACACACACACACATACACACGCACAGGCCATAAGGAATTTTTCCAGACAAGCTTCTCTATTACCTTTATCAAAGAACTTCTCAGTATTATCTGTACTACATTTTCTAATTTCTACATGTTCTTCATGGTATCATGTTTTTAGGTTGAGGGCTTTTTTTCCCCTCCTTCTGCCATCATAGAGTTCAGCTTCTTGATCAGATAATGTAATTCTTCTCTATCCCCTCTTTCATAGAGTCAGCATTATTATGTATTCCTGTTCAAATTCTAATATCCTTATTAGGTTAGAAACCAGTTTTCATTGTTAAATGGTAGAGGTCAAAGAAATCAAGATTTTATACAGGTGAGATTTGTTGTTTACATTTTAAGAAACATTGCTGTATTTCATAAATACTTCTTATAAAATGGGATGACTGAATTTCACAATATTCTATTTGGGCTCAAATAACAGTAACCTGGTTTGTCAGGTTGGTAATTTAAGAAAATGAATGCAGATAAAGTAAATAAGATGCTGAACTAATAGAACTCTTCCTGTCCCCATTTCCAATGAAATATTCTCAGAAGAATGTTCTGGTTAAGAAAAAAGGAGCAAGTACAAAATTAATTGAGAATATATTTTGCTCTTACAATGCATTTTGGTTTTATCAATAAGTTAATTACGTTTCCAAAGTGCAACAACTGCCTTCCACGAGGTATATGAAAAATTCTCTATCAATATCAAATCATGATAAAATTTTTCAGTTTAGAGAAAGGATAAGTTGTTTCACAGGGCTTATTAGTGCAAGAAAAATATACAGCCAAGAAAACACTACCAAAGATTTAACTGGCTATAGTGGTTGTCATTTTCAAATTCGAGAACATGACAGGAGTTTACTGAGAGTAAAGTCTCAGTGTTCTGCTTCTAACACAATGTGGGGTTTTCAAAAGCTGTGTTTATGAAGTTTAAACAATAACAAAACAGCTACATCTACTTAGTATTCTCACTAAAAGCAAAATATGCTTCTTCAAATATCAAAAATAAACGTTTCCTAAGCAATAATATACCTAGGAAACCTCACTCACCCTTAAGTTTCTGGAGGTCCTCCTTCAAATCAGGTCCTGCAAGCATGAAGATACTCTCTGACACAGGGTTCTTATCTGTAAGATTTTCATTGCTGGTATTCACAATGGCTGTACAGTTCAGTAATGCCACATCTCCTTTCCTGAGGAAATGATAAACAAATGAACAAGTGGGGAAGAGGAGGGAGATAAGAAAGCTAACTGCTAATTCTTTCAAAATATTCTATCCTCACTCCCCTTACAACGTTGGTTTGGTAGCTCACAAGCTTAAGCAACAGTAGAAAAGTAGTTCTGGACTCAGGAAGACTAATCTGGCATCTTAGAACTTCAGTGCAAATGCTACAACCCTGAAACCCACAGAACCCTCACGTTACTCCTTTGCTTCTGCATTTCTCTTTCACTGTAATAGAATGCTTATATAGCTAAAAGTGGTTGCTTTCAAGAGTTTACCACAGCAGCATTATTTATGATAGCCAGAAAGTGTCAACTACCCAAATGTCTATCAACTAATGAATTGATAAAGTGATAAATGTGATAGGTATATCCATACAATGGAATATTACTTGGCCATAGAAAGGAATGAAGTACTGATTCACACTCCAACATGGATGAACCTTCAAAATGTTACACTAAGTCAAAATTGATTCCATTTACATGAAATGTCCAGAATATACAAATCTATACACAGAGAAAGTAGATTAGTGGTTGGCTACAGCTGAGAGATGGGTGAAATGGGGAATGACTGCTAGTGGGAACAGGACTTTGGGGTGATGAAAATGTTCTAAAATTGACTGTGGCGATGGTCATACAACTTCATAAATATACGAAAAATTATGGACTTATACAATTTAAACAGGTGAATTGTGTGATATATGAATTATACCTCAATAAAGCTTTTTTTTTTTAAAGGTATTACTACTAATAGTAATATCTTGATTGTGGTGATCAAAGTGAGAGAGCAGGTTCATGGATACATACATGTCAAAATTCACCAAACTGTACACTTTAAAAATGTGCAGTTTATTGTTATGTCAACAATACCTCAATAAAACGTAAGTATAAGCAAAATAATATATCAACAATGCTAGGGCTTACAAAGAAGAGTTTTGAAGAAATTATGGGAAAAAAAAGTTTAGAAGAAATTATCAGAGTGTTATTACATCATGATATGATTTAATCAAAGAATTACCAAAGAACCACTTTCCCATTGATATTCTTATTGTAAAGAAAAGGTGATCTAATAGTGTTTTCCTGAAACGTTTCAGCTGCAGTATCAGAAGTATCTAATTCATCTTCCCATGAGTCGCCCCAGCTTCGTAGTGTATCCACATCCACAAACTGGGAAGGTGCACCCAAGGGATCCATGGAATGGGAACTTCAGCTTGTCTTTCCCCAAATTCCTCAGCAATTCAATATTCACGGCAGACTTTAGCTTAAAAGAAAAGAAAGAACTGTTTTAATAGAGAAGTACAGATACTATTTTACGTCTTAGATCAAAAAAACAAATCTCTACTGTGAAATGCTCTAATAGGACATTGTATGATTAGTCACTTAAAATACTCCATAAAAACCAATATGTAACAAAGAATTGCAGTAGCTTCTCTAAAACAGGAAGAAAGGGAGATTATTTCAGCACAAATTCTTTTCAAAGAATCACAGCCATTAAAATAACCACATGGCCCACCAGTTCTACTTCCCATAAACACAGGACAATTCATTCAACATTCACTGAATGTCTGCTATTGGGGGAGGGGAGCTTGCTAGGTGCTGCAACAGATATAAAGATAAATAATATGGACAATTTAAAGAGTTCAATCAAAAAAAGTAAAGAGTTCAGTCAAATAATAATACGGAGATAAGATCTTACTCAATGATAACTGAAAAGACAAAATGAGAAGCAGGGAGGTTCCTGCAATCAAGTAGTAAGAGACAATAAAAGTTTAAATTTAGTGGGAGAAGCCGATGGAGAAGAAGGCATGGATTTGAGAGGCAACATATAAAGGGAGAATTAACAGGATTAGACAATTTATAAGATGTGGCATGAGACACTGATGTAGTAGGATATTGGCTGTACGGAAATACAGAAATTAGAAGAGGAGGGTGATAGGAAGACACACAGTATCAAGTATTACAAAGAGAAGTAAGGATATTTAATTTGCCAAGAAGTCAGATAGCTGTTTCAGTAAAATGTAGATTCATTCATTCACAAATCTTTGTAAGCATCTATTATGTGTCAGGTACTGTTCTAGGCACTGGGGATACACTGGTGAATAAGACAGAGCAAGTCCGTGCACTTACTGAGCTAATGTTTCCTGGAGAGGAGATGATAAACAATAACCAAACAAGCAAGCAGGTATCCAACAGAATGACTGGAAGCAGTAAGTATTATGAGAAAAAAGGTGCTATTTGAGTAGAGAGCTAAACAAAGTGAGAGATCAGGCCATATGAAGCCCTGCAGAGTGTTTCAGACAGAGGAAATAGTAAGAGAAAAGGCCCAAAGGGCAGGAAGGAGCTTGGTGTATCCCAGGAAGGGCGAGGAAACTGATCTGGATAGAACAGAATAAGCTTAGGTAATGAGTGGTAGGTGATGAGGTTGATGGGAGAGGGAAAGGCTGGATGATGCAGTGTGTAAGCCCTGATAAGAAGGTTTGGTCTTATTGTAAATATGGGGGGAAGCTGTTACAGGATCTTGATAGGGGGAATGACTTAATATAAATAACACTTGGTCAGATTACTCTAGCTACAGTGAAATCCAGTAGGGGTGAGAGTACAACCAGAGATGTGCAGAAAATGACTGTAGATTTAGGTGAGACGGTGACGAAGGTGAGGAGAAATGGTTGGATTTGGAATGTATTTTGAAGGTAGAGTCAACAAGACTTGCTAAATGAATATGAATGGTGAGGGAAAAGAACAGAATCAAAGGTAAGGTAACTCCTAGATTTCTTGCTTGAGCAACTGAGTAGATGCTAATTCTATTTACAGGGAAGGGGGAGGCTGGAGTAGGCTGTGCGGCACAGTGACAATCAAGGTCATTCTTCCTCCTGTGTTTTTGCATGTGTGAAGTTTGAGATGCCCCTCATTTGGCCAAGTATTGATGTCAGACATGCAATTGGCTATATGAGGCTAGAGCTCAGAGGAGAGGTCGGGCCACACACATAAATATGGAAGACTCAGCCTTTGGGTGGTATTTAAGGCTACGGGAACTGGATATGATTACCAAGAGACACAATGCAAGTGGAGAAAAGAGACTGGAGGGCTGAGTCCTAAGGCAAAACTTACAGGCTGGAAAAGAGGACAAGTCAAAAAAAAATGAGCTAAAGAGGACTGATAAGACAGGAAGTAACACCAGGAAAGTATGGCAGCCTAAAAGCAAAGTGAAGAAAGTATTTTGAGCAGTGCTTGAGAAGGATCAGTAAATGCTACTGAAATGTTGAGTAACAGGACTGTCGATTGATCAGTGTGGGTTTGCTAAGGTAGAGATCATCACCGGTAACACCGAGCAGACAGATGATCAGGAATGAAAGCTGGCATGTGAACTTCCTGTTAAGAGAAGTTTTTCTGTGTGATCCTGTCTGTTGTTAGAGGCAAGGAGAACAAATACACCTTTCTACATCTAATTCCTTGGTGTTTCTTGCTGAGAAATGTGAGATACTAAGTGGAATGAACCATGGATCAGGCACAATATGTTAATTCCTGCACCAGCAACCGTGCAGCAGGAAATGTGATCATTTATTTAACAATTTCTGAAAGGCCTTAGAAATTATACCATGATAAAACTGTATAAGTGGATTATTCTTATTTGATACAAAAAAACTCTTTTGAAATTATTTTGAAATAAAGAAACTAATTTTATCTAGAAGTTGGTGTTTAGTCCATCCAATTGGCCTTTGAAACTAGAGGCAACCACGAGATCTGTTGATTTGTTAAAAAGTATTCAAACCTGAGCTGGACAAGCTGAATAGAGGACAGATAGAGACTACATTCATTTTTCATGGCTAAACTGCCTGAAGCTCAATGGAATGACACTTCACAGAAATTCATACTTTAAAAAATTATTCACAGATTTTTGAGGACAATGACTCATGCTAAAACTTTAAAAAAATATATTTTATTTATTTATTTGAGAGAGAGAGAGCATGAGAGACAGAGCACGAGCAGGGGGGAAGGGCAGAGGGAGAAGGAGAAACAGATTCCTGCTGAGGAGGGAGCCCGATGCGGAACTCAATCCCAGCACCCTGGGATCATGACCTGAGCCGAAGGCAGACGCTTAAACAACTGAGCCACCCAGGCACCCCATGTTAAAACTTTTTAACTATAATATAAAAAATTCCATTAAACATTAAATTTTGTTTTCATTTTGCAAACTCAAGTGCTAACTTTCAGGACAAAATTACTTTTTTAAATAACTTTTCTAAGTAATACTCACAGGACATTTAAGAAAAAAAAGTTAAGAAAGGAAAAACTCCCAAATTTTAATAGAGTTCCTATCTTTTTTCTATGATAGGTGAAATCATACTGTAGGTACAATTTTGAATCCGGCTTCTTTAGTATTTTGAGATAAATATTTCCACATGCAATTATACTGTGGGAGAGAGGAAGGGTGGTGCAATGTGAGAGCTGGGGTTCTGTTATCAGCAGGCCTAAGTTTAGGTCTAGGACCTAAAAGCTAGGTTATCCTTGACTATAAGCCAGGGTTTCCTTATTTCAAAAATAAGAATAATACACTCCTAGGGTTATTGTGAGGATTAAGTGATATAATCTGGCACAAAGCAAAACACAATAAAAGTTGTTATAGCTTTCTCAGAGCCAATGTGGAAGTCACCTACACCGCTGTTGAGATAAAGGTATGTCTCCGTGTATGACAGAGACTAGAACACTTGCTGTCAAAGACTCTAATGAGCACCAAAAACCAAACACAAATTGCTGAATTAAGATACAGTTATTTATCTCAATGTCTGCCCTTGAAATGACTTGTTAATCCCTAATACCTAGATCAATCCAACATCTGTTTTCTCTAATTCTGCTCTTATGCGACTAGGGAAAAAAAAAAACCAATCAGTAATTATCCTGTCTGCTGCCAAGACAAATGCATGTTTTTCAATGTCAGCTGGGCCCTCCATCAACACCATTAGGAAACTGTTTTAAGAATTCTTGGGTGACTCTCTATGCTATACATATAGCATCTGTGGTTAACATCCTCCAAGATGTCCTTCAATGATACCTGCTTCCTGATATCTATGCCCCTGTATAGCTGCCTCCTACAGAGAATAGGGCTGACCCATGTAACCAACAGGATACCGCAGAAATGACAGTATATGACTTCCAAGGATGAGTCATAAAAGATATTGTGCTCTTTCTTGGAGTGCTTGCTCTGGGGAAATTAGCTCACATGATGTGGGACACTCAAGCAGCCCATGAGAGGTCCCCATGGGAAGAACCTGAGGGTTCCTGCCAACAACCAGCATCAATGCCCAGGCAGGTGAAGGAATCACCTTGGATCTTCTAGCCTTAGTTGGGCTTCAAATGACTTCAGCCCAGCTGATATCCTGACTGCAACCTCATGAGAAACCCTCATGAGCCAGAACCACAAAACTAAGCTGCTACCGAATTCCTGACCCATAGAAATTGCAAGATAATAAATGCTTATTTGTTCCACGCATTCATTTATTCAAGCATTATTAGGTACGGAGACTCTAATGGAAGAAACAGACTCATAAAAATCACACAAATATACATAATCACAGAAATAAATACATAGTTAAAATCTGTGAGAAGTGTTCTGTAAAGAAGAACAAGGTGGAAAGTTAATTTAGATTTGGAGAAGCAGAGAATGTCTCTTCCACAAAGTGACAGTTAAGACCAAAAGTAGAAGAGTTTTACAGAGGTAAGAGCACATCTGGGAGCCACACTTTAAACCTGCCAAACTGCCTTCATTTACGCATTTTACTCCACTTCACCAGCTCTCTTATAAGAGAATGTTGTAACTCTCCCTTCACTATATCTACTCTCTCCTTCCCCTTGGTTCTCTTATTCTCAAAAAACTCTCCTACCCCATTTCTTCTTCAGACACCAATGAAAACTCCTCATTCCACCATTTAACATTAAAGCATAATTTGTTTTGCAGCTCTATTTCCTTTTCTCCCATTTATTCAACCTACTGCAGTTTTGCTTCCATCTCTGTTAACAATGCTGAAACTGCTCTTTCAATGTCTAGCAATGATTGACCAAATGTCCAAATGTCAAATCCAGGAACTAATCAAATTTTAGTTGCATTAACTACTGATCATTCTTTCTCTGAAATTCTATTATCTTCTTTGACAGTACACTACTGGTGGTTCTCCTGTATCTCTAATCACATCTTGTCTGCATAATTTGTGGGCCCTTCTTCCCAGATCTTAAAAGTCATTGTGACCCATAAGATATTGGGTACTTAATGAGTAATAAATACAGTTCAGGGCTCTCGAAGTTTAATGGCATTATATAGAAAGTGTCATGACATTTAATAAAGGGAAAATTCTTTTTCAGCTCCATCTATAAGCTGAAATTGATTCTTCTCACCAAAAAGAGATTTAAATCTCCCCTCGTCTCCAACACAGCAAAGCCAAGCTAGGCAGGAAAATTTGATCTCTGATGCTTAAGGTATAGTGGTTCTTAACATTCTTGGGGTCACAGACCCTTTGAGAATCACCTAAGAGGTCAGGACCTTTTTACCATCCAAAATGTGAGCACATGATGAGCTCATACAAGCAGAGTTACAAATAAATTTGAGAAGGTTCCCAGACTCAGATTAAGAATCCCAATGATAGAAAGAAGACAGAGTGCTCAGGTGAGGGAGGGGGGAAAAGCTACAGTAATCTATAGCTAAAGCAAGACTTTCCACTGAATATCAGTTAATCAGTTCTGTACTTTGAACAGGTTCAAAAGCAAACACTAAACCTTAGTATTAAAGGCTCCTGAGACAAGACATCTATGTCCAAGATCAAAAAATCTACATGAGACAATCAGAAGATTCCAGAATAGATCATATCTATTTCCTTAGCCATACTATGTTAAGGGTTACCTTCAGTATCTTCATGATTGAAGACCTAAAGACAAAAAGAACTCTCTATATATCCTTTATAATCCAAACCCGTAATGAGTATAAACCATTCTCATTACCCTGCGGCTTGTCTTTTTTCTCAAATATTGTAAACATTTAGGTTAAGTACTCATTTTTTTTTTTTTTTTTAAACAAATCTCTCAGTCTTTTAGTTTAAGAAGTCCTCTAGGGGTGCCTGCGTGGCTCAGTCGTTAAGCGTCTGCCTTCAGCTCAGGTCATGATCCCAGCGTCCTGGAATCTAGCCCCGCATAGGGCTCCCTGCTCAGCAGAGAGCCTGCTTCTCCCTCTCCCACTCCCCCTGCTGGTGTTCCCTCTCTCATTGTGTCTCTGTCAAATAAATAAAATCTTTAAAAAAATAAAAAATAAAAAAAGAAGTCCTCTAAATAATTCTTTATATGAATAATTGGATTGGCTAGAGAGGTTAGATTTTTATTGTTCAAGACTAAGCAGAGTCAGACAGAATACCCTGGATCACGGTCTCAGTATAACCTGGTTTTTGTTTGGATAAAAAGAAAATGGTATCATTTAATAGAAAAGCAGGAACTTTAAATCTGTTTGCTTGTTCTTCAAAATGCTTACATTGGTTAGACAGGCCTGGATAAAAGTATAAAGAGATAAATTACAGGTTTACCATTCTTTATGCCGTGTATTTCAATATTTAAAACTTCAGGGCACATTAGATATTTATGTATAATACTCCATCCCAACATCAAATCTATTATAATATTTAAAAATCATCCTATGCAAATGGAAATAACCTTTTTTAAAGTTACTTAGGTGGAAAAAACAAATTGAAGCAGCTAGATATGTCAACAATAAATACAGTAAAACAAAAATATTTCTAAGCAATATCAATGGTCTAGGTCAAATTTAACACGGTCATTCAAGAACATCCAGAGCACAGGCCCCAATGGTGAGTCTGTAGTACCACCTTCATATTAAAAGAAGTTTACTACGTCTTAATTATAAGTATTAATAAATTGAACAATTTGAAACTTAAATTAGAAATTAGGGTTATACTTTTTAAAAACTGTATGATTTGGGAATTTTATAAGATGCATTATCTTGGTACATAGGTGCTCTTACACCAACTCTTATTAAAATTATTTTTTCCATTTGTGATTGTCCCTTCCCATAATATTTCATAACATTAAAAGGAATTTTTTTAAGTAAAATCATGACTCATTCAAATATAAAAACAAAAATGTGTTCAACATTTTATTTAACTCAGAGAGAACCCGTCAGGTGACAGATAAAAGGAATCCCAAAATTGAACACATTAATAGATCAGAAATACTGAAATGAATGTACAAGAAGGCAACTTCCACTGAATCTCTAAGAGGACAGAATCTGCACATCTATAGACAAAAAATATTTAGTACTGACATTAGTTATCTATAGTTCACAGAGTTGTAAAATTGCTTTCTTGGAACAGCTTTCTAGATAGAATCTAGATTATGCAGTTTTCTACTGAAGCACACGTTTTTTCCCTATATTTATATAATGCACATCTCCTATGGGAGATATTAACCATACACACCCACCTAAACGCTCCCTTCCTCAGGAAACTTACTGAAACAATAGTCTGTTGCCACAATTTCCTCCCTTCCCATTCATCCAACCCACAGTAATCTTGTTTCAAAACACCTACATCTACCTACAGTCTCATCATATCCATTCGCTACTACTGCAATTTTCTTGACTATGGAAGACTGGCTGCACGTCTTAAGAACTCAAGAAACGAGAAAAAAAAGAAAAGAAAAACTCAAGAAACGTCTGAAAATAACGAGATAATTTAGATAAAAGTCTAATTTCTAGGTTGGCTGCAGATATCTTGCTCAATAATTGAAGGCAGAGGCTTATTTCTTTTGTACAGCTATATGTTAGCTTTAATTTTCCACAACTACAGACATCGGAACTCATTTTTGAACATTTCTATGCAGCCCAAGAATAGAAGCGGACAGAGCTGCAAGAGAGAAAAGCTAATTTCTACCTGGTGACAGAGCACCCAAACCTCAATTACCAAGGAAGGAGGAGTCAGCCCTGGTCACTTCCCCCTCAAGTGGCCAGGGAGCGGAAACACAAAGCCAGACCAATGTCACTCCAGGGACTGCGGGGATCCAGACGACTCAGCATCTTGGGCTTAGCGCCTTACCCAGCCCTGACTCGAGCTGCTCTCAGTTTGTGGCACGGCGGGTCCACACGCGCGGCAACATAAACTCAACCCTGGGACTGTAACCCGCAAAGGTCCCAGCCGCCCTATCCCGCCTGCATCAGGGCGCGTGCCTTCCTAGTGACTACAGCACCACTGTCCCTGGTGCCCAGGTCCGCCTACCCTCTCTCTTCTCTTCGATAAGTCGTCCCCGATAGCGCCGCGGGCCAGAGGAGCCCGACTAACCTCTGGGGAAGAAGCGGCAGGCTCATTCTTCCAGAGAGCGGACAGCACTAACCCTCTCTGTCCGCACCCTCAGTCCGGGCCGAGTCCGAGAGCCTCCCGCCGCGCCCCCACCCCGCTCCACCCCGCCTTCCCTCCCGGCCCCGGTCCCAGTCCCACTTCTTACAGCACTCCGGCGGTCCCATCCGGGCGGCAGCAGGGCGGGTTAAGCTCCTCGTAGAAAGCGTCAGAGCGGCATCCCCGGACACCCCTGGCCAGGAGCTCGACGGTCAGGCGAGTCAAAGTCCCAGGAGCCTGGAGCAACCAGCTGCAAGAGCTTTGAGTGGCGAAACACTGACTTCCGCTACCGGCGGGTCCTCACCAACCAGAGACCGCCTACGTCACTTCCTCCTCGAAGGCAAAAGGAACGCCGGGCGGAAGTGGGTCCCGACGCGGACCCGGAAGGGGTTCGTCCCGGGGGCGGGTCCAGGAGGCTCGGAACCTCGTGGAGGCCGAGGTAAGGGCTGTAGGAGCACGGCGTTCGATCGCCTTTGCTTGCGGCTCAGAGTTAGTGGCGTAGTCCTGGCTGAGGCCCCCGTGGCGCCAGCAGCAGAGGAGGCGGGGGCATTTGCGGCCGGTTGCTAGGGTGGCGACTGGGAACCTACCGTCCCCCGTGGCCGCCCGCAAACGCCGGGGGCTGGTGCGTGCACCGTGTCTCCCGAGGATGCTCAGGCAGCATGATCGGTGCGCGGAGCACCCCCTCACTCTGTCCTGACTGAAGACTCGGGTTAGGGACGTCTGACAGGTCTGTTACTACGCCCCAGCCCCTCAGTGCATCATAGATAACAACATGTTCTCGGGCTCCGTAGGTATTGGAAGCAGGGATGGTAGGTCGCGGAAGAAGGTAAGGTCGTGACCTCTCTCCAAAAGGCGTTCAGATCTGTGCACGTGAGACACAAATGACTAGTGCCAAGTTGTATGGAAGATACCTTAAATATTGAGGCAATAGAAAAGGCTGCGAGAATGGTCTAGCCTCGCAGGAAGTGGGCCTCAGAGGATAACACCGATTTAATAAAATAGGTTGACATGACAGTGCACGTTATTGTAGGTGAAAGGAACAATATGAAGAAAGCAAGGTGGCAGAACAAAGGAAGGAAACCAACGAACCTGACAAGAACCCAGTGATAAAGAGCTGGAACAGAAAGTGGAAAGAGAGAAAAGAATCCTACTTCAGAAAACGGATGAATTAGGTGGAAGTTTCTGACAAAAGAGAGGACAGAGGCAAAGAAGCAGTTTAGCTTAGTGGTTAAAAGAAGAAATTTTGGAATTTGACTGTATTGGAACCTGGCTTTGGCACTTAAAACTGGGTATATGATTTTGGGCTAGTTATTGCACATCTCTTTGCTTAGTTTTCTTGTCTGTAAAATGGAGGTAAGAAAAGCGCCTACTTTGTAAGGTTATTGTGAAGAATTTTTTTTTTATTTTTTTTTAAAGATTTTATTTATTTATTCATGAGAGACAGAGAGAGAGAGGCAGAGGGAGAAGCAGGCTCCCAAGGAGCAGAGAGCCTGATGCAGGACTCGATCCCAGGACCCTGGGATCATGACCTGAGCCGAAGGCAGACGCCCAACCATCTGAGCCACCCAGGCGCCCTATTGTGAAGAATTTTTTATCCTTATATTTACAATATTCTAGATGCTTTTCACTTTTTTAATTTATTTTTAAAGATTTTATTTATTTATTTTGACACACAGAGAGAGAGAGACAGCGAGAGAGCGAGCACAAGCAGGGGGAGTGGCAGGCAGATGGAGAAGCAGGCTTCCCGCTGAGCAGGGAGCCCGATGTGGGACTCAATCCCAGGACCCTGGGATCATGACCTGAGCCGAAGACAGATGCTTTATGACTGAGCCACCCAGGTGCCCCTCTAGATGCTTTTTAAAAAATATTTATTTTAGAGCATGAGCAGGGGGAGGGGCAGAGGGAGAGAATTTCAAGCAGACTCCCCGCTGCGCACAGAGCCTGCTTTGGGGCTCAATCTGATGACGCTGAGATCATGACCCCAATGGTAATAAGAGTCCGGGGCTCAATGGACTGAGCCACCCAGGCGCCCCTAGATGCTTCTCTTAAGTGCTTTGCACATGTTAACCCTTTTAGTTAACTCAGTTGCTATTTGTAATTAAACAACTGCATACGTTTACTCAGGTGTATACATTGAATAAGTTGCCATATAGTAAGTGCTCTGTAAGTCTTGGCTCCTCTAATAATATTTTTTATTAATGAGCCAAAGTTTGCTACAAGGCTTATGAGCCTGAATGGCAAAGGGGATTGTGTATCTTAGAATAAGAAAAAAAATGAGGGGTTCAGGAAGCGAGGTAGGTTCGGTTTTACCCATGTTCGATATGATGCTGCAAGGTATTTGAATGGGTATCTCATGAAAGTTTTTGGAACTCTTATCATTGGTATTCACGTACATGAACAGGACGGAAATAGAGATGTAGGTGTCCCTAGGCCTAGGTATGCAATATGAAGTCTCCAAGGAAAATACTGTGGAAAGAATTGATAGATGGCCAAAGACTATCAAGAGGAGCAACTATAGTTAATGGGCTGGAGGAGTAAGGAATAGGGAAGAGTTGATGAAATGGCCTAGGCTAACAGCGTTATCACCATGTTAATATTCTTTCCTTGATTTTTAACTGGCTTTTGTTGGTTCTTAGGTGAGGAAAAATGAATGGTTACTAAAAGAAAATATTAAAGAGATTAGGCATTGAATATTTGTTTGTTAAGATAGGCTAAAACCAAGTGTAATCAGAAATGGACCCTGTAGAATTAAACCAAAAGTAAAAACCAACAACAAAAATCAGCTTCCCAAAAAAAGGGTGTATTTGCTGTCTCGTATTGTGTCTTTTTTAAGTTGCATGGGTGTTTGGGGCACTTTTCACTCTTCCATATCAAGACCAGACTGGCTTGACTTAGTATCTCCTTCACTTGTTGTCTCTTTTATCTATAAACATGTTTTCAGTGAATTTGATTTAGAGGAGAACTAAGGCATCTTTCAAAAATAATTTGCCATGTTGCTGTATCACGTTTCTGTGCCAAGGGTAGGTGGCTGACCTGATTTGGAAATCAAAGAAGGACATACATGTACTAGAACAGTAGTTCTCCCAAGTGAGGAACCACACAACCACAGCATCACTTGGGAACTTCTTAGAAAGAAAAATCTTGGGTCCCATCTCATACCTACTGAATCAGAATAGGCACTGTGGAGCTTTGGTGGACGTGGTTCCCGGCAATCTGTTTTCATAAGCCCTCGGGTGATTCGGATACATACTAGAGTTTGAGAATCACTGCTGGATGTGTGCCACGAGGTTGGGGATTTTATTTTACTCAACACTCTAGTGTCTAAAACGGCGCTTGTCTGGGTAGTAGGATTACAGTAATTGTTCACTGTAAATATTTTCCGACTCAATCTTTTCAATCTCCGTGTAAAAATTTGATGGTGGTTAAATGAACAGTAGTGAATTATTTAGCTGCACTAAGGCCATATGTCAGTTACTTGTGAGGCGGGCACGACAAGGTGACCAATTTGAAACTTGAGGAATGAGGGCTTACATGTTGAGTCAATAGCAAATACAAAATGATGATGTCAGGTATTTATGTCAATGCTTTACTCAGAGTAAACAAAGGTTAAGAAGTCACAAGTTATAAGTTTTTGTTTTTGTTTTTTTTAAAGATTTTATTTATTTATTTGACGAGAGAGAGACAGCGAGAGCAGGAACACAAGCAGGGGCAGTGGGAGAGGGAGAAGCAGGCTTCCCGCAGAGCAGGGAGCCCAATGCGGGGCTCGATCCCAGGACCCTGAGATCATGACCTGAGCCCAAGGCAGACGCTTAACGACTGAGCCACCCAGGCGCCCCTTTTTTTTTTTTAAAGATTTTTTATTTATTTATTCATGAGAGACAGAGAGAGAGAGAGAGACAGAGGCAGAGGGAGAAGCAGGCTCCCCGATGAGCAGGGAGCCCAATGTGGGGCTCGATCCCGGGACCCTGGGATCATGACCTGAGCCCAAGGCAGATGCTTAACGACTGAGCCACCCAGGCGCCCCTTTTATTTAATTTTTTATTTATTTTTATTTATTTTTATTTTTAAAGATTTTTTTTATTTATTTGACAGAGAGAGACATAGCGAGAGCAGGAACACAAGCAGGGGTAGTGGGAGAGGGAGAAGCAGGCTTCCCGCCGAGCAGGGAGCCTGATGTGGGACTCGATCCCAGGACCCCGCGATCATGACCTGAGCCGAAGGCAGACGCTTAACGACCGAGCCACCCAGGCGCCCCTTTTATTTAATTTTTTATTTAATTTTTTTTAAAGATTTTATTTATTTATTTGACGAGAGAGAGACAGCGAGAGCAAGAACACAAGCAGGGGGAGTGGGAGAGGGACCAAGCAGGGAGCCCAATGTGGGGCTCGATCCCAGGACCCCGGGATCACGACCTGAGCGGAAGGCAGACACTTAACGACTGAGCCACCCAGGCGCCCCAAAAGTCACAAGTTTTAATCACATGATACACGGTGGTGTTTGCTAGACTAGCAGAAGCAAGGTACCCAAGGAGCTGACTTTTCTTTGTGTGTGTGTACAGCTGCCTCACTCGCAGTTTCAGACGTTCTAACATGGGGCTTACGAAGCAGTACCTACGCTATGTTGCCAGTGCGGTCTTTGGCCTCATTGGCAGCCAAAAAGGTAATATTGTCTTTGTGACCCTTCGTGGTGAAAAAGGACGCTACGTGGCGGTACCGGCCTGTGAACATGTTTTCGTCTGGGACTTAAGGAAAGGAGAGAAGGTAAGCCAGAGATCAACTAGGTTGGTAACGGATTTATAGGTATTTGAGGATGGAGAGGCAGAGTGGGAGAGCTCTGATTTATTATGCACAGATTTTTTTTTAACGTATGTGCCCCTGAAAGAGAAATCTTTCTTCGTTGGGTCTAGGTAGCCAAGTATCAGGTTCTGTTGTGTTTTTCTGCACTAAATTCTGAAAACCACGACCAAATAGGAGCTTACTTCTTAGGTATCCATTTGTAGTATTTACGAGTAATTATTTGTAATCGCAATTCTGACATGTTTGGTTTTCTCTACCAGTTCTTTATTTTTCAAGTTCCTCTAGTTGCCCTCACAACCAGTTATAAAATATTAGGCGTTTAAAAGGACTAATACTTAGCTGTGTTGGCAGAACCTTTTTTTTACTGATACAGAGGAGGCCCAAGTTTGTTAAGCTAGGCTTTGATATTTTTGTGTCACTGAGTTCCCTAAGCCTACCATTTCTACCACACCAAATACAGGTATTTTGATCTTGCCCAGTCACTGTGTGACTCCCAGGAGGTTAATACTTTGATACTTGTTGCTAGCCAGTTTCTTGGGGATAAACCATGTAGCACCCTAGTGCCCTACCGGTTGGTTTCTCTCAAGATGGGGTTCAGTTAAAGCAAGGATGCGTTTATAACCCTTTATGGAATATCATTTGGTGTTAACTTAGGATAAGGACTTAGTAATTTATTGCTTGGGAAATTTTTGTGCATACTCTGCTAATGTAGAGCTTTGGAGAAAATAATTTTAACCCTTCTTGAATGTTTCATTGCCCTGTACAAATAATAATTCCTATATGAAAGAACTTGAGATGGATTGCAGAATTTCATTATTATTCATAAGAATGATTTAGAATTATTGATGCTCTTAATTTTACTGTCCCCAATTATTCCCAGACATTTCCTTTGACGACGTGCTTAACTCTACCTGTACATTGTTTATGATTCCTGTGATTTCAGATCCTCATCCTTCAGGGGCTTAAACAAGAAGTCACTTGCTTATGTCCCTCCCCAGATGGGCTACACTTAGCTGTTGGTTATGAGGATGGGTCTATCCGAATCTTCAGTCTCCTAAGTGGAGAAGGAAATGTGACCTTCAATGGACACAAAGCAGCCATCACTTCCTTGAAGTATGATCAGCTAGGGGGCAGGCTGGCTTCCGGGTCCAAGGTAAGACCTTGAATCAGGTACCCAGATTTTAATCTAGTGAACGAGTGTAAGGCTTATGCTGAAGCAGGTTGTTCGCATAAACTGTTGGGTGAAACAGTGGGTCTTCGATGTACAAAATAGTATAGGTGGTGGAAATGGAGGAAAGAAGGATGAATGTGAATTGGGAGGTTCATTTTGTTGCCTGTCACATTCTCTAATAAAAGCCTATTAAGTATAGGAACAAGATGAGGATGCCTCTGATAAATATTATATAACATCATTATGGAAGTGCCACTTAAAACAGTACACAAGGGGAAAAAAAAAACCAGATGGGACAAGGAGAGACAAACGGTCATTCTTTGCCATAAAGATTGGTAGCTTTCCTATGTCTCAGAGTCATCAGTTAGAAAATACAATGTAAAAGGTTGTATTTACAATAGTATATTAAGTGACAGAAAAATACTATGAAACTGTACTGAAGAATGTAACAGAAGACCTGAACAGAGATACGAATCATGTTCTTGAACAAGAAGACAAAGATGCTGGTGTTTTCTGGTTAATTTATATAGGTACAGCAATGTAAATAAGTGTCTCAAAGAAGTTTTGTTGTTGTTGTTTTAGTAACATGACCAAATTATTTAAAAGGGTGTATGGAAAACAAATGAGTCAAAAGCACCAGAAATTTGGGAAAGAGGAATAATAAAAGAGGGCTGTAGATTATTTTTTTTCAGAGTTAGATATTTTTTTAGGAGGTCTCAGATGTTAAAATGCGTTATGAAGTCATAATTAAAATGTGTTAAACTAATCTATCAACACAAAATAGGTAGGTTATTGCAACCAAATGGGAATCCCAGACACAAATCCACTTTCCTATTTCTAATTATATTTCAAAGATGACGTTTCTGGTGTGTATAAAAATGATGAATTCTAAAACAGTGCTTAGACAATTGGCTATGTAGGGGGAAGTTTAAGTTAAAGCTTTATGCCACCTACCAAAATGAGTCACAGATTAAAGACTTACATATTAAAGATATTTTATGTAAACTGGAAGATATGTAAGTAAATATTTATCTGATACCAGGGTAGGAAAGGACTTGAAGCATATCAGCAAAGAAATTAGAAAGAAAAAGAGTGATAGATTAGATTTAGATTTAAAACATTTGTACATTTAAAAGAAATAGGAAAGTTGTTAAGAGTAAGTTCCAAGAGTTCTTATCACAAGGAGGAATTGTTTTTCCTTTAGTCTTCTTTTTTTTTTCTTTTTATTCTATTTATATGAGAAGATGGATTTAGCATCATGTTATATGTATACCTTAGACTTATACAGCAACGTATGTCAATTATTTCTCAATGAAACTGGAAAAAAGTTAAAGGACATTGAAAAAGAGAAAGTATTTAATATTTTCAGTATAAAAAGAATTAATATCCTTCATCTCTTAATAACTTAGAAACAATCAAACAAAAAGTAAGACCCAGAGGAAGACGAAAGACAGGCCTTAGCAGTTCAGGAGAGGTACAAGGGGCCAGTAATCCCCACAGAGCATGGACAGAATTTCTCGTTGGTGTTCAGAAATGTAAATTCAGTAACTACTGAGACAACATTTGTAGCTGGTTTTTGAGAAACTAGTGATATCCAGAGCTGAGGAGATGGGAAAACTGGCCTTGTCATTCATATCCCTGGTGGACCTAGAGATTGGTGCAATTTAAAGAGATCAGCTTGTGATGAATTGCAAACTGTAAAGATAGAAATACCTTTTAACCCAAGAATTTCCCTCTTTAGTATTTATTCTGATCTGAGGTATATACGGAGATTTATGTACAAGAATGTTCACTTCCACATATTTATAATAGCAGAAAACTGGGAACTACCTAGATGGCTAAAGTAGAAAAATGTTTAAATGGATTATGGTATATCCTTAGGATTGATTATTTTGTGATCATTGAAAATGAGAACGGTCTGGAAGGACATGGAAAAATGGAAATATTTTGAAATAATGGGGAAAAAAGGGGGGAGGGTTATAAAATGACATGAATAGCATGATCCCAGTTTTCTGAAAATAACCTGAATGTTGAATTGGAGCAGTATAGATGGTGGAATTAACTGTTGTCTATTCCCTCAAAACTTTTCTGTTTGCTTTTCAAATTTTCTACAAGGACTACGTATCACCTTTGTAATAAAAATATTACATCGTATTGTTTGTCGAGGCCTGATGAGGTAAAGAAAATTCTTCTGTATTATCTGATCCCTTTAGGACACAGATACTATTGTGTGGGATGTGATCAATGAAAGCGGCCTCTACCGTCTAAAGGGGCACAAGGACGCCATCACACAGGCACTGTTTCTACGAGAAAAGAATCTGCTAGTTACTAGGTAAATAACAGTTTCATTTCCAGTTCTTTTCTATGTAAATGCATCAGAGAGGGTTTCAAAGACAGAATTTGGGTCATTCCTTCCTCATTCGTCCACACTACCCTCAGACTCATGTGTTAGCTTCTTCTGCCCTCTGCTTTCCTCTCTCCTTCCCTCTTCTCCCCAGTAGTACCCTAGAAGCTATCCATAGAGTTACTTCTAGCATTTTTAATTCTCTTCTGATATGTCATTAATATCCTCTGGTTTTAGCTTTTTCACGGTCCTTAAGCTTTGGCATGTCATTTATAGAATGAACTGTCTGCTTTCTGGATCCTGAGAAAGTCAGGAAAACAGAATGTGGAGCAGTGAGCAGAGGTGAATACCAAGTGTTTGAGTTGCCTGCCTTTTGAGAACAGACATACTCTCTCTGTAGACCTTCTGAACATCTATTAGGTTGAACCATATGAAATTTCCATTTGTGCAGGTCAAACATGATAGGTCAAATATCAGCAATTTCATATGTTTCAACCTGATATAATAATGATCCATCCTAAGGAATGGCCACCCAGGAAAGTTTGGGATCCTAAGGTTTGCCAGCAGTAACTAGAAGAACTATAGTAATGATTCAGAAGCAGTTATGAAGGAGCCCTGAGTGCCATACCATTGGTGGGCTGGTTCCTGTGGGATGGCACATTGGTGTGTTGTTAGATAACACAGATTTTGTGAGAGAATGACTAATGTTCTAAAAGAATATACACATTTAGCCCAGGGAACAGTTGATCCTTGAACAACAGGGTTGAATTGGTCAAGTCCACTTGTATGCGTTTATTTTTTCAGTAAATCCAGTACAGTACTGTAAATGTGTTTTCTGCTATGATTTTCTTAATATTTTCTTTTCTTTAGATTACTTTGTTGTGAGAATATTACATGCAAAATAGGTGTGAATGAACTGTTCATGTTACTGGTAAGGCTTCTGGTCAAGAGTAGGCTATTGTTGTGGGAGAATCAGAGGTGTGTGTGTGTGGATTTTTAACTATACTGGGGGTGAGGGATTTGGCGCCACCAGCCCCCTCATCGTACAGGGATCAACTGTGTAAAAGAAAGGAAATAACACAGTGAGGTGGGATTGTATAGGAAGGACTTTACAAGTGGGGTTTTTGGTTTTTGCCAGTTTAGTCATGAAGGAGGATTATATTCGATTTATATTAGTGAAGAAGCAGGGAAGGGGCATTTGAGGCGGGAAGAGGAGAGCTCATTGGCAGGGAGACTCAGAGCCAATGAATGACAAGTTTTGAAAATGGTGCTGAAGAGCCTGATTTTGATTCTATAGAGAACCTTGAGCTAGTGGAAGTTTAAACAATTGAGATTATCTGATAGTTTATTGGATGTAATGAAGGCACAGGAATGGACAAAGACCGGATGGGAAGCTATGAAAATAGTTCAGGCAGTAGAACTTAAATTCAGGTTCGCGGGCAGAAATGGATTGGAAGGAGTCAAGGCCTCCCAGAGGAGGTGTTTTCAGGATGTGGGGACCACCTGGACATGGGAGATGGGAGCAGAAGAGATGTGAGAGATTTCTGTGTCAGACAGTGGGGGAATGTGGGTGCTGTGACAGGTCAGCGTCTGTGTTCTGTGACGCTCTGAATTCGTAGTTATTTCTGTGCTTACAGGTGAAACATTGTATTTTCTACCTAATAATGGAAAGTTAGGATTCTTTACTTTTTAAGAAAAGCGTCTGTGTTCTGTGACACTCTGAATTCGTAGTTATTTCTGTGCTTACAGGTGAAACATTGTATTTTCTACCTAATAATGGAAAGTTAGGATTCTTTACTTTTTAAGAAAAGGTGAGGTAGAGTGGTAGCATTAGACATTGTTGCTACGTATATTTTTTTGAAGGCAACACATGAGTCCTTGACCTACCATTTACTGATTTTTTTCTAATAAGATTTTTCTCCTGTTTCTTTTTTTAGTGGGAAAGATACCATGGTGAAATGGTGGGACCTTGATACCCAGCACTGCTTTAAAACGATGGTTGGCCACCGAACCGAGGTACATGTAGGATCACGGGCCCAGGGAAAGAATGGCAAGGCAAAAAGATGGTTTTCTTCCCTGGGCCTCTCATGGCCCTTTGCTTTTACTGCCCACAGTAACCATCATGTGCTGTCTTGAGAGACAGGTTGGAGTGGTGGAGGGAGCGAGCACTAGCTGTTGGAGCAGACAACAGCTACCCTGGCATTTAGTAGAAATTGGCCTTGGAGAAGTTTCTAATCCACGAACATGAGTTTCATTGTTTTTAAATAATGTGTCCACCTTTTTGATGATAGGGAGGTCTATTGACGCTCTATGTACAGTGCTTGGCCCCGTGACCTGTAAACAGCAAATCGTAGTCATTATAATAGTTACCCGAATGCAGACGTTTTCAATAGAGATCAGGGAGTATTTTATATCTTTGCATCCTCCTCCATGCTTTGTTCATACCAGGCTCTCAAAAACATCAATTAATGACGAGGAAAAGCAAATTATTCTTGGACTGTTGATTCACAACAATACTGTTCTTTTCATTGTTCTTAGATATTTGAGGCTGAAAATTATACAATAGACATCAATGGGGTACCTTTTATTTGCAGGGCATGGCTGAAAGCAAAGAAGTACCGGACTTAAAATCATCCTTTGAGTGGCTTCTAGTTAGGAATTGTGCTGAACAGCCATTATCTAAATTTAAGGGTAGGAAATTACAGAGAAACTTGTAGTTTACTCCATAATCAACAGTTCTACCACAGGCCATGTTTTCTTTCCAAAAGTGAGATTTTTCTCTCTCTCTTTATTTTTAAGATTTTATTTATTTATTTGATAAAGAGCGCACAAGCAGGGGGAGCGGCAGGCAGAGGGAGAGGAGAAGCAGGCTCCCTGCTGAGCAGGGAGCCCAACGTGGAGCTCGATCCCAGGCCCCTGGGACCATGACCTGAGCTGAAGGCAGACGTTTAACCGACTGAGCCACCCAGGCACTCCGAGATTTCTCTTACTGTATTTTGAAAGGGTTACCTTAAAATGAGGCTTTGCAAATGTCAAACAGATTTCACTACACACAGTCTACTTAGATTTTTGGAATGTCACATCATATATCCTGGAGTCTCTTAAAAATCATACTATTTGAATCTTTTTATACTCTGTAGGTGTGGGGGTTGGTGCTGGTGTCAGAAGACAAGAGGCTCATCACTGGGGCTTCCGACAGTGAGCTGAGGGCTTGGGACATAGCCTATCTACAGGAGGTAATTGTTTTTGGTTTTTTTTTTGATCACGGGCAGTGCCGTGTTTCAGCAGTGTCACAGGTTCATTGAATTTTGAATTAGCTATAATTATTGAGTACTTCCATAATACTAGAAGAAATTTTAAAACTTTTAGTCAGAATTTTTTTCTTCATTGTTAGCTCAGTTGTCCTCATTTATTTGAGCTCGAGGAAGGATAGTTTTAGGCTTACACCTTCTGGTGATGCTAATGTTTTAGTTTGTGGGGTTCTTAGCCCAGAGTTCCTGGACCTTTGGGTGTGCATGGATGGACTTCAGGCTATCTGCGACCCTTTCCCCTCAGACAAAATTCTGTGTAAAATTTGTGTGTGTGTATAAACATATGTTCTGAGATCTGTAACTCTCTCAGATCCTCAAAAGATTTTGTGTGGAAGGAAGTTTATGGACTGCAGGTTTAGCTGGAGTTAGGTGTGTAGCGTTGTGTTCAGTAGCTGTTCTGGTGGGTTCTACTGTAGTAGGCTAGGCTTTATCCTTTCTTCATGTCTGGATTGCCTTTGTAGTTCTGTGTGCCAGACTGGCATCTTTCCTCCAGAATATGGTAGCCTTTCACATAAGAAAATTTCAAAGTTAATGAAGAATCAGTCATCATTTTTTCACCTCAGTTTAAATTACTAGGTTGCTAAAGCATAGTCTGTATTTTTTGGAAAGTTACCGGAGATAGTATAGTGAATACTGTTTTGTTCGTATTTGCCATAGTCTGTTTTTAATATACTCTGGTTAAGTGCCTACCACTGAAGAGGTTTGATCAAAGAGACCACTTATTCATGGACATAAGAATAGGTTTCTAAGTCATTAGGGTTAAGAGACACTTCCTGGGACATATTATTTCAGCTTCTATTTTCCCATTTTTATAAAACAGGTGGAAGACTTAGAAGAACCAGAGCCCAAGAAAAGCAAAGGGTCTTCCCCTGGAATACAGGACACACATGAGCCTGAGGATGGCAACCCAGAGACAGATGAAACTCCTGAGGATGTAATTCTTTTTCTTATCTTCATTTGTGTTGTGTCATGGGGAAAGCGAGAATTGGAGACTTTTTAATTTAAAAACTCACAGTTATCGTCATTTTTGGGAATATCTTTGTCCCCTGCATCTCTTTAGAATCGTACCTTTTCAGAGGTTTGACAGAACTTGCATTTTACTTTGGTCTTCTCCCTTGCTTCTTCCATAGCGCATCCTTACATGCAGAAAAGCTGGTTCCATCATGCGGGAGGGAAGGGACAGAGTTGTGAACCTTGCGGTCGACAGGACAGGGAGGATTCTAGCTTGCCACGTGAGTACCAGTTGTCGGAGAAAGCAGGGACGGGGCTGTTCCTTTCAGAGACTCGTGCTTGTTTTATATGCAGTGTAGAGATTAATTTTCCCCCAGTGTTGTTAACAATTCATTATGTGCTGCTGTGTAGACCTATAATCCCTAGCTTCTATTAGCATAACACAGTAATAGTTACTATTATTGTTCTTATTAGTTAGCAAGCATTAAATGCGTGCTTTTCTGAGCAGTTTAGAAGCATTAGCCAGCTTTTTATTTAGTCTTCTGAGCAATGCTGTGAGTAGGAGGTGGTATTCCCACTTTACACATTAGACGGCAGTCCTGGAGGGAGGAAGTTGTCCGAGGTAATACGACCAGTAAGGGAAGAAAAAGGAACATTATTGTTTAGGTCTTACCGAGAAAAAGCTATGTTACAAATTGCCTTTCCTGGACTCACGTCAAGTTTCACCTTTTAGGGAACCGATTCTGTGCTAGAAGTGTTCTGCATCCTTTCCAAAGGAGAAATTCAGAAGAAAATGGATAAGAAGATGAAGAAAGCTAGAAAGAAAGCAAAGTGTGTTGCTTTTATTTTTTTTTAATATTTACTATTAAAGTATCTTGGGTAAGCCACGTAGTACTGATAGAAAAACTATGGCTTCTTTAAGGAAGCGATTACTGTGTTAGCAATTACTGTTAAAAGGTAGAGAAGTTGTTTGGAGTGCCGGGAGTCCATGTTTTACATTTCTACTCTTTAGTACAGCTTCGTAACTAGCATGTTCCTGAGTCGTGAACTCAGAGCCACATAGAACTAGAAAGGCCATACAGATTTTTAAAAATAGCTAAAAAATGATTTAGTTCTCAGGCCAGCAGGTATCTTCACTGACAGCAACTCATACACAAGGAAGCTGGGTTGCATAATGCTAACCTTGGGGCCTGTGAGGAGAAGGATTATAGAACTGGCATTTGGGGGCAACATCACCTTGGAATAGGTTATTATAATAACCAAAGAAATCGGTTCCTCAGTGGTTGAAATTTATCAAGGCTCAAAGAAAAAGTCACCTTGGCAAACCTTGTGAGACCTCTGGTTTATTTGACATAGTTGGACTTGTAAGTGCAGCTTAATGGATCTTCTAAAAAGTCCTGAAGTTAGAAAAGTTAACCAGGTACACTTCATTGGAATAATTTGAATTACAAAGACTTACTTGCCCCAGGAAATTTTATGGGCTGTTGCCTTCAGAATCCACTTATTGAGGGTACTGATTAAATGGAATAAAATTTTATGACACTGTAGTTCACAAAGCATTTGTCCATAACACTGCATTATCTAATTCTCATGGTACTCCTTTGTTAAGTGACTCTCCCAGGATTACACAGGTTGTTGGTCTTAGAGCCATAATTTGACTAACGTAATAGCAAAGCTTCTTCTAGAAAAGTCACTGTTCTCTCCCCCTCCCCGCCCCAGATTAAATTCTTCCAAAGGGGAGGAGGAAGACCTTGAAGTCAATGTCAAAATGACACTGCAAGATGAAATCCAACGGGTGACTAATATCAAAACTTCTGCCAAAATCAAGTGAGTAAAAGTGTAGTATCTGAATTACCTGAGAGCAATATTGTAGAAATAGTAAGCTACAAAGTTGTATTGGTTTTTTCATGCTCATTGTTAGCAGTCTAGAGGAATTACATATTTGGAGACAGTGATCATGGGATACCTGCCCTCACCATAGGCCTGCTTATTCATCATCTCATATTTGTTTTATTAGAGTAACTGTTTCTATTTGTTTAATCTTCTTTCCTGCTGCCAATTAAAAAGAAAAACGTGTACCCCATGCTCCAAAAGGATTTAAGGTCGCGTATAAAAATTATTTACATAAAAGCAAGATACATGTCAGATCCAGTATCTGAGCCCAGGTTTTTTTGACTTAAAAACCCATACTCAACTACCATCCCAAGACGCAGAGCACTTTTTGTAAAATTCTTTATACTGGCTCAAACATCACATAGATGGAGGACGCTGTGAAGCCTTTCTACTAGAAACAGTTAACCTTGTGAGTGAAGATGGTGGCTAGAACATTTATGAATTATTTTCTCACACAGATCCTTTGACTTGATTCATTCACCTCAAGGAGAGTTGAAGGCAGTCTTCCTGCTGCAGAATAACTTGGTGGAGTCATATTCGCTGCACCTGTCTGCGCCTGCTCCTCAGCCTGTCAGGACGAGCAGAATCACCATCGGGGGTCATCGCAGTGACGTGCGGACCCTTTCTTTCAGCTCCGACAACATTGCTGTCCTTTCAGCCGCGGCAGATTCTGTGAAAATATGGAACAGGTTTGTGAAATGGTGCTCTCCATACTTTTATCCAGTCATGTTTTCTTTCCTGCGAATGAGGTTCTAGTACTCTTGATGGTTAATTGTTAGTCTCTTAAGGCCCTACATACAGTTCCATCAAAAATGTATCTTGACTGTGGGCCTGTGGAGTTTAGAGTTGGAAAGGTTGCTTTTTAAAATTTGGTGCAAAAAATAAACGCAAGCTTATTCCATGTCTGAGGTTTGTCACCGTACTTGGGTAGAGAAAAACACACAAACAGGCTGCCTACTCCTTGAATTCTAGTAGGCTCTTAGTGCTGTCCAGTATTTTTCCTATAATTTTCCATTCCTTTCCTAGATGACTATTCCACGCCTCTTCTCTCCTCAAGCCCCCAAAACTTCTAGCACCTTCAAGCTGGCGACCTTGCTTCCTAATTCACTGAAAAATGGAATCATCTAGAAAACATTCATGTGCTCCCGGCACATCTGCCAACTCAGCATGTATATACGTGTATACCCACGTAGTCCACTTTCCCTCCTGTCACTGTGTTGGTGTTCCTAATCAACGTTGACCACAGCTTGTACCTGTGGCTCTTTCTCTGCTCCCCTGCTAGCGGTTGTCCTCCTCCTGCATCTTTAACATTTCTGCTCTGTTGGATCATTCCCGTCAACATGCAGGTATGCTCTAATACCTCCCATCTGAAAAGAAGTAATAGCCCTGTCTCCTTCTCAGTCTCTCTGGTTACGTCCCATCCTCTGATTCTTTTCTCTGTTCTGTTTTCATCTGTCCCCCATCAGGCCTTTCCCCACCTTTTCACCATAGCAGCTCTTGTCGCCTCATCAGGGATCTTCATGTTTCTGAATCCAGTGACCCGTAAGCTTCATGTGACACTCTCTCCTGGAATTGGTAACTTTGTCCTCTTTGAAGCACTTTGACTCTCATTACTTCCTCTTCCTCTGCTGGCCGTTCCCTCTGTCTGTGCTGGGTCCTTCTTACCTTTCGGACCTCTAAGTGTTGGAATACTTCAGGGCAGAGTCTTTGGACCTTTTCTCTGTCTACACTCACTTTCTGCAGCTTTCTCTATGCTGACGACGCATAGATTTCTCTCTCTAGCCTCAGCCGCTCCCTGAACACCAGACCCTTACATCCAAGTCTTTTGTTTGTATCACCACCCGGCTGTCTAATTGGGCATCTCCATTTTTCATACGGCCCCAACCAAGCTTGTGATCTTCTTTCTCCCACGATCTCCCACCTGTTGCTCTTCCCCGTCTTCGAAAGTAATTACTTCCTTCCAGTTGTTCTCCCCTCGATGCTGTGGTCACTCTCTCATATCCTAGGTCCAGGTCACTAGCAGATCCTGTCAGCTTCAGCTTCAGAACTTAGCCAGTATCCAGCACGTGTCCCCACCTGTGCTGCCACCCCCAGCTCCCGTCCGCCATCGCTTCTCACCGTTGTTGTTGTCGAGATAGCTTCCTGGGGGGTCTCCCCGCTGTGTGCCCCCCCTCTGCGTGCCCCCTTGTAGTCTGTTCTCCACACGGCCACCAGCGTCATCTTCATGATGGAAGTGTCAGTCCCAGTAGATCCACCTCATTGCCTGGAAGCCAAAGTGCTCACAGACCTCACCTCTGACCCCCCTCCCCTTCTGCTGTGCTAGAGCCCACTGGCCTTTTCTCATCCTTAAACACAGCAAGAGCATGTCCCTGCTGTGGTGATTGCGTGCCTGTTTTTTGTGCCTGGAACCTTCTACCACCCTGACCCTCCTCCTCCCCTTCCCCCAGTGTTGTTTCTCCACAGCACCTGCTGTCACCTGATAGACCACTATGTGTTTGTCTCGTTCCTAAAGAATGTGAGGGTCGTTTCTGTTTAACTCACTGTTATACCTCTAGCACCTAGAATTGCATCTGGCATTCAGTAAGTGTTGAATGAAGTGGGCATTTGATATATATCTGTTGAAGGGATGAATGTTTATCGTCCAATAAAATGAACTCGTAGAGATATTTAATAATAGGCTAATTCGACTTGTCATCCTGTGGGCTCGATTACTTCTTTATGGTGGCACATGGAGCCCAGCAGATGCTTTTTTTTTTTGCCCTGCTTTTATATAATCTCTGTTCCTTAGGATTAGGAGGCCCTACCAAAAGAAAAAAAAAAGTGCCATTTAAATTTTTCTCTCTTGACTATAATTGGGTCTGAGCCGAGCTCTGGTGGCTAGGTGTGTATTGAACAGACATGCTGACCTCTAAGACGGGGAAGCAGGTTCTCTTAACATGTGGTTCTTTATTCGTTCTTTCTCACAGGGCCACATTACAGTGTATCCGCACGATGACCTGCGAATATGCACTGTGCTCGTTCTTTGTACCTGGTGATAGGCAGGTGGTCATAGGAACAAAGGTAAACTGAGGCTTTTTCTTGGATTTTGGAGGTTTTTCTACTCAGTATTCTTAAAGTTTGAGAACTCTGATTCCTATTTTTGCATATTGGAAATGAATGAGAGCTGGTTAATTTGAGAAGGTTGGTAGTTCGTTGCCCTTTTTTGAGGGGTTTTCTTTTAAGTTTTGTTTATTTGTGTTTTTAAACAATCAAACCTTATGTCAAATTGTGAGGAAGGAAATTACAATCATGACCTTGAGATAACTGTCCATTCATGTTTTGGTGGTCGGCCTTTTGTGCATCTCTTCACAAACACATATGTAATTGTGTTTTGAGAAGACTAATGATGAAATATACAAAGTACCTATTGTCTGGCTTGGCAGGTAGAAGCATTCAGTAAAGACTGACTGACTAGTCCTCATTCCCAGTTGCCAATCAGATTGGGAGATAAATGTGCGGGAATAAGCAGACTTGGATTTGGATCCAGATTCTCCCCATTTTAGAGTGGATAAATTGCTGCAAGTCCCGAAACTTCTTATAGTATGTTTCCTTATCTATATAATAGGATGAAAAGAAGTGCTTTTTGACAGTGGCTTTTGCCCTACATAGGCCTAGCCTTGAATTCTAGATTTTCCACTCACTGAGTGTGAGAACTTTGGGCAAGTTACTTGCCCCTGTATGCCTTGGTTTTCTCATGTAAAATGAGGTAAACAACCTACCTCACCCTACGGAAAGCACTTAGCACAGAAACTGGCTCACAGCGAATAACAAGTAAATAAGAGCTGGGAGCAGAAGTACTGGTAGTAGGAGTAGCAGTGAGAATAAAATGGAATGAGGTCTTTGGAATACTTTGAAAAGTGCTTTGCAAGGATTTGTCATTGTCGCCCCCCTAAACTCGTGCTGTATGTGCACGATTGTTTTATTAGAAAACCTGTGTATCACAATGGGTCTTTTTTTGCCCAGTTAAAAGTGTAAAATAAGCCAGAGAGATTTTAGGGTCACTGTCAGGGAATGAACATTAAATTCCAATTAAAAGTTTCTCTCGTTTTTCATTCATTCTTTCAACAAATGTTCCCTCTATTGTTTTTGTTAGGAGAGCATTTTGTGAATATCTTAAGTCTACCTTTATGGCTAAAGTGCAATCCGCAGACCCCAGCCCAGTCTCTGTGCGAGGCAGTTAATGTACATGATCTCATTTAATGCCCACAACCACTTTGAGATGCTGGTGCTGTAAATCCCATTTTACAGATGAGAAAACAGGCTCTTGGAGGTGAATTCAGCAACAGCCACAGAGTATGAAAGAGGCAGCCCTGGAACTCAGGTCTTCCTTACACTCTTGCCACCCCATGTGCAGAAGCCCATCATAGAGCAGGCTTTGCTGCTGTGTGTATGTGATCATGTTATTTTTATTTATTTTATTTTTTAATTTATTTAATTTTTTTTTAGTTTTTAAATTTTTTATTCTTTTTTATTTTTCATTAGCCAAGTTCTAAGCAGGAAGTGTGGCTCATTGTCTTCTAAGCTTTTGCGTTTTTTTTGTGTTTTTGTCCATTGCCCTCCCTAGCATCGTAGGTAGATACCTATTTCTCATTGTCAGTGTATTCTAGAGGAGGAAACCAAAACTAGATGGGGAAGAGTTAGTTAAGCCAATTACCATTGAAACTTGATAAAGCTTAAAAGTTTTTTAGGTGTATTTGCTGTTGTGTGTCTCCTGATTTGCTGAAGTTGGAGAACCAGTGAATGTGACAAGAGGCCAGGACTACCAGGTTGCCTGGTTCCGTCGTCATGCCGCCGAACAGCCCTGCCAGAGTTAACCCAGCACATTAGTGGTGTTTATTCAGATAGGAGGCACAGAGCGGGGAATGTGGGATCCATTTGCTAAACTGTCAGCCACATGGTCGCTGCTCGGCTATGAAATCTTTCCTAAACTGCGTAGGCATGAATCTTGGAGGTTGTGGGTGTGCTCGTTGGAGCTGTGCTCATTTTGTGTCTTCCTCAGACAGGAAAGCTGCAGCTTTATGACTTGGCCTCAGGAAATCTGCTGGAGACAATAGACGCACATGATGGAGCTTTATGGTCCTTGTCTCTCTCTCCAGATCAGGTAATGAAACCAGATGTTATGATCTGGACTTGAGTACTTCCCCGTTTCTTACATTAGATTTTACTGCTGCCTAACAAAGATTTCTTTGGTGTTTCTTTAAAGAAAGCCCGCTTCTTGTCTAATCTTTAGATTTCCTATATGATGGCATATCATGTGCCTGATAATATGAATAGCTGTCATTATCAAATGAATTCTCATTCAGCTGCTCTTGATCATCAGCTGCATGACATCCGATTGCTTACCCTTGTGAGTTTTCACCAATGGTTTGTGCTACTTCCTAAGAGGGAATATTTCCTTGGGCAACAAAATGCAGAGGATGGAGTAGACTTTTCTATTCCTCTTTTAGTCTATACGTCTATGACTATATAAGTTTAGTGTTGATAGCAAATATACCAGCCCTTTCAAGTCAGTAACGGGATGCTTCCCTTCAGAGGGGTCACCTTGGAGAACTGTATACTTAACTCTAGTCATGGTGCTGTTGCTCAGAACATTTTGAGGTATTTTTTGGACAATAATAAGAGATTGTGGCCTGTTCATTTGAATCTTCTCAATAGTGGCAAACCTTCATCCATTGAAAGTAGATACCATTTTTGGAAAAAATTGAATCTGGAATTTAGAGTGGGTTATGCCATTTGGGGTCAGATCAAAACAACTTTAAAATTTAAATAGTAGTAACATCTTGGATTTGTAGAGGATTCTTTCTGCAAAGTATTTTTACATCCATCATGTCATTTATTATTTGCATAATGGTTTTATAAACTAAACTATAGATAGTCTTTGTCATTACAGCAACACTAAAGGTCATCGGTAGGTTCTTTTCTATGTTACTAATCTCAAATGGCAGAATAAACACTTGGGATCTAATTTTCTGACCCATGCTCTATATACTTTAATACTACAATGTGATGGGACTAATTTTCTTGATACTGGAGAACAGTTTCAAACATATTTTAAGCAGGGACATTGGAGGAATAAGTTTATACCCTACTGAGGTAAATACTTTGAATAAACATGTTTTGATGATCCAGTCTGTGTATATTTGTCAAACCATTTTATTACTTAATAGCAAATTCTTTGACTGGTGCTTTCTCAGGTGGAGCAAGAAACCCTACAATGTTCAAAGACTTCCTGATGCTGAATGAAAGTATAACTAGAAATTTACACTAGTTACCATCTGTCTACATTAGCCCCTGCTAGAAATTTTTAAATAAGGTCTGTGGCAGCAGCCCCAAAAGAGCAGTGGGAGGGGTTAAGAAGGAACCACATTTTTCTTAATTCTTCTCCCATGCTGTTAAGTAAAAATGGTCTTTTATACAATTTTGATATGTATCGTCTTACCAAAGTTTCTGTAATAAAATATTTCTTAATTGCAATGTCATTGGCTTTTCAGCGTGGCTTTGTGACAGGTGGTGCAGATAAATCTGTCAAGTTCTGGGATTTTGAGTTGGTAAAAGATGAAAATAGTACCCAGAAGAGGTGAGTAGACATTTTTTAATTTGTGTCCTTTTTTTGGAGGGAGAATGGGGAACCACAGAATGGGCCTTTGACATGTGTATTTCTGTTGCACTCCAGGGAGTTTTTGGAATTTTTGCCTGCCTGTGTAGAGCCCTTATTTACTTATTTATTTCACGCTTTCCGTCATGCTAGACTTTCTGTGAAGCAAACCCGAACCTTGCAACTAGATGAAGACGTCCTGTGTGTCAGTTATTCTCCCAACCAAAAACTGTTGGCTGTGTCTTTGCTGGACTGTACTGTGAAAATCTTCTATGTTGACACTTTAAAGGTACAATGATTATGCCTGGAAATAGTTTCTGTCTTTCTCACTGACTGTGGGTTGAGCCTGGAAAGTGGCCTTGACTGTGCCCAACAGTGGTGTGTTTCTAAAGATGTATGTGTGAATCAAAACACTGTAGGTGTACTAGGAAAGCTAGGATTTTTACAGAACCCTTCGGTTCATAAATTTTGCTTAAAGCGAGTTGTATTTCATAAGCTCAGAAAATCTGTAGACAGCACATCCTGTTGCTGCCAGTAATTGCAGAGAATTGCTGCATCTCCTGGGCAGGGATTCCACACTTGGCTGGACATCAGGATCATTTGGGTTGCTTTTAAAAATTACAGATTACTGGGCCCTAGGCCCAGAGTCGGGAGGACTGCAGCAGGCCTGGGAGCATTGTTGGGAAGCGAGTGCCCAGAGTCTTTGCAGCTAAGAGATGCAGAGGACGTGCCTGTGGCCTGTTCTGACTGAGGTGGTAGGCTTCTGGGGGAGTGGCTCCGCCACAGTGCAGTGTTCAGGGCAAAGTGCATGAGGGCTCCGTGTGCTGGACATGGGTATGAGCTGCCTTCAGTGGTTTGTCTTCTTTGAAAAGAGAAATAGGAAGCAATCCAGAACAGTATTTAGGATTGTATCCTAAAGTTCTACTTTAGATCCACATGTAACAAACAATGCCTATATCTTATAGACAGACGTGAATTGTTTACATTCTTTTTTTTTTTTTTTTAATATTTAGTTTTTTCTTTCACTCTATGGACACAAACTGCCTGTTATATGCATGGACATTTCTTATGTAAGTAAAATTTAAAGTGTCTTAGTAACAAGCACTTTCTTCGTTCTTGGCTTGCTATCTTCATTTTAGAGTATTTTTTCATCCTGTTGTATATCTTTCTCCCCAAAAAGCCATAAAATAATGTATATTGTAATCGTACCTCATATATGTGTGTGTGTGTGTATATGTGTGTATATATATATATATTTTTTTGTTATATATAAATTACTTTAGTGCTGTCAGAATATGTTCAAAATATCTGAGTTAATCCTTACAGCTAACACCCTGTTGTGGATTCCCTAGATAGTATTTTCTTATCTAAAATACTGTGATTGGTAGACCACCCTAAAATAGAAAAGACTTTAAAGAAGGCATCCACCTTTGTTCTAAAAGATAATGCCGGTGAAGAAGATGGAACTTGGCTTCACATTTGGACATTTACAGTATTTTGCACTATATCTATACTGTTAGCTCCTTGACCAAAATGATATTTTCGCAATGCCTAGTTATGGATAAGAGTGGGAATCTGTGTGAAAGGACTGCATACTCTGGCCATCTGTGATCAGTACATTAACAGTAAGTGGGCGGCACAAGATATTTCCGGTGGTCTTGTTATGCTGACAACTATTTGAATGAGGCATTGACATAGGAAAGATAAAAGAGAGAACATGGGATAAAAGGCTGGGTCGCAGACATTCTAGTAGGTTCTTTTCCAGACTTTTCTTTCCTCCTCCTTCCCCCTTCCCCCAAATCCTATGACAGGGATGAGCGATTTTTCTTCCTGTTTAAGGGAGTAAAAGGTAACAGACATCAAGGCACAGTGCCGCCCTGTAGCAGTACGAAAACTTCGGAGCCACAGAGTTCTTGCTTTCACTCAGCAAGCTTTCTAAGGAAATCTTAGGTTAAAGCAAAGAAAGAGGTGCTCTTGATAGAGATGATATTTGTATTGATTTTAATGCTTCTGGAAGAAATGGGTTAGTCTTGCTTTATCTAACGGTAGACTTTCTGATAATCAGGTAAAGTAATGGTTCCCTTCTCTTCCTCGTAGGATGGAGCACTCATAGCAACAGGCTCTGCCGACAGGAATGTGAAAATCTGGGGTTTGGACTTTGGGGACTGCCACAAGTCTCTCTTTGCACACGATGACAGGTAGGTGCAGTCTTTTCAAAGATGTCCCTTTGAGGGCGCCTGGGTGGCTCAGTTGGTTAAGCAACTGCCTTCAGCTCGGGTCATGATCCTGGAGTCCCGGGATCGAGTCCCGCATCGGGCTCCCTGCTCGGCGGGGAGCCTGCTTCTCCCTCTGACCCTCCCCCCTCTCATTCACTCTCTCTCATTCTCACTCTCTCAAATAAATAAATAAATAAATCTTTAAAAAAAAAAAAGAATTTGGGGCGCCTGGGTGGCTCAGTTGCTTAAGCGACTGCCTTCGGCTCAGGTCATGATCCTGGAGTCCCGGGATCGAGTCCCGCATCGGGCTCCCTGCTCAGCGAGGAGCCTGCTTCTCCCTCTGACCCTCCCCCCTCTCATGTGCTCTCTCTCATTCTCGCTCTCTCAAATAAATAAATAAATCTTTTAAAAAAAAAAAAAAAAAAAGATGTCCCTTTGAGTCCTGTACGTATCATTTCCCTTGAATGTCTGCGTCTATTCAGTCATAAATATAAAATTCTAAAATATAAATAACCAGGCATGCTAGAACTAGCTCTTCAAAACTGTGCATGAGGTTCTTCACTAATGTGGAATTGCTTGACATTTGATCACTTTTCTCACTTTTCAGTGTGATGTACCTACAGTTTGTGCCCAAGTCCCACCTCTTCTTCACCGCTGGGAAGGACCATAAGATTAAGCAGTGGGATGCAGACAAATTTGAACACATACAGACTCTGGAGGTGACCTCTTGCCTGCTTTGCTTGCTCAGTATTCAGAACTACTTTTAAGATCAAGTGTTGCTCTTCCACTCAGCGCAGGTTTCGGCCAAGGAATAAGGTGTTCCTACTCAGCGTTTCTCTTTTTGTGTCTTCTTTCTCCAGGGGCACCACCAGGAAATCTGGTGCTTGGCCATAAGCCCCAGTGGAGACTATGTTGTGTCATCGTCACATGACAAATCCCTGAGACTTTGGGAGAGAACAAGGGAGCCTCTTATTCTTGAGGAAGAAAGGGAGATGGTAAGGACTCAGGCTTGGTTACAGAATGTGCTGGTGGGTGGGTGTCTAGTTCTGTCTAGTGTGGCCACCCCTCAGCCAGTGCACGTCCAGGCACCTCCAGAAGAGGTTTCCAACACCCCCATCAACCATTTCAGGAGCCACACAGAGACAGAGATGCCATTAGGGGGTTGCATTTTGAAAGACGCAGCTTTTTACTGTCTCCTTTCACTTCATGTAGAGACCGTGGTTCTTCTTCCAGATTAATTTGTATCTGTCTCTTGGCAGCAAAGGGAAGCAGAATATGAGGAGAGTGTGGCCAAAGAAGACCAACCTGTAGTAAGTAAATTCTGGGGGACCCTGAGATTAAGCCCTGTAATTATCTTATTGGAATTTACTTTAATTTCAAGAATTTCTAATAGAATTAGAATTGGGGCCAGATGCCAGAGTCATCACCAGCTGATGTGGAAAGCCATCTGTGTAGTCCTGTTTGATTCAACTGTATATCCTGATTTTGTGGGACAAACGACCGACCAGATTTGGTATTGGATGTTTGTCATTCTGGCTTTTCTTTTTTTAAGGAGGCTTCAGAGAATCATAGAACAAAAATAAAAATAAAAAAATTTTAGAAATTGGGCATTCTCTTTATACTTTTAGAGGGTAGGGTATTCTTTTCTTTTTTTTCCATTTTTTTTTTAATGAGTAATTCTTTTTTTTAATTAATTTAATTTTATTATGTTATATTAGTCACCATGCATTACCTCATTAGTTTTTGATGTAGTGATCCACGATCCATTGTTTTCATATAACACCCAGTGCTCCATGCAGTACGTGCTCTCCTTAATGCTCATCACCAGGCTAACCCATCCTCCCACCCTCCTCCCCTCTAGAACCCTCAGTTTGTTTCTCAGAGTCCATAGTCTCTCATGGTTCTTCTCCCCCTCCAATTTCCCCCGTTCATTTTTCCCTTCCTACTATCTTCTTTTTTTTTTTTAGCATATAATGTATTATTTGTTTCAGGGGTACAGATCTGTGATTCAACAGTTTCACACAATTCACAGCGCTCACCATAGCACATACCCTCCCCAATGTCTATCACCTAGCCACCCCCCCACCTCCCTCCACTCCAGCAGCCCTCAGTTTGTTTCCTGAGATTAAGAGTCTCTTATGGTTTGTCTCCCTCTCTGGTTTCATCTTGTTTCATTTTTTTCCTCCCTTCCCCTATGATCCTCTGTCTTGTTTCCCAAATTCCTCATATCAGTGAGATCATATGATACTTGTCTTTCTCTGATTGACTTATTTCGCTTAGCATAATAGAGGGTAGGATATTCTTATGATAATGCGTATAAAATACTTAATAGTGTCTGGCACTTATTAAGTACTCCATTAATGGTAGTTGGTAGCTCCATGATAGCATTATCATAACATAGTGATGACTGCTCTTTTCTGGATATAAAATTAATTTATTGGTTCTTTAGTGCCTGTCAACAATATTGTCAAGGATCTCTTTGTTTCTGGCAGGTTCCAGGAGAGACTCAAGGTGACAATTACTTTACTGGAAAGAAAACTATTGAAACGGTCAAAGCAGTAAGTTGATATATATTCTGTATCTATATTTATAGATGTGTACATTTTTAAGGAGGATCCCAACTTTTTAGTGAAAGTTTTTATCAACCAGGTAGCCCTTTTATGGCAAAAAGTTGATGAAATTCATAGATAGAGCTCAAAACCTCTGTGGTCCTCCCTTATAACCAAGGACAGGAGTCATGTTGAATCGGCACATGGTTTCTAGAAAGGAAGGCTTGATCTCCTTGGAAGCAGCACCCCTCAGAGGTCCCGGGAGCTGCCCTACTCCATGTGTGCACATACATATGACCTCACCTGAACCCAAGACGCTTCGTCTCCTCCCTGTAAATTAAACAGAAAAAGAAACACCAGAGACATCATCACATGCTGGTCGGCACTCTCCTGGCACACATTTATTAAACCGATTCAAGCTAGTTGGTACTTTTCTAGTCAGGCCTTCCAGTTGCAGGGTTCCGGGATGCTGGGACACATGGTGATGACTTCTCTCCTTTGTCACCATCCACGTAGGCTGAGAGGATCATGGAGGCTGTCGAGCTATACCGAGAGGAGACTGCAAAAAGGAAGGAACACAAAGCCATTTGTAAAGCTGCAGGGAAAGAGGTGAGATAGTCCGTGGAGTTACACTCTGAGAAACATGTATCCATAGAATTCCTGAGAAGAACACCATTGCTGTGGGAGTTACTGACTCAGATCAGGAAATGACATAAATGTGATAGAGTCTTTTCTAATTCAAATATTTGAAAGAAGGAGTCGAGGGGCTGTGAGGAGGGGACCTGGGTCTTAATACATTTGCAGACTGAGGTGCTTACCATATGGAGCAGAAACTGCTCCTGCAGGGTTTCGGACGCACCACAACCGTTACAGATTTCTAGATGAATTCTAGAAATTCTAGAATTGCCTGAACACATTAGCACTATGGAAATTAAAAGGCCTGATATTTCTTGTATATTCTTTCAAAACTGTACTGTTGTCGCACTGCCTGTGACAAACACTGTCTTGTTTTATGATGACTTGATCTCATGATTTCTTCACAGGTTCCTCTTCCCATCAACCCCATCCTCATGGCTTATGGCAATATCTCTGTAAGTAGAGTGTCTACCAGTTCCCCCTTGGTTACTCAAAGGTTACTTTCAGGGACAAGAGAGGGACAGGAGGAAGTGCAGAGGAATGATGTGAGGCTGGATGCATCGGGAAAAACTTTGCCATTAACACTCTCTCCTGTCCTCTAGGATTTTGAGCGTTTCAAAAGGACCATTTTAGTGTAACTTCTAAGTCATCTGTTTTGGTTGGACTGGATTGGCATTCTCATCTTTTCTTCCTTTTTTTTTTTTTAAGATTTTATCTATTTGTCAGAGAGCAAGAGAGCACAAGCAGGGGGAGAGGCGGAGGGAGAAGCAGGCTCCCCGCTGAGCAAGGAGCCCGATGCGGGACTCCATCCCAGGACTCTGGGATCATGACCTGAGCCCAAAGCAGACGCTTAGCCGACTGAGCCACCCAGACGTCCCGCATTCTCTTATTTTCTAGTGCTTATTTATGTTCAGTATCCAAAGCCCTCTGAAGATTCTCTTCATCTAAATGAACTTTGAAATTGAGGTTTTTGGAGGAAAACTTGACGTAAACCAGTCAGATGAAGGAGGACAGAGAGAGAAATGTATGCTTATGTAGCAGTCTCCAGTTACTTAGTACTTTACTCACATGTGTCATTCATCATGGTCATGTGAGTCAGTGTAGCCTCATTTTACAGATGGGAAATTAGCCTGACTCACGGATAGAAGGGAACAGAGTTGGGAAGTGGTGGAGCTGGACTGTGAACCCACATGGGACAAACTCTAAGCCCATGCATGTATATTGCCATCCTAGAACACTGTTTCTCCTCTGAGTGGGATCCCTGGTTTTTAGATGGGAATTACAGATCTCCAGTAGAAACCAACCTAGAGTATCACTAAGGCTGTTATTTGCTTCCTTTATAGCCTTCAGCTTATGTGTTGGAGATTTTTAAAGGAATCAAGTCGAGGTAAGTCCCAGTGTACAGTGACTATAATTTGTCAGCTAACAGCATTTATCGAATTCTTATCTGACCATGAGATAAATAGAAGTTATAATTGATGGTTATTTTCCTTATAGGTTTAATTATGTCAACATTTTGGTGGAAAATAGTATATTATAATGTCTTTCTGAAGCAGAACTAGGAGGCTCCTCCTAAAGTATGAAGGGAGATGCTTTTAGAGACAAATGAAGGGTAGCCCTACTTTATATTATAGGTAATGAGATCATCATCAGTCACAAGTACCAACTGGTAACCTTTTTTGGTTATGTGTTTCCTTTGGCTTATTTTCTGTGTACATACACAATTGGAATTCTATGTATATAATTTTATATCCTTTTCTTTTTCACGGAATATTTCCTGAGCATTTGCTCAAGTTACAAATATTCTTCAAAAATACATTCGTTGAATTATGTCAATCCATTGTATGGATAATTACTATTGGATTTGCTTTTGGTTTTTTTTGCTGTTAATCAGTACTGCTTCAGTGAACACCTTTACATAGGAATCTTTGTCATAGCATAACAATAACTATCAGTGGGCATGAGTTTTTTAAAGGTTTGTGTTGCTGAATTACTTTCCAGAAAGTTTATAGTGATTTTGACCAGCCTTTAACAAATTCTTTTGCCAGGTTCAGAGGCAAAAGGTGGTATTATATTATTTTAATTTCTTTCAATTATTAGTGAAACAGCATTTTATATTTGTTGGCCATTTGTGTTTTTTCTGTGAATTTTTAGTTACTTGTCCTTTCTTATACTGTTCAGTAGTTTCTTACTGGTTTTAAGAATTTTTGTATCTTTTGTCATATATTTTTAAAATAATGTTTCTTGTTTGTGATTTACCCTTGGATTTTATTTATGAGTTTTACCTACTTAAAAGTTATTTGCATAACTTTTCTTAATCTCTAAATCTGTCCCTTACAACAAGAAATAAATACACTATCTGAGGATCTGAAACTTCCCTGGAGAAATGTAAATCAAAATTTAAATTAATGGAAGTGTTGTGCATTCCTAGAAAGGAAGATTCTATGTTCTAAAGATATAGGTTTTGTTTTTTGTTTTTTTTTTTAATTAGTTCATAGGTTTGTGAGCCCGGTTGAAAACCTCTTGAGATTTGGAATTGGAGTTGATGAAATGATGCTAGAACTAGGTCAAGAAAAATAAAACAAACCAGAAGAAAACAAGAGAGAGCTATCCTCCTAAATTAAAAAGCTATAAAATTAACAAAACTAAAACACTACAGGATTGTTGTTAGAATCAGTCATTAAAACAGACTTGAAAGCCCTGAAACAGAGTCTCATATGTCTCAGTGTATGGCAAAAAGAAGTATATAAAGATGGAATATTCAACAAAAGACTTTGGAGAAATAATTTCTCCAAAAAAAAAAAAAAAGTTAGATTCTCCTATCATGCCATGGACCAGAATGCATCAAATAGGTTAAAATATTAAATATAAAAAATATTGAAAAGAGGGAACCATCCAGAATATAGATGAATAGTTAATTTAACTCTGAATGGGTAAGATCTGTTCAAATATAAAAGCAGGAGGAAAAAAATAGTAAAAGATTTAAGAATTGAGCATGTTGAGAAATGTGACATTTTTAATGCTTATTCTCTTCTTCTTCAGTGAACTGGAAGAGTCTCTGCTTGTGCTACCTTTTTCTTATGTCCCGGACATCCTTAAGCTCTTTAATGAATTCATCCAGCTGGGCTCTGATATTGAACTTCTGTGTAGGTGCCTCTTCTTTCTGCTCAGGTAACATCCTTTCCAAAGAATCCTGTGTCTGCTCCGCCTGAGTGCTCTGGTGCTACTTGAACTAATGGTATCGATGCTCTGGGATTAAGAAACCTGATGTTTCAGACTGAGAGAGTTATAGGATTTCACTGCTGTGGGACATAAATTGTTATCCTGCAGAATCAGTCTTGTCCTTACCCAAGGAGAGTGATGGCCCACCTCTTTAAGTCACAAGACAGAGCATCGCTCAGGGATGCTTGCGTCAGCATAGGTCTCTGGGTTGCAGTAGCTCTGATCCTTGTCTGTTTGCTGAGAGCCCATTACTGAATAAGCCAATTGGCCTCATTTGTTGTGTCTTTTTAACTGTGTAAGCAAAATGATTTAGTTTTGTCCTCATAACAGCATTGTAAGGAATGGTGCCTTTACTTTTCAGGTCTCTGTAGAAACAAATGGAAAAGTAAGGGCATACAGGGAGGGAAGGAAGAAACATGCTTATTGGATTATTCTTAAATATGAACATTTCCTCTTAGTGTGTAATTGAGAAGAATATATTTATAAGAGTTTAAGAATATACTCTTCTTGAATCCTGTTCTCTGCCCCTCAGTCTTCAGCTGTTAGAGCAGAGAACAGAAACAGAGAGATTGAACACTCTTTAAAATGCTCTTAATGAAGATAAAATACAAACTGATCAGCCAATACCAAATAGTTAAAAAAAAAAGGCCCAAACAGGTATATTTCATGAATTGGAATTTGCCTCGATCTATTTTCATGCTTCTTTTTTTTTTTTTTTTTAAGATTTTATTTATTTATTCATGAGAGACAGAGAGACAGACAGAGAGCGAGGCAGAGGGAGAAGCAGGCTCCCAAGGAGCAGGGAGCCCGATGCGGGACTCGATCCCAGGATGCCGGGATCATGACCTGAGCCGAAGGCAGACGCTTAACCATCTGAGCCACTCAGGCGCCCTATTTTCATGCTTTTTAATCCTCTGTTCCTTTTATTCCATCAGGATAGTAGCAAAAGAAGAACAGTGATATGTTCATAGTATTCTTTTGCCATATTTATAATTCTGGGCAAGTCCTGAGGCCTTCAGTTGGTACTCAACAATGTTACTAATAATTTCTTACCGCTGTGGCATCTGTACTATTGAAATCAGGGTTACTCATTCTAAGTGAGACACCATGAGGGCTTCCGGCATATTAGAGGGGTCACTGATGGGGAGGCCCATACAAGTAGCTGTGGCAGGTCACAGGTGAGCTTGAGGATGTGCACCGAGGAACGTAAGTTCATGGACATCATCTTGGTACTCTAGGTCGGAGTCTGACTCTCTGATCAGGGACTCTTTTTTGCTGTGGCTTCACTAGAAATACTAATAAACCTTTGTTGAGGGCGCCTGGGTGGCTCAGTCGTTAAGCGTCTGCCCTCGGCTCAGGTCATGATCCCAGGGTCCCGGGATCGAGCCCCGCATCGGGCTCCCTGCTCTGTGGGGAGCCTGCTTCTCCCTCTCCCAGTCCCCCTGCTGGTGTTCCCTCTTTCACTGTGTCTCTCTCTGTCAAATAAATAAAATCTTAAAAAAAAAAAGAGTTGAGGGCACCTGGGTGGCTCAGTCGTTAAGCGTCTGCCCTCGGCTCAGGTCATGATCCCAGGGTCCTGGGATCAAGCCCCGCATCGGGCTCCCTGCTCCGCGGGAAGCCTGCTTCTCCCTCTCCCACTCCCCCTGCTTGTATTCCTGTTCTCGCTGTCTCTCTCTGTCATATAAATAAATAAAATCTTTAAAAAAATAAAAAATAAAAAATAAATAAACCTTTGTTGAGTTAGTATTTCTTAGAGAGTTCATTTCTCTGAGCTTTCCATAAAATACCATTTTCAGGGCGCCTGGGTGGCTCAGTTGGTTGAGCGACTGCCTTTGGCTCAGGTCATGGTCCCGGGGTCCTGGGATCGAGTCCCGCATCGGACTCCCTGCTCCGCGGGGAGCCTGCTTCTCCCTCTCCCACTCCCCCTGCTTGTGTTCCCTCTCTCGCTGTGTCTCTCTCTGTCAAATAAATAAATAAAATCTTAAAAAAAAAAAAAAATACCATTTTCAGAGTCTGTGGCCGCATGGTAGATGGCTGCGAAAAGAGCCAGCTTTGCAAATGAGTTGAATGTGTCATAACTTTTACGATAGTACTGTTAAAATTGACAGATAAAACTGAGTAGCAGGGAAGAAACATCTTTAGCTATTTTTGCCAGAAGCATTTCTATACTGCCATAATGATATGGTGAAATGAATCTTTTTCTCTTGTGTTTTGTTTTGTTTTGTTTTACTTTGATATTGTCTATTTGCTTTTCTAGAAGGGGTAAGCAGAGCCAGAACCACTACCTCTCTTTGTAATGTGACTGTTTTGTTTTTCTTATTAGAATTCACTTCGGGCAGATCACTAGTAACCAAATGCTTGTGCCAGTGATTGAAAAGTTAAAGGAAACAACTATTTCAAAAGTCAGCCAAGTCCGGGTAGGTATCCCTGTAGAAGTACAGTAACGAGGGGGGAATCCTAGTGTGTGTGTGACCTAGAAGTAGCATAGGGAGCTGTGCCTTGTCTTTGGTGGTATTGACCAGACATATATCAGTATTTGAGAGAAGATTTTCATTGGAGCTGGTAGGAATAGAGAGAAGAAAACAAAACCAAACCAGAAAGACCTTGGACAAGGAGGGATGAGTAAGAACACCTGAAGCATTGGTTCTCCTGACTTGCTTATGCTGCTGTATTGAACTGAAGTGAAAGAAAGGTCATTTAATCTTTCTTATATCCCCCCCCAACCCCCCAGGATGTTATTGGCTTCAACATGGCAGGTCTTGAATATCTCAAGAGGGAATGCGAGGCAAAAAGTGAAGTTATGTTTTTTGCTGATGCGACCAGCCAGTTGGAAGAAAAGAAGAGGAAGAGGAAAAAGAGGGAGAAGCTAATTTTAACATATACTTAGAACTCAAATGTGGTGCCCTTTTCTTTTTATTTAAAAGGACTTCTAAACTAAGCAGTGGAATTGGTGTCAACTTGGAAATAACCAAGTAACAGAGCTTGTTGTGTTACAGAAGATGTCAGGATGTGGTTCCCAGCTTTGCCTGAGGAAATGCCCAGTGTGGGACTGTGGGCTCTATTTCTGGGCTTACGGCTTGATAGTTTAAAATCTCTCTGTGCCCTCGAAGGTTGAACCCTTCAGGAGTTGTTCCCATTATATTCTAGCAGGGAACAACGAACTTTTTTTTATTAGTTTTTGACTAGAGCTGAAATGAACATTTCTAAAGTTTTTCTTATTTCTGTGATAACAGAAGATTTAATGATGTGTTACTCTTTGTATTATGTCTTACCGCCTACAGAGACTATCAGGTGCACAATTGATTGCCCTCTCCCATTAAATGCAGAGTTGTGGACCTACAGAGCTAAAAAGGACCATAAAAATTCTCTAAAACATCCTCCTTTAACTTCACCTCTTAGAGGTGGTTATATCTGTATATAAAAATATCTAATTGCTAATTTTTTCTACTTGTCTAGTTGTTTCTAATTAAAGTGTAGTCAAGCTGAGATGCCTTGCTGGGCTTCTGGGTGATTAATACCATAGACATACATACATACATATGTATATGCATGGTAAGAGTTTGGGGAGGTGGGAATATTTTAGAAGAAATGGACACATTCCTTTGGGCCTGGCTTCTCTTTGTGGGAAGTTTTTAAGTTGCTACTCCAACTTCGTTGCAGTTCTGTGCAGATTTCTCTGTCATCTTTTTGTTGTTGTTGTTGTTTTAAGATCTATTTAAATTCCAGTTAGTTAATATACAGTATAATATTAGTCACACATCCAGCACATCGATTCAGCACTTCCATACAATATCTGGTCCTCATCACAAGTGCCCTCCTTAATCCCCATCACCTTCACCGCCCCCCCCACCCCCCTCCCCTCCAGTAACCATCAGTTTGTTCTCTATAGTTAAGAGTCTGTTTCTTGGTTTGTCTCTTTTTTCCCCCTTTTGCTCTTTTGTTTTGTTTCTTAAATTTCACATATGAATAAAATCATATGGTATTTGTCTTTCCCTAACTGACTTTTGCTTAACGTAATACTGTCTAAATCCATCCATGTTGTTGCAAATGGCACGATTTCATTCTTTTTTATGGCTGAGTAATATTCCATTGTGTGTGTATATACCATATCTTTATTCATTCATCAGTCAATGGACACTTGGTCTGTTTCCAGATTTGGCATGTATCCCTTTGAATTAGTATTTTTGTATCCTTTGGGTAAATACCCAGTAGTGCAATTGCTGGATCATAGGGTAGTTCTATTTTTAATTTTTTGAAGAAGCTCCATACTGTTTTCCAGAGTGGCTGCCCCAGTTTGCATTCCCACCAATAGTGCAAGAGGGTTCTTCTTTCTCCTCATTCCTGTCAACACTTCTTGTTTCTTGTGTTGTTATTTTAGCCACTCTGACAGGTGTGAGGTAATATCTCATTGTGGTTTTGATTCACATTTCTCTGATAGTAAGTGATGTTGAGCATCTTTTCATGTGTTGGCCATCTGTATGTCTTTGGAAAACTATTCATGTCTTCTGCACATTTTTAAATTGGATTATTTGTTTTGGGGTGTTGAATTTGATAAGTTCTTTATATATTTTGGATACTAACCCTTTATCTGATAAGGCATTTGCAAATATCTTCTCTCATTCTGTTGGTTGCCCTTTAGTTTTGTCAGCTTTTTCCTTCACTGTGCAGAAGCTTTTTATTTTGATGTAGTCCCAGTAGTTTATTTTTGCTTTTATTCCCCTTGCCTCAGGAGACATATCTAGAAAGAAGTTGCTGTGGCCGATGTCAAAGAGGTTACTGCCTGTGTTTTCCTCCAGGATTTTGATGGTTTCCTGTCTCACATTTAGGTCTTTAATCCATTTTGAATTGATTTTTATGTTTGGTGTAAGAAAGTGGTCCAGTTTCTTTCTTTTGCGTGTTTCTGCCTGGTTTTCCCAACACCACTTGTTAAAGAGACCATCTTTTGCCATTGGATGTTCTTACCTGCTTTGTCAAAGATTAATTGACCATATAGTTGTGGGTTCATTTCCGGGTTTTCTCTTCTGTTCTATTGCTCTATGTGTCTATTTTTGTGCCAGTACCATACCTAGGTATCTTGTTTTTGGTGCAGTTGTAAATGGGATCTATTCCTTGATTTCTCTTTCTGCTGCGTCGTTATTGGTGTATAGAAATGCAACAGGTTTCTGACATTGATTTTGTATCCTGCAACTCTACTGAATTTGTTTATCAGTCCTAGCAGTTTTTTATCGGAGTCTTTCAGGTTTTCTGATAGAGTATCATGTCATCTACAAATAGTGAAAGTTTTACTTCTTCCTTGTTAATTTGGATGACTTTTATTTCTTTTTGTTGTCTGATTGCTGTGGCTAGAACTTCAGTACTATGTTGAATAAAAGTGGTGAGAGTAGACATCCCTGTCATGTTCCTGACCATAGAGGAAAAGCTCTCAGTTTTTCCCATTGAGGATGATATTAACTGTGGGTTTTTCATATATGGTCTTTATTATGTTGAAATATGTTCCCTTGCTTTGTTGAGGGTTTTTATCATGAATTGATGTACTTTGTCAAATGCTTTTTCTGAATCTATTGAAAGGCTCATATGGTTCTTATCCTTTCTTTTATTAATGTGGTGTATCACGATTGATTTGTGAATATGTTGAACCACCCTTGCAGCCCAGGAATAAATCCTACTTGATCGTGGTGAATGATTCTTTTAATGTACTGTTGGATTCAGTTTGCTAGTATTTTTTTTTTTTTTTTTTGAGAATTTTTGCATCCATGTTCATCAGGGATATTGGCCTATAGTTCTCTTTTTTAGTGGAGTCTTTATCTGGTTTTGGTATCAGGGTAATGCTGGCCTCATAGAATGGATTTGGAAGTTTTCCTTCCTCTTCCATTTTTTGGAACAGCTTGAGAAGAATAGGTATTAATTCTTTAAATGTTTGGTAGAATTCCCCTGTGAAGCCATCTGGCCCTGGACTTTTATCAGTCTGTTCAAGTTTTCTATTCTTGTTTCAGTTTTGGTAGTTTATGTTTCTAGAAATTTATCCATTTCTTCCAGGTTGTCCAGTTTGTTGGCATATAATTTTTCATAATATTCTCTTATAATTGTTATTTCTCCTCTCTCATTTGTGATTTTGAGTCCTTTCTCTTTTTTTCTTGATGTGTCTGGCTAGAGGTTTATCAATTTTATTGATTTTTTTTCAGCGAACCAGCTCCTACTTTTATCAATCTATTTTTTTTTAGTTTCTTTTTTGTTATTGTTGTTAAGATTTTATTTATTTATTTGACAGAGCGAGAGACATGGTGAGAGAGGGGAACACAAGCAGGGGGAGTGGGAGAGGGAGAAGCAGGCTTCCCGCGGAGCAGGGAGCCCGATGCGGGGCTCGATCCCAGGACCCTGGGATCATGACCTGAGCCGAAGACAGATGCTTAACAACTGAGCCACCCAGGCGCCCCTGTTTGTTTTGTTTTTTTTAGTTTATATATCACTTATTTCTGCTCTAATTTTTATTATTTCCCTTATGCTGGTTAGGCTTCATTTGTTGTTCTTTTTCCAGCTCCTTTAGGTGTAAGGTTAGGTTGTTTATTTGAAATTTTTCTTGCTTCTTGAGGTGGGCCTGTATTGCTATGTGCTTCCCTCTTAGGACCACTTTTGCTGCATCCCAAAGGTTTTGGACTGTTACAGTTTTGTTTTCATTTGTTTCCATGTATTTTTGATTTCCTGGTTAACCCATTTATTGTTTAGTAGCATGTTTTTTAACCTCCATGTATTTGTGGTCTTTCCAGATTTTTTCCTGTGGTTGACTTCTAGTTTCATAGTATTGTGGTCAGAAAAGGTGGATATGATCTCAATCTTTTTGTTTTTGTTGAAGCCTGTTTTGTGACCTAATATGTGATCTGTTCTGGAGAAGGTTCCATCTGCACTTGAAACGAATGTGTATTCTGCTTTAGGATGGAATGTTCTGAATATATCTGTTAAGTCCATCTGGTGCAGTGCATCACTCAAAGCCATTGTTTCCTTGTTGGTTTTCTGTTTAGGTGATCTGTCCGTTAATGTAAGTGGGGTATTAAAGTCGCCTACTATTATGTGTTATTATCCATATAGTTCTTTTATGTTTGTTATTAATTGTTTTATATATTGGGCTTCTCCCAATTTGGGGGCATAAATATTTACAATTGTTATATCTTCTTTTTTTTTTCATTTTTAAATCATTTTACTCTTTATACCATAATCACATTAAAATTGGCAGAACTCCCATAACCAACAGGACAGAGACCTGTCAGGCAAGGCAAATAGTGAAGGTTTCATAAAGCTGGAGAGAAGTACCAGGGTTCCACAGGATGGCCGCAGCGATCTCAGACAACAGTGCCACGGTGTTGGTGTTGGAGCAGGTGGGAACACAGGCGGCCACAGCCATAGCTGGCCTGAGGCCACTGCTGTTTCCTAAGGGGGATTTCCTAACATGCTTGGAAAGCAGATCACTTGAACAGAAGTGCATGGAGCAGGGTACTGCTTCTGCTGAATAAATTCTACAGGTTCCTGGGCAGGGTCTACAAATCTCATGTGATAAATGGTTGCTGAATTAGGATTTTGCAAAGGCAGTCCCATAACCAACATCCAGGGAAATTTTACCACCAGTGAAATTCTTAGGCCAAAAAATAAATAGCCACACATACCAAACCTACACACCGTGAATTAAAATGGTGCCATGTTAGGGCTTATGAAAGAACCAGAGCAGGAAAGATTATTCAAACAGAAGATCCTCATCCTTCTCTTCAGCCAAAAGATTAGCAGGCTCCATCACCTCACCAGCTGCCCTCCGTTGCTCCAAGTCTTTCTCCGATTTTTCCTTGAGAATCTTTTTCTTCTCCTGTATTTTCTTTAATCTATAGAACTCTTCTCGCTCGCTCTCATCCAGCTCTGTGATGATATAAGCAAGGATATGTTCAATACGGGGAATGATGACGCGTTCAATGGCATTGACACGCTTGTCGCTTATCTTAATGGCTTCATCCAAAGTAACAAAGGAAGTCTGAAGCGAAGCTAGTTCCATCAGTAACTCCACTGCTTTGGCATAGTTCCTCTTTAATTTCACCAGCTGCTCCCCACCTCTGGCTAAACCAGTCAGTTCATAACTGTCAGTTCCTTCATGGTAATGTTCAAACACTGGCAAAGTAACACCTGCTGCGTTATCTTTCTTAGCTCAGATCCTCACTTGGGCTTTATTTACATTTTGGATAACTGTGGTGCTGAAATCCCCTGCTGTGAACTTGGCCTCAGCAAGTGAAAAGGCAGCCTCTCTCATCACTTCACCCATCAACATTTTAGTCTCTATTATCTTCTTTAGGATCTGTCGAAATCGAAGAGTTAAGGCATCAGATTTTTTCTTCAGGAGGTTTCGACTTGTCTGTGCTTCTTTTAATTGAGCCTTCATGATGGTCTGTGCCATGCGTGAGGGAAAGATTTCAATTCGGTCTTTGCCCGACATTCTGACAATGATAGTTTGGCTTGGATCCCTCGCCGGGCAGACGAGGCTGCAACAGTCCCAGCCACAGGGTTGTCCTCTCTTGTTATATCTTCTTATTGGGTTGTCCCCTTTGTCTGTTTTTATAGCCTTTGTGTTTTTATAGTCTTTGTAAGTCTGGTTTGTTCAATAGATGCATTGGTACTCTGGCTTTCTTTTGACATCCATTTGCGTGATAAATACTTCTCTGCCTCCTCACTTTCAATCTGCAGGTGTCTTTAGGTCTAAAATGAGTCTCTTGTAGGCAGCATATAAAGGAGTTTTTTTTATCTGTTTTGACACCCTGTGTCTTTTGATTGGAGTGTTTAGTCCATTTACATTCAAAGTAATTATTGATAGACATGTATTTATTGCCATTTTATTACTTATTTTCTCGTTTCTGGAGATTTTCTCTGATCCTTTCTCGCCTTTGTCACTTTTGGTCTCTCCTTTGCACTCACAGTCCCCTTTAATATTTCTTGCAGAGCTGGTTTAGTGGCCACAGATTCCTTTCATTTTTGTTAGGGAAGCTTTTTCTCTCCTTCTATTCTGAACGATAGCTTTGCTGGATGGAGTATTTTTGGCTGCAGATTTTTCCCATTCAGCACTTTTGAATATATCATGCCACTCTCTTCTGGCTTGCCATATTTCTGTTGAGAAATCAGCTAGCCTTATGGGTTTTCCCTTGTAAGTTAGGGACTTTTGTCTTGTTGATTTTAAGATTTTTTTTCTTTATTACTATATTTTGCAAATTTAATTACAACATGTCTTAGTGTTGACCTGCTTTTATTGATTTGTTGGGAGTTCTCTGTGCCTCTTGAATCTGGATATCTGTTTCCTTCCCCAGATTAGGGAAGTTTTCTTCTATTATTTCTTGAAATAAATTTTCTGCCCCCTTTTCTCTCTCTTCCTCTTCTGGAACACCTATGGATACAAATATTACTATGTTTGATGGAGTCACTAAGTTCCCTAAGTCTACTCTCATGTTCCATATTCTTTCTCTCTTTTTTCAGCTTCTTTATTTTCCCTTATTTTCTCTTCTCGCTCAGTAATTCATTCCTCTGTTTCTTCCAGCCTGCTTGTCATCGCATCAAGCCTGTTTCCAATCTCATTTATTGCATTTTTCATTTCTGATTCTTTTTCAACTCCTTTATCTCTGTAGTAAGGGTCTCACTGATATCTTCTATTCTTTTCTCAAGCCCAGTGAGTATTCTTATGATTGTTGTTTAAATTTCCCATCAGTTATGTTACTTATATCTCTTTTGCTTTGATCTCTGGCCGTGGCCTTATCTTGTTCTTTCATTGGGATAAATTACCCTGTCTTGGCATTTTGTCTAGTCTCTGCCTTTTCCTGTGTGTTAGAAAAGCCAGTTAGGTTTCCTGCCCCTGGTAATGGCCTTTATGAGAAAGACGTCATGTAGTACCCAGAGCCTGGTGCTTCAGGGAGTGTCTCCAGTGTGTGCTGCCTGCACTCTGCTGTTGTGTTTTGGCTGTTCTATCTTTTAGGCCAGTCGTCTGCAGAGGCTCTCCTTGCCTGCTGTGGACAGTGTTTGGTTCCTGGCCTGAATGTGGTGAGTTTTAACTCGATGTGCTCTGGTCTGCTTATGACATGAATCCTGATACCACTTCCACAGAGGCGCTGCAGAACTCTCTGGTGGGGAGATGTGGTGTGGGCAGGGGTTTGTGCTGGTCTTCTGGGGTAGTGGCCCACCACGCTTGGACTGAGGCAAGCTTGACTAAGAAGGCAGCCCTAAGAGCTCAAGAGTGTGGGGTTTCATGTAAGCAAGTTGGACAGCCAGTGTCAGTGCTGAGCTGCTTCCTTCGGGTGGCTCTGTGTTTATGCTGAGGGGTGGTGGAGGGAAATGGCACCAGCCAGCTCCTTTGTTCCCAGAGAGGTGTCTCTGAATGTTGATAATCCCCCCCACCCCCCCATGTCCCGGCATTTTTTCACATGGCTCTTTCCATGCTGTCTGCACCCAGGCTGTTTTCCTGCCTTCTCTTCTGGAGCACAGTGCCCTCTGGGCTCTATCCCAGCCAAGCCTGCTGACCTTTAAAACTCCAGGCTTTAAGCTCCACTGGTTGCAAGAACTCACAAAATTAACCCCTTGTCATTTTCCAGGCCAGTGGCTTCCAGGAAATATCCCCTGGTCGGTTCCACTGGCTATTCCTCTCTCTTGCCCTTCTCTATGACCACAGCTCCCTCCCTGCCAGAGCAACCATGATTCATTTCTCCCCTAAAACACAGCTCCACACTTCCTGCTTCTTTGATGTGGCCTCTTCTATCCCTTTGGCTGTGGAGCTTGTTCTGTCAGTCTTAAGGTCGATTTCTGGGGTATTTATGCTGATTTTATCATTTTCTAGTTGTGTTTGTTGGACAAGATAAGCCTAGGGTCCTCCTACTCCACCGCCATCTTCTTTTCTTTCTCTGTGTCTTCTTGAGTCAGTTTCAGTGGTTGGTGTCCTGTGAATTTGTCCATTTCATTTAAGGCGCTGTGTTGTGGTGCCACCATTTTTTTTTGTCAGTCTCAGAGCTGCAGTTCTTGTGGTGTGGTTATCCGAGGGTCCCTAGCCACAAGTCTAGTACTATTCCTGACCATAACAACACAGTCAATGAAGTAAGGTAAGGAACATGGTGGTATTATTTGTTGTGCAGAATATAAGTAAAGATTATTTTAGCATATAGTTCCTGAAGCTTAAGTATGAAAAGGTAAGAGAAGAGATAGTATGGTGGATTCTAGGTGCTTCTAGTCTGAAGAAGCAGCCTTTTCTTTAAGCGTCTGTTCCTGCCACTAGGGAGAGGAGTTAGTTACCTATTGAAAGATATCCTAATTCTTGAATGAACAAAGGCTGAATCCATATCATGTCTGTGCTTCTTGGAAGTGTTCATCAGAAAATAGGAAACTGCAGCATTTCCCATTAATGTTTTTGATGTTTTCCAAACCAAAACAAGATCAGAAGGGTACTCTACTTGTATTTAAAAGTGTTGCTTTCCCAGAGCTTTGCCATCAGTTAACATGGATTGTAGCAGGGAATTTAAAGGTGTTTCTGTCTGGTAGGTATTACACAAATCAAAGAGAAGGAGAGCTTATGACAGATGAAATGATGTGTATAGGAAGTGACTGAGCTCTAACTTTTGGTCAAAATACTTGAAACTCCTTAACCCTAAAGGTTTAAGGTTAACCGGTCAGTTAAAAAGTTAATTTTAGGGGTACCTGGGTAGCTCAGTTGTGGGATCAAGCCCCTCGTCAGGCTCCATGCTCTGCAGAGTTTGCTTTAGATTCTTTCTCCCTCTCCCTCTGCCCCTCCCTGCTTGTGCTCTCTCTCTCTAAAAATAATACATAAAATCTTAAAAAAAAAACAGTAAACTTTAAAATTTTAAGCCAAGCCAGTTTCTAGTCATTAAGTCAGCATTTATTGGCTTAGCCAGCCATTGGCTAGATATAATCCTTAGTACAGGAACCATGTAAGGAGTAATAACTCTTGCAAATCATGCAGTGTTACCTGTAGAAGCTGGTGATGCCATAAAGAAAAGCCTCATGATGGTTTATTAGGAACATAACATCTAAGCGTTTAAATATTTATATATGTCTCTATGTAAAGAAGATATGCTTAACCATTTTGAGATTCCCTGGCTGGAAGTTAGGTGCTTGGTATACTTGGTTATTAAATTGTTTCTCAGTTCAAGTGTCCTAAGTCCTAGCTCCCCCAAAGAAATCTCTAAATCTGGGAGGTGACATAGGACAGTGACCAAGGAGGCAGTGGTGTCTGTCATTGGGCCCAAAATTGTTTCTAGGGTTCCCCTTCTTATCAGCACAATTGATGAGCCTGCTCAATGTAGCCTTTCCAGGCCAGCCATGAACTCAGTAAGAAGCCACCTGGCCTACATACACTCTCCACAATCTGCCCCCTTTCCTCACAATTTAAGATCCTAAGTTTTGAGATGAGACTGAGGTTCTTAGTAATATCACCTTATATTCTAAGTCCTGTCACTATTTCTGAAATGTTGTGGGCTCCAAGCAGCTCTCATGTGATTTTAGGATTGAGCACACATGGTCCAACAGTCACTGGCCCCAACCTTTGTTAGGTCAAGTTCAAGTTGCCCTTGTGTATTTCCTTCCCTGTGAGTGTGGGCAGGACCTAGTGACTGGCTTCTAAAGAACAGAATACAGCAAACATAATAGGATGTCTGTTCCAAGAGTGGGCTATAAAACACTGCATTCTGCCTTGCTCACACTCTCAGGCTCTTGTTCTGATAAACCAAGCTGCCCTGCTCTGAGATTCCCTAAGGAGAGGCCCACATGACAAGGAACTTCATCCTGCCATCGACTGCCTGAGTGGGCTGAAAGCACATTCATTCCCAGTTAAGCCAGAGTATCCAACTGCACTCTGTCTAGATTCTGGAACCATGGAAGCTCTGAGATCTTAAGTGACTGCTGCTTTAAGCCACAAAGTTTTGGGTTAATTTGTATGTAGCAATAGATAACTAATAGAGCTTCTATAGAGCGAATTACCTAACATGGTGATGTTTCAGATTCCTCATCTATAAATTAGGCACAATAGTGTCTACCTTCATAAAGTTATTGTGAAGTGCTTACTGCCTCAAACACGAGATACGGTACTACTGTTACTGTGTGAGCTACACAAGATCTAAAACTACAGAATGATTCCAGTACATACACACATAGAAGGGATGGGAAAGAAATATACTAAAACGTTATCTGTTAGCTCTGGGTGATATTATAGAGAATGTTTACACTAGATGTTTGTCTTTAAAATAAAAGAATAAGTACAGTAGGCATCTTTCAATCTCATTAACTCTGTGATAAGATGAACAGAGGCATAAAGACAACATCACTTTAGACATTTCTTCTATTAGGTAGATGCACAAAGTTACTTATGATAGATTGGTGCCAACAGGAATTATGTATCTATTCGAAAGCTGTTTTGTAGTTTTTAAGAGTTGTCTAGCTAGTGATGATTTCACCACTTCTCAGTTTAGAGTAACTTCTGAAAGTCATAGAGTAGAACTGACATAAACCATGATTTCAGTGGTTCCCAAAGTATATTTTAAGACCCCTGGGGGTCTGTAAGACCCTTTCAAGGAGTTTACAAGGTCAAAAATATTCTCAAAAAATATTAAAATCTGTAGTTTGAAGAGTGGTCTCCAAAAATTCACGTCTACTCAGAGCCTGTGCACATGACCTTATTTGGAAATAGGGTCTTTTTTTTAAAAAAAAAAAGATTTTATTTATTTGACAGAGAGAGAGACAACGAGAGAGGGAACACAAGCAGGTGGAGTGGGAGAGGGAGAAGCAGGCTTCCCGTGGAGCAGGGAGCCCGATGCGGGGCTCGATCCCAGGACCCTGGGATCATGACCTGAGCTGAAGGCAGACGACCAACGACTGAGTCACCTAGGCGCCCCTGGAAATAGGGTCTTTATAAACGTAATTAGTTAAGATGAAGTCATGCTAGATTGGAGTGGACCCTAAATCCAGTGACTGTGGCCATATAAGAATGTAACGTGAGGAGACACGGAGAAGGAGGCCACATGACCACAGAGGCAGAGACTGGAATTGGTGTGATGTAGCTATTAGTTAAGGCACACCAAGGACTCTGGCTACTGCAAGAAGCTAGGAGAGAGGCAGGAAATCTCTTTCAGCCTCTAGAAGGAACCAGCCCTCGAACACCTTGGTTTCAGACCTTTGGCTTCCTGAACTCCAAGAAAATAACTAACTTGTCTTAAACCACCCAGTTTGTGGTAATTTGTTATGGAGGCCTCAGGAAACTACTAGTGATACCAGGAAGCGGGGTGCTACTGGAACAAATGCCTAAAAATGTGGAAGTGGCTTTGGAATCAGGTAATGGGTAAAGGCTGGGAGAATTTTGAGCAGTGCAATAAAAAGTCTAGGTTATCTTGAAATGACCTTTGGTAGAAATAAGGACTTAAAAACAATTTTGGTGAGGGCTCAGAAGGAAGCGATGGGGAAAGTAGAGAAAGCTATCATCTCGGAGAATTTCTACATCATCATGAACAACATGTTGATAGAAGTACGAACATTAAAGGTGCTTCTGGTGTGACCTCAGACAGAAATGAACGTGTTGTTGGACACTGGAGGAGAAGTTAAAAGGTGGCAGAGACCTTGGCTGAATTGTGTTCTGCTTTTGGGTTTAAGGTAGAACTTGTGAACAATGACATTGAATATTTAGCTGAGGTTTCCAAGCAAAATATGGAAGATGTGGCCTGAGTTCTTACTGCTTATCATAAAATGCAAGAGAAAATAAATAATTTGAGGAAGGAAGTGGTTAGCAAAAAGGAACCAAAACATGATGAGTTCGAAAATTCACATTCTGTCCATACTGCAAAACAATGCTAAGGCATACTCGAGCAGTCACCACGGGTGTGTGGTGGAGAGATTAGCTTTATGACCAAGGAAACAATCAGGCATCTCAGCAGAAGCCAAGAATAGAGGTCCGGTTATCCAGGAAGGATCTCTGGAGAAGCCTCATGTCTAATGATGTGGATCTCCTTGACATCCATGAAGACTGACAGATTTTTGAGAATGTTAAATCAGCAGAAATGCTGCTGGTTTGGCCTGACAGGGACAGAGATGGGACAAGATGAAGGAAGACTGCCAGACTTCTGGTATTCTAAAAGCAGGAAATGGGCTTTTTTTTAAGATTGTGTCCCAGGCTGAGGACGAAGAGGGTGGAGCAACAGGGCCTCTGAAGGTCTAGAGGTTGGGGCTGGTGAAGCCTCTGTGGGCCCAGAGGGCAGATCAAGCCACAAATGATTATTCTAAGGCCTTGAAACTTAATGAAATTTGCCTTGCTGTGTCGCACACTTGCTTTAGCCTAGTGACTCTCTTCCTTCCACTTTGTTCCTTTTGGGTATATCTATCCTATGCTTTTTCCACCATCGTGTTCACACATCCACCAATGGAAGGGAGACCAAGGCAGGTCATACCAGCATCTTACCCATACTTGATTTCAACGGATGAGATGTGAGTTGATGCTTATTTTGATGAGAATTTAGGTTTGGAGTTAATGCTGGAACGGGTGAAGAATTTGGGGAATGTTGGGATGGGATGATATATCTTGCATATGGGATGGATGTGAATATTGGGGGATCAGAAGCAGATTACACTGGGTTTGTCTCCACAAAATTCATGTCTACTAGAAACTGTGAAGATGACCTTAAGATGACATTCAGGATTAGGGTAGCCCCTAAATCTAATGAGTGGCATTCTTATAAGGAGAGAGACAGAAATATATACAGAGGGAAGAATGCCATTTGAGACAGAGGCAGAGATTAAAGTGATGCAATAATAAGCCAAGGAACACCCAAGAATTGCTGGCAACCACCAGAGTTAGGTGAGAGGCATAGAACAAATTCTCCCTCAGTCTCCAGAAGGAGCCCCCACCCCACCCCGACACCTTGATTTTGGACCTCCGGCCTCCTGAACTATAAGAGAATATCTGTTGTTTTAAGCCACCTGGTTTGTGCTACTTTGTCATGGCCAGCCCTAAGAAACTAATAAAGATTTGTTAGAGTAGCATCCATGATACTATTTTGCTTTTTCTCTCATGAGCATACAGTAGAGTTTTCCAGAGGCTGTGTGATGTCTGATATCGTGACAGACTGAATATAGAGCAGGCGGGATAATCCAACTGTGCTCTATTAAGCCAGACATTGAAGAAATTTGTAAAAATGTAAACAATGTCCCATGAATAATAAATTTTTGTTTTGGAAAATAGTTATTTTTCATTAAAAAATATCTATGTTAATATATTGGCTTTATTATGGTTTTTACATTGTAAATTTTTCCCAGTTTTCATTCCAATTTGGTAAATGTGATAGCTATGACCCACATGAATGAAAGCTCTTTGGGATCCTTAATAATTTTTAAGAATATATAAAGAATCTCGTGTCCAAAATGTTTGACAACCATGGGCTTAATTGTAAATTTTCAAGTCCAGAAGGACATCCTGGTATTGGTGCTCCTGCTTTTTGGAAGGTCAGCTTAACATTGAAAACAGTGCTTAAAAGAACAAACTTCAGAATCACATTGAAGTAGGTTAGATTTTTACATCATCTACTTAAGATTCTCTGAACTTCACTTTCCTTATTTATAAAGTGGGAAAGATAATATCTATCTTATCGGTAGTATGAGGATTAGATATGATCATGTACAGAGGGGAGTAGCCATTATAGTTATTTAAAACAAGTATTTCCATCCCACCAGCTTAAGTGGCTTATTGGTTTCTGGCTGTAAGGAGAGAGGAGCAAACATGAGGTCTAAGGCCTCACATTTGAATGGTTAATGATCAAGTTCCCATTTGTTACTTACTAGACCTAATGTTGAGAAATTTTACGGGACATGAAGATTCCAAGTGTAGAGGAAGAAATCGTAGAAGTCCTGTGGACCGTGGGATTTTCTTTTCCCTGAGGAAAATCTTTTGGTCTGTTATCATAATTGCTACTTGTTAAAACTGGTAAAATACTTGTTAAGGCATATGACTTTCATGATCAAATGATTTGTATATACAAATTCATAACATTTTAGAATCAGAACCTCTTCTCTAGCATCATCAGCTCCATTTTGGGTACTTTTCTATGCAATGTGAATTCTACAGACTCAGGCTTATGGAATGAAGGATGGATATTGACTTCCTGGATTTCTCCTGTTCACTCGGTGTATGCTTCTCTGCTGACTGTGGCTAGTCTTCCTACAGGAGCCATCAATTACCATAACCAGGTCCCAAATCACATCAACATCCAGATGTCATGCTTTTTTTGTGGGGAAGGGATAGATCTCGGGAAATGGGCTATGAATTCTCACTATTGATTTTAGAAGTAGATAAAAGATCTAATAAAACTCTCTTCCCCCTCTATCTGTGCCTAACTGATAGGTGGCTTTTAATCTATGAGCACGGAAATAGACACTTTATTAAGCAGAAATGCAAAATGACTTAATTGCTGCGGCCGGCAGCAGGGATCAGGTACTCTGGATCAGTATCCAATAACCTGCGTGAAGAGGATATGAAGACTTGACTTAATTCCTAGAGGAAAAAAACTGGTTCTTTGGTTAGGTTCCTTCTATCACTACAGAGAACCCTGCCATCACATCCCCAGTGAGGTCTTTCTGAGCACCCCACTTCAAGTTGGAATCCTCCTTAACACTCCCTGTACCCCCTTTCCTACTTTTCATTTTTCTCCATTGTACTATTAGCACCATTATAGTCCATATTTTACTTATTTTTTGTCCAGGCTCCTCCCACTGGAATGTAAGCTACATGAAGGCAAGGATTTTTGTCTTTTGTTCACTTTGCCTAGAGCAGTTCCTAGCACATTAGAGACACTTATCTTTGAAATAAGTGGACAAATGAATTGAGCAGCTCCATTTCTACTGAAATCAAGGTCATTTGACAAAGTTCCCCTAAATTTCCCCTTCACCTCAGAATGTCTGGATCCTTAGCCATCTTTGCCCACTCCCTCGCCAAGACCAACCCTTCGGCTCTGTTCTTGATTATTTTCCTGCTCTCCTTTGGATCTTGCTGCTTCAATTACTTCCTCTCATTCATATTTTTTAACGTTTCTCTTCTGATCCATTCCCTTCAGCCAAATCTAGCAATCTACTTAAATCTGAATTTTCCTTGACATCGCTATAGTATCTGTCAACTATGTCCATGTTTTCCTTGAAACTCTTTCTGTGGCTTCTGAGATATTTCCTGGCTTTCTAATTGCTTGCCCTGTCTCCACCGGCTCCTCTTCTTCCTCCTACTCCCTGAACAGACCTCAGATCTCTGCTCCTTTCCCATACCTTCAATCGTCACCTCTGTGTAGATGATGCTTAAAATGATTACATCTCCAGCTCTAACTCCTCAATTGAGATCCAGTCCTGCACATCCATGATTCATTACTTGAGCCCGAAACCTTGGAGTTGAACTCTTATGTCCTCCTACTTCCTTCTATCAATGGGTTCCACCTCAGATTTTACAGCACACCCCCATCCCCTGCCAAATGTCTTTCCATCCATGTCTCTCTCCCACTTTTGCCACACGATAGTTCCTGTCCTTACACTTGGCTTACTGAAGTGGCCTTCCAGTGCCTCTTTGCTTCTATTTGCATCCAGTTGCTCTTCTTCAACATATCCAGCACAGTAACACTGGATTCACTTTTATGAAAATATGCTGATTATATCATCCACAGGATCAGAAATCTTCAGTGATTCACTCTTGCTTTATAATGAAGTTTAAGCAAGGATTCAAAGTCTTCCACAACTTGATTCCAACCAACTTCCCACTGTGTTTCCTAAAATCCCTAAGTTCTCAACAAATTGAACTCCCTACCCTTCCCGACACCTGGAGCTCTCTTATTGCTGTGGATTTGTTCATTCTTTCTATTTTAAGTCTCCCTTCATCAAAAGTTTTTGCATTTATAAGACCCAGCTCAAATACCAAATAGATGAATAACTACAACACAAAGTACTATATGCTTCATGTCACTGGAGTACAAAATAATATAGGAATCAGGTGGGAAGAGTTTATTTCTACTTCTAGATTATATAAGTCTTTTAGGAAAGTGTCCAATTGTCATTTTTATGTATGAAAACATAATACTTTGCATATACTAGTTTACTTGATCTCTGTATGTATCCACATGCAAGAGACACCAATATGAAGGTGTGTGTGTGTAATCCGGTGAATATCCATTTATCCTTTATCAGAAGAAGGTATCTCCTACTCCCTAACAAGATTACAAGTTTGTTTTGATGACAAAGACTTGCTTTTCAAAACCATTCTGATTGTCTGATACCCCGTAGACAGCCATTAACATTGGCATTTGTTCAACTCACAGTTACTACTGTGCACGTACTCTGTAACAGGCATCTTGCTAGATGCTTCCAAAGATGAAATTAGCTTCCTCCTAAGAAATTAAATTCTATGGTCTTAAAAAATTAATGAAGCTATGGAGTATGCGTGTGAGGGGGTTAGGGAATAGCATTTTGACTTCTGTTTTCCCCTTGTTCAAATGTAATTTTTGTTCCACTTATGACCACTTAAATTGAGCTTTAAAGGATATTTGCTTCCACAGGTAAGAACAGGACGTCATGCTCAGTCATAATCTCAATATTGTGTGAGATGTGTGTTGATCCCTTGGCACCATCCCCTCCAACGGCCATGGCAAATAACTCCACCTTCAGTTCAGTCTGCAAACCAGCTGCCACCTATAGGACACAATGTAGCTTTAGAATCAGACATATCTGAGTTCAGATCTTGGTTTTAACCTGAATTTGGGCTAGTTACACTCTCTAATCTTATTTTCTCATCTATATGTTTGGCACTCATGAATGAGTGCCGTTATGGCTTCTAGAAGGATTACTGTGTAGATTAGTTAGGTAGAGTTCCGTTGAGCAAATGGGACCCAGGACAAACTGTTGAAGGAGAAAACCAGATGCTATTTAGGAAGAAAATGTCAGCGTACTGGTGGTGAACTGCAGGCAAACTTTTACAATGCCCATAGTTGTGCTATTTCTTGAATGTCAGCAGTGAGCTTTTATGGAATCCTTGCAGATAAAGGTAAATTTAAACCAAGAGAGTACCTGAGCCCCCAACTTCCCTGCCCTGCCCCTTGGTTTATAGTGTTCCTAATGGAGGACCTCTGATGTGACAAAGCCAGCAGAGGGAGACAGAATGAGTTTAAGTGCCAAACTGCTTAGGTCTGAAAGCTATGTGGAAGAGGTCTGGACAGACAAAGAAGAAACCCAAAATCTAATGAAGAAGAAACATAGCAAGGAATGGGCTTCTTGCCTTGTTCCTTGAAGAGAACACTGGCCAGGAAAGAAAGAGCTGTTTATGTTCCTAAGCTGCCTCTCCAGGAGGTAGGTTAAAAAGCAGACTTGAGAACAATTATCTGGAAAAAATACATCAGAAACCACCACATGGAAAGCAATTAAGATACAAATATGTTTTTTTTCTTCAGTATATTCTATAAAAATAATAGAACTGAAAAATGTTTCAACTTCTTCAACAATGTGCTTGTGAAGGTCTGCTTACTGGAGGGTATCCAATGCTATGCGTCTGAGGACCAGGCCCTTTGCGCTGGAGCCCAACGATGAGGGCAGGGCTGGGATGACGTCACTCTGCCCGAGGCAGCTGGCATCCTGCCAACGACTCAGGTCTCCCTGGACTCTGGGCATATTCATTCAGTGTTGGCAACTAAGCAAGCTGAATAGTGGTTAGACTTACATATGGAGAAGTCTGTAGATTTTATTTTTGCAGAGCCAAAACTGACTGGCAAAAAGGAAAAAAGTAATAAAAAAAAAAAAAAAACCTAACAGACAGTGAGCTTCAAAGAATACACGCTGGGTTTTTAATACCTACAAAGGTTGATCCAACAGTCATTTTTGGCTGTTGGCATCGCCCCCACTTTAAATGAAAAAAATTTGCTAACTTCTCAGAACAGTGGAAGAAGAGCTCGCTTTGATTTTTGCTTTTGCTTTATGTTGGGAAGTTTCTGGAATCTTGACACAGTACAATGATGAAATGTGACAGAGGGGTACTCATGAATTGGTGGATCTAACCCCAAAGTATATTTCTGTTTGGAACTGCAGCCCACAAACTACTGTTCTATAGACCATAAGATATAAGGGCTGGAAACGGACTAAGAAATTATCGGGTCCAAGCAACTTCTTTTGCAGATGAGGAAAGCAAGGTGCAGAGGGTTAATTAACCAACATCACTGAGCTGCTGGTAAGAGGCCAACTGATTCTGCACCCTATCAAATGGACCCTTCTGGGTCAACATACAATTGTGAATGTTTTAAGGTCTTGGGACTTTGTTTTAAGGTCTTGGGACTCAGTGAACACCACGTGCTGGTTCTGGAAGTGGACGCCCTTGCTTGGTATTCCCATGAGACTGTGTGTTCCTGTCTGTGATGAACAAGCATGTGTCTACCAGATGTCCTCACTTCATTCTGTCACTTAGTCATACATCGCAAGTCCCCACTATGTGTGCAGCTCTGGGAGCAACTTATATATGTCTACCCACTTTTAACACCCCCTGTCCCCTGTCCCTATCAGTGGTATTCAAAGTTTGTTGAATGAAATGGAATGTTAAGATGATGCACTGACCAAGAAATAAATGTTGAGATTTACAAGTGTGATTTTATTATGTTTTATATGTTATTTTATATATTATATTTTGTCTATTTATATATTTGTAAACTTCTGTTTACTTGATACTACATTTCTGAAATTATAATTTAAAGCAAGTGGCAATATACAGATTTTTTTATTAAACACCCCATTTTGGGGAATGTAGCAAATAAAATTAGAATAGGTTGACATTTTAAAATTGGTATTTTCAGAGCTCTTTGGAGAAATGAGGCAGCTGATGACTTTAATATACTACTATTTCTTAGAATGTCATTAATAATATTCTCTGGCAAATAGCAAAAGAACAAACCAAATTTATATAAAATACAAAAAATAGAATATTTATTTTTCCAAGAGATTTGTTTTCATTTTGCAGAAGAATTTATTACAGGATACCTTTAGGTAATCAGCTTTCCAAGTGCATGTCAAATCATATTTAATTTTTAAAAAGGTATTTTTCATGCAACTGTGCATAACTGTAGTATTGGGACAAATGAGTGAACTTCAGAAAAGTTTCCATAGCTGGAAGTTTAACTATTTATGCAAAGGATCTGTCTCACGGCTATTACATGCAATACGCAATGTCAAGCCACACGGCGTACCCAAAAGGCATCTTTTGCTTATGATACTAGAAAAGTTAGACTTACACATGATTTAAACTGAATGTGTAGAATGACTTAAAAAGCCCACTTCCCTGGAAACACACACACATTCACATGCGCACACACACGGACACACACAACAGGTAGCGCATAGGACTTACAGGCCCGGGTTTGTAAGTCACTTTCAGTCCTGTGCTGGGTGGGGGCTGCTTCACCCTAAACCTACCAGGCAAAAAGACGGGAATAAATGTATGCCATAAGGAAAAAGCAATGAATAAACCGGGATGTTATAAAATCAGGAAGGTGTTAATATTTGCTACAAAGGAGCAGGGGGTCCATACCATTAGGAGAGATACTCTGGTTTCTCTTCAGATCGCATAAATCTTTCGCCTTTTACCATACCATTAGGAGAACAACCTAATCATCACTTGGTAGAAGAATCTGGGGCCCATTTCACAACTGCCTTTCCAACAACAGTTTTCATCAGCGTCAAACAGACTCCAACCCCAGTTTCAACCCTCGGTTATTGGATGCTGCCGAGCCGCTCGGGCTCGGGCAGACTGTCATGAATGTTTGGCTTCTGTGTGTTTTGCAGCGTGGCCACCAGCATGAACACCGAGGCTGACTGCCAGCTCATTAAGCTGAAGAATAAAGGCTCTTTTGGAAAGCTCTGGAGCATGGGAGCCAGGCTTGCTCTGTCGTGGTATGGCGCTTGCATGTTTGGGCAGAAGAGAAACAGAAAAGGCTCAGAGAATGTTGGAGAACTTGAAAAGCCCTGTGCTCACACGTGGGGCTTTATTGATCTCTTTCCCTTCCTGTGGTTTGTGGGTTCTGCCTGAAGGTTAAAGACCTGGAGTAAATTAAAATGCCAGGGAAAGCCTACCTCTACGTTGACCTCAATCCCGCTCCTTCTACCAGCAACTTTGCTGTGTGTGCTGGAGCAGCTGAATTTAACAAGCTGAGGAGTGAAATCTCGAAAGCTAAAATTCTATACTGAGTAGGTAGGATCTGCGCAGATGAGTTTTATTAGTTTGAAGTTGATCCTCTATTTTTCCCCACCCACTCTGTTGGCAGCCATCTAAAAAAAACCAATAATGTCTGATCTGGTGGCCTGGTTGTGTCCGAGGAACAAACATAATTCCTGAAGCTGGGTATTTGCCTCAACTAAAATGGGATGTGGATCTTTTCAACTGGATGTCTCTGTAGCTTTGTTCCATCTGATTTCCAATCTTGAGCCCAGAATTATAAACTGGAAGCACTTGCCACTTACACTGAGCATAACTCAGCAATTGAAATAAACATTTATTCCACTTTTTGGGGGGGGACCCACATTACACCCAAGTTTAATGCAAAATAGAATAGGGGAGCTTTTGTAATTGGGAGTTGTCCTGTATAGACATAGAATATATTGACCCAATGGGAAGGACTGAACTCCCATAGGAAGCAGTGACCATAGCTTTGCTGATAAAGCTCCATGCCACAAACAGGTCCACAGAAGACTTGAGATCCAGCCTTGCTCTAGCCTACAAGACCTTAAAACATATTACTCTGATCCTTTATAATAGTCTCTAAGGTCTGTCTCTATAAGTTCCACAATTCTATTGATCTGGAAACAAAGGACTCCTTTTCTTGTCACTGAATGCCAGATACAGAGTATTTTCAACTGGGAGGACAGGTTGTGAGTTACGGTCAAGTCAGATCTTCAGAGGCAAAAGGACCCTAATGACTCGGGTGATTTTTTTTCCCTTTTTGCCCCAATTATGCAGAAATAAGGTAATGGAAATCACTTATGGATCAGAGAGGGCAAACAGATGTCAGCCGGTATTACAGTTGGTGGCAGATTTGAGAAATAGACTTTCAGGTTTTGTGCATTAGTTCCCATAACACTTGCACAACTCCCCCTTCACTCTTTGCTACTGCAGATCAGTCCTGAGTTGCTTCTGCCAAAGTATGAATAATGATTAATGGGAGGGCCAAGAAGTGCCCACCACATAGTTGAGGCTTGATAAACACTGAGCTGAGGAAGAATGAATAAATGAGTAAATGATGAATGAATGATGTGAAGATTCAGGAGTCAAGGTATAATTAGAGTTCAGTTCAAATAAACATGCGTTGATGGAGGCAGCTGAAGACAAGTCCCAGCATAGGAGAAGGGGACCTGAGCAGACCTTTGGTGCCTAGGCCTCACCTGCAGAAGTCCACTCCCACGTTCTTGAGCTTTACGGTGGTGGCATAGATGTGTCCCTCTTTAAGCACTCCAAACTTCACCGATGGTGGGAGAAGGTGGAATCCAAAAGGGGATGAATTCACATTGTTAATGGCAGCGGATGCAACAGAGGATGTTTTCACTCTTCCTCCAACCGAATCTCGCACCTTTGCATTAAAGGAACAGTAATCAAATAAAAGAAAATCGATTTCTACATTGTGTTCCCAAGATAAGAAAAGGGCTCAACTGCCAGAGGAAAATAACCGCTTGGCCGTGGGAGGAAATGAGCTTAACAGTCTTATGTAATCCTTGCAAGAGCGCTGTAAGGAGATATTTTAGGTTTTGCTGTAAGGATAAAGAAGCTCAGGTTCAGAGAATTTGAAAGACATCATTTGCTCAAGTGGTAAGTGGCGGAGTAAAGTTTCAAACTCGAGTTTGCCCGATTCTAAACTTTATGCTCTTGGTGCCAGTGATTATCAAACTTCAGCTTCCATCAGAATCACCCGGGAGGCTGGTGAAGACCCAAATTGCTGACTCCACCCCCAGAGTTTTTCAATCAGCAAATCTGGGATGGGGCCCATGAATTTGCATTTGTAAGAAGTTTCCAGGCCCTTCCAATGCTGCTGGTCGGGAAATCACTTTGAGAACCACTGCCCTATGCCCTTGTTATTCCCCAGATCAGCAGCACAGAGCTCACCTGGGAGCTTGTTGGAACTGCAGGCTCTCAGGCCCCAGTCACTCAGAATCTGCATGCTAACAAGATCCCCAGGTACTCCTATCACATTATCAGTTACGGACATTGCAGTAAGTTCTGTGGTGACCATGAACACGGACTGCCATGTAAGCATCGAAGGCTGACTCTCAAAACTGGATTGGTTGACTCAAGGCAGGGTTCCCAGCAGAGAGGCGAGGGAATCTTAATCTTAGAGGCCCTGAGGAAGGAAGGAGCTTGGTGCTTTTGGAGAACTAAGAGAAACCCACAATGGCTGAAGTGAGTATGGGGTATAATGAGGGTAGAGAAGCAAACAGGGCTTGTCATGATGCTGTCATTTGGATTTTACCCTAAGAGTCATGAGAAGGGTGGCCAGTGATCCCCTTAGCCAGTAGCGTGCTGGTAACCTGGCTCTTTGCAAAGAACAGTTGATCGGTAGCATTTGCTGATTTCCATGGTGCAAGAATCCCTAGCAGGCTGATTTCAAGCTACCAATGGCTTAAGAGCTGGCTCAGCCTTAGCTCATCTCTGTGTGACCTGAATGCCTTCATGGGGGGGTGATCTCGCACGTACAGTGAATAGCAGTTACCCAACCGCTGGAAATCAGCAACTTCAATGAGTCAGGATTACATAAAATGCCGGCTGGCTCTGGGAACTTGGTTCCCATGTCTGGTTTACCTTGGTGAGAGGTTGAGACTTGGGCTTGGAACTCAGCAAGTAGTGCGGCAACCTCACTTTCTCTTTCCTTGCTTGTCCTGAGACATCCTGCAGCAGTGACTGGGTTGGAATTTTCACGGGCGCACAGGATTCTGGGTCTGTTAGAAAGTTTAAATTATGCCACATGGACATTTTATTCAAAGACATCTGAGGTCCTACCAGAGTTTATGAGAACATAAACCAACTTGGGAAACGTTTCTCCTTTCCTTTTTAGGTGAATTCACATTGTTAATAAGTTAAAGAACTTATTCAAAGGAATAAAGGTTTTTTTTTTTATCAATTCTAGTGTTGCATCTTTACATTTTACAAAGAGATTTTACCTAACGTCAGTTCTCACAACACCGCTGTGAGATGGGCAGGGCAGACGCTTATTAGCATCATCTTTCTAAATAGAGAAAAGTCAAATTCTGAGAAGCTGAGTGACCAGATCTCCCCAGGGTTCATTCCATTAAATCAACAAGGTACAACACAATAAACACCGACTCTAAAGATCTCTTAAAACCAATGGGAGAGAAATCATAAGTTTTTTTGGTTCAACTCCTACATTTATACTTCTAAAAAGTGGCTTAGTAATTACAGATAAATTAAGCCAGGGAGTTAAATCCTCAGATCACTGAACTTGGCAAAGGAGTGAGCAAAAGTAGGTAATTTACATAGCTGCAGCTGTATGCATTTCTCCAAATATCCAAGAGGTTGAAACAAAAACAGTATTTTAAATCATCATATTTAAATATCTTTTCACACATTCAAATCATCAAGAGAGGGAAGGCAAGGAAACAAATATTCTAGTGTCCACCATCTGCAGGCACCACAGGTATGTTTTTACATACAGCATCTTACTTAATCCTCATAAAATCCTACGAGCTGAGGGCAATGGTAATTATAATTATTGTACGTTCAGCACTCTCGCCATTGCCCACCTCTACCCCCAACTCCTACCACACATACTTCCGGTGCCACCACATCTCTGGCCCCAGCCTTCAAGATGGCACATAACTCATGTACAGCCAAAGCAGGCCCTTCACCAGGATATTCCCACAGAAGGCGATGGGGATAATCCCAACTTGCCTACTGAGTTATGGATCTGGAAGAATCAAAATCTTGGACCTCTATTGTCATGGTACTTGCCACATGGACATAGTCTGTTCTTTGCAGGAGAGGATAAACCAAACAGGGACAAGTAGGGACGGGGCAAGATGGAGGCAGGGGGATACCCAGAGAGAGGGGCAATCAGACAAAAAGACACCCCGAAAAAGCTAGAGCACCTGGATCCAGTCATCCCTGGGCTGGCACCATGTCCACTACTCTGTAGTTAGCTTTTGAGCACCAAGAAATGTCCCCCATTTTTCTGTTCAGTGAGTTTGAGTTTGAATTCAGTTACAAATCAAAGCGTCCTAACAAATAATAGTATCTCTCTCTCTCTCTTTTTAACAAATGAGGAAACTGAAGTTAAAGAACTTGTCCAAGAAACTAAAAGAAGTGGCAGGGCTGGAATGTGTGCCTAAGTGAGTCAGCCTCCACCAGGAATGTGCTCCTACTAGTGTGAGATAACAGAAAACCTATATATTGGTTTCCACCCCTGGTTCCTGGCACAGAACTCCTAAAACCCTGGGAATTTCCTAGATGATAAGAGTGCTAGGAACATCTTTTGTTCTAAGATTTGGTCTTTGACCCAGGTTCCTGACACGAACTCTTAAATGTGTTGGACTTTCCTGGGTGATTGCAGTGTCTTTTGATCCGATGAGGCTACTCTTGGTGGGCTCCTGGATGGTTTGGGGGCCGTTCCCCAGAAAGACCAAACCATGATTAGAAGCTTGGACCTTCCAGCCCCACCTCCATCCTCTGGGAAGGGGAGAGGAGATGGAGATTGAGTTAGTGATTGATCATGCCTGTGTGGTGAATCCTCCATAAAAATCCCCACAGTGTGGGGTTCAGAGAGCTTCTGGGTTGGTGAACACATCCATGTGCCTTGAGGGTTTGCACCCCAACTCCACAGGGAGAGAAGCTCCTGTGCTGGACCCTTCCAGACCTTACCCTATGTACCTCTTCATCTGGCTGTTCATCTGTGCCCTTTATCACATCCCTTATATAATAATATATGAGTTCTGGGCGCCTGGGTGGCTCAGTTGGTTAAGCGACTGCCTTCGGCTCAGGTCATGATCCTGGAGTCCCTGGATCGAGTCCCGCATCGGGCTCCCTGCTCAGCAGGGAGCCTGCTTCTGCCTCTGACCCTCCCCCCTCTCATGCGCTCTCTCTCTCATTCTCTCTGTCTCAAATAAATAAATAAAATCTTTAAAAAATAATAATATATGAGTTCTACCAAACTGTAAAACCCTAGAAGGGGGTCCTGGGAACTCCAATTTATAGCTGGCTGGTCAGAAGCACAGGTGATAGCCTGGACTTGTGACTGGCATCTGAAGTTGGGGGACAGACTTATGGGACTGAGCCCTTAACCTGTAAGGTCTGTACTAACTGTGGTTAGTGTCAAAATTGAAGTAAATTGTAGGACACCCAGTTGGTGTCGTGGAATTCCTTGGTGTGGGAAACCCCTCCCTCCCACATCTGGTCACAGAAGCGTTGTGTATGAATAGTGAGTTTTTCCTAGACAACTACCCCAGTGTATCCCAAACTCATCCGTGCATCATAAAGCTCCTGGGCTAATTCTAGAAAAATAGAGATTCCCAGGACACTTGCCAGACAAGCCCTATTATAGACCAAAACAGAATCAAAATCTCTGGCGAGGGAACTCAGTGAGCAGTTTTTTAACGTATTTTATTCTTTTTGGTCACCATCTCCAACATATGCAACCATTCTAGTGGCTTGACGTGTCTTTTTGTTTGTATTCCTACCATATGCATATTACTGTTTTATGTGAATGCATTTTACCAGTCTAATGGGTTCTAACTAATCGCTCATACTGTTGTTATTAATAGTAAATACGGATACCACGTTTACACATGCCAGGCACTACTCTAAAAAAGCATCTTACAGATACTCATTTAATCCTGACAACGCCGTGATGTATATACCATCATTTCCCCCTTTACAGAAGAGGAAACGGGAAGAGACAGAGGGCTTAGACAGTGTGCACAAGGTTACACATCTCTTCTCGAAGGAGCCAGGTAGAGCCTGGATTCTTAGCTCTGCTCTGTACCATGCTGCCTCCCATAATACAGATGCACAATCACCCCACTGAGCTGCCCCTGGGCTTCAGCAGGGATTGAAAGAGGGGAGAGGAGTACTAGAGGGTCTTAAAGCAGCTGATACAGAGGTACTTTAATATTTGAATTGGGATGGTTCTCTAGTGGTATCATCTGAATATGACGTCTGGGCCTGACCCCCCTGAAGAAGCTGTCATGGCTCCCCATTTCTACACTGAGGCAGACTAGAGTATCTATTCACAATAATTTTTTCCCCCTTCCTCTCGGGGCATGGCTTTATTTGCTTCCTCTCTGAGCATGTCTTCCCTGCAGGTGGAGCCTATTTCTCTGCCCCACTGACATTGAGCTCCGCTACAGGACTTGAGCTGAGCAGTGAGAGTATGGGTAAGGGGCAGGGGACCAGCTCCAAGCAGAGGCTGTGAGGGGCAGTGCGCATTTCCACTCACCTCTCTTGAGCTTCGCCCCTCTGCCCTGGGAGCAGCTAGTCCCAGGGGGTGGCAGCTCCTTTCATTTGGGAGCTCGGACACCCCCACATTTCACCTGCAGCCCTTGGAGTGCTGGTAAAAGTTTAAGAACTGCCTCTCTGGAGAAAAACTGCCCTGGTTTGGACACTTTGCACATTTGCAGTATTTGCGGATTGCTCGCCTGGCCAACTCAAGCTCTTGGTGTGGTGTCACCGAGTGTGGATTTGGGGAGGGAGGTGCACACTCAGATCTCAGGGGCCTCGTGGGGCCCCTAGTGTGTCCACCTGAAGCCTGGAACAGAGGCTCCCACAGCCCACCCTTAAAATGCGTGTTTTAAACCGCTATTGGGTTTATACAATTTTATTGCAGCAAATACCAAGTACATTTTTATTTTACAAAATCCAGTCCTCCTCTACCTGACTCTGTTGATGACCAAATAAGAACCACTGAACTATTTATGCTAGTTTCCAGTTCATTTCTACCTTCAGGGTTTGGAACACATTACCCCCCCTTTTTTTTTGGTATAAATATTCTTTCCTTCTTCCTACATCCGGAGGGCAGCATAATAAAATATAGAAAATGAGGAGTCCAAAACCTCATTTTCTTGCCCTCCCAGATTCGCTGTATGATTTTAGATGTTGCTTGACTTCCTCTAGGCTTCAGTTTCCTCAAGCAAAATGAGGGTTTTTCTCAGTGATCCAATTTTAAATCTTAAAACCTCTGAAATCCAATCTCTTCTAGGCTAGCTCTCCCAGAGAGATTTCCCCCACTCTCTTCCTATTCTGAACTTCCTTAAACTGTATTGTTTAAATCAAAATGTAATCTACTACTTTCAGCGAGTCGCATTATTTTCTCTCATTTCAGAATCTCCAAGCCTAGGGGTGCGATAGGTGTCCTCGTTTCAAAGACTTTTTTTCCTTCTTCAAAAACTCCTGTTTCTTAGAAGCTCATGCTATCAGACTATTCCCTATGCTGTCCCCATGTATCTGTCATCTACTGACCTCTCAATTGTTCCCTGGATTCCCTGGAGATCTTGACACCCTGGATGGACTTCCAGGTCACCTCTCGGTGACATCACCTGGACAACCCACCCAGCACCCTGCACTTCTCCCCCCAGAAACTCCCATGGTCGAATCTTGACCTCATCAACACCAATAATGTTCCCATTTTCAGAATCCGTTCCTGCTTTCCTCTCTAGGTCACGACCTTTTAATCTTCTAGCTCATTACTCCATGGTATCTGGCACACAACATTTGACCTCGCTGACACCTCTAATCAACTGACACTGTCACCTGAAACAATCGGTCACCCCCTTCCTGCTTTGCTTCCTTGTTTCTCTGGAATGGACTTTCTATTCTATCATTATACCCACTCCTCTGCCATCAGACTTGCTCATCTGCCTCATACCAAACATGCAAACCCACCTGCCAGTGTACCCATATTCCTTCTCCTCTCTCCTGTCACTATGGATGAGGTGGCCCTACTTACATCCAAGGTCATCCCACTCAGGGATTGCCCCAAATGTCATGTCCTCTCACCTTCTATAGAACTTTACTCTCCTACAAGTAGGCTTCCTCCTCCTGCATTGTAAATTCTCTCTCGCTATTGGATTATTGCTTGCAAATCAACATCCTCCCGTACATCTAATTTTTTTACATCTCTCCCTTGGTCACGCATCTGCCCCCATCTGCAATGCCATTTCTCTCTTCAGCAAATCTCTTGTGGGAAGCTGTGCATTCCTGCTGCTGGTTCTTCTTCAGCTGTTCCATACATAGCCCATAGCCCACTTCAGTTGGCTTCAGGCTCCTCCATGTCCTGTGAGCGCTCTTGCCAAAATCACCAGCCATCTCCATTTTACCCAGTCCTGTGGGTGTTCCACATCTCACTGGGCCTCCTGGGGCCCTTTGAGCCACCAGAAACACTGATTTTCATGCTCCTGTTTTTCTCCTACCTCACTGGCTTCTTCTCAGTAGCGTTTTGTGGTCCCTCTTCTGCCTGATTTTTACATTCTACAGTTTGCCTTAGGGCCATGGTTCTCAAAGTGTGATCCTATACCAGCAACACTGGTATCACCTGAAACTTGTTACAACAACACATTCTCAGCCTGATGACTGGTCACGCGGTACATACCCTGGGAACCACCCTTGGTTTCTCTTATTCCTCAGCCACACATCCAGTGGACCAGCAAGTCCCGTTGGCTCTACCTCCAGAATATATGGTTCCAGTTAATTTGCTTCCCACCTTCTCTGCCTCCACTGCCCTTGTCAGGTCTCGGCCGGGGCTCACATGTCCTGCCGTGGTGGCTTCCTCCCCCCCACCGTTTCTACTGGTCTGCTCCCCCTTTCCTCACCATGAGCTATTCACACAGCTACTGGGATAATCTTGTAAAAATAGAAATTAGTCATGTACCTTCCCTATTCAAAACCTTCCAGCGGTGCTTGACTACAAACTACACTTAGACTAAAACCCAAAGCTCCTTATGCGGCATCACACAGTCTTATCTCTACCCCTCCCTCTGACCTCACCTTCCTTTGCTTCTTCCTTTTTTCATTTTCTTCTAGCTCTATGCCCATTTTTCTGCTTCTTTTCCCCTAAGGGTCTTCATACTTGCTGTTCCCACTACTTGCACCATTCCCCTCCCCCACTGGTTGCATGGCTGGCTCCTTCTTGTCATCCTGTCTAAGCTCAGATGTCCTTTCCCAGAGGGGCCTTCTCACCCCCTAATGAAATGCCGTCCCTCTCCCCAGGACACTCTCTATACATTATATATGGTTTTACTCTGTGCTAAGCAATCTGAATTTATCGATTTCATTTGCCTACTTACATTCTACTTACTGTCTAAGTCTGCCCATAGTAGGCACGGCTCTATAAGACTTTAGCCTCTTAACTGTTGCATTTCTGGTGCCTAGAACATGCCTGGTGCACAACAGGTATTGAGCAAATTATCCACTAAATGAATAAACGTTATACAAGAGATCACTTTAAAATTAGGAAGGCAAAAGGGAAATCCCTTAAGTTACCCAAAAATGTGGCAAGATGCTCCCTCTGTAAGAGGTAATTAAGACCTACTGGCAGACTCCCAGCTCGCTTCCATTATGGACCATGTCCACAGGCATCAAGAAGTGCAAATTCACCTACACGATTTAAGTTACTCTGTTTTTCTTTTTTCTGACCAACCATCAAGTTGAATTAACTTCAGTGAAATCAGTGTAATGTGATTCCCCGGTACTACAATTGCTTTGTATTATTCCATACTTTAATTTCTGCTACCTCGATGAGATGATGTGCTGCACAAGCTAGAGACTCTATGTTTCTCTTCTAGCACCTGCAGACCAAGAAAGCACTGAAATGGTAGGTAAATCTGAGTCCAACTACCAAATTACTGACTGCTTCATAAAAGCTACCAGGTTCCTGATCTTTAGTAAATAAGGCAAACTCTCAGATCCGTGAGGGATAAAATCAAATAAGGCAATAAATTAATTAAAATAAAATAAATAAAATAATAATATAAAATAAAGAAATAGAATACAATAACAATCTAGAAAAACATATTTCCCATCTTTTCCTTTCAATCTTGGACTTGTAGTCATTCTCAAAATATTTTTTGAGATACTTTGATGTGCTAATAAACCTTACAAAGTTCTTTAGCTCCAGGATCTGTGACCCTTTAGAATTTATTCTGTAACCACAAACCACACATTCAGCTACCAGTGCCATCTTCCCTAGTCCCAAAAGACAATGTTCAGTTTTGAGAAAGAATAGGATAAAACAAATGACTACCATACCTTCAGTAGGTTTTTCTAAATTTTCAGTTTGGTTCTGGCCAGCATTCTCCTTGATATTCACAGAATTCTTCAGTTTTGGAAGACCCAGTGGGGATTGTGGGGATTTGTCTTCTGAATCTGGCTGGCCATCTAGAAAATCCCAAACAAATACTATAATAAGTGATACTCTGGACAATGATACAGGGACTACTGATGTTTTTATTCTTCTTTATAATAAACAAGGTGCTCCCCCATCCCCGCCTTTAGAAAGATGAAATGGAGAAGGCCATTCAGAGGGAGAGATTCTTCATTATATGATGCAATGTCTGCCATTAAAGAACAGGACAGTATCTGCAAAGAACACAGTCCCCAGGAGTTAGCCGGTTCTATAAGATAATGCAGTAGTTATCTTGGTTGGACTATGAAGCAGAGACCAAGTAATTTAGCTTACTTTTACCTAGCAAGAGAAACTGAGATGTGATTTTTTTTAAAAAGTTTCCAATCTTAAATCCATTCATTATTATGACAATGTAGCTCTTTACTAAACTATATCTAAGTACAACATGAAACAAATTTAAAATAAATCTATCAAGGGGTGCCTGGGTGGCTCAGTTGGTTGAATGTCCCACTCTTTTTTTTTTTTTTTAAGATTTTATTTATTTATTTGACAGAGAGAGACACAGCGAGAGAGGGAACACAAGCAGTGGGAGTGGGAGAGGAAAAATCAGGCTTCCCGTGGAACAGGGAGCCCAATGTGGGGCTTGATCCCAGGACCCTGGGATCATGACCTGAGCCGGAGGCAGATGCTTAACAACTGAGCCACCCAGGCGCCCTGAATGTCCCCCTCTTGATTTCAGCTCAGGTCATCATCTCAGGGTCCTGGGATCAAGCCCAGAGTCCGGGATCAGAGAGGAGTCTACATCAGGATTCTCTCTCTCCCTCTGCCCCTCCCCATGCTCTCTCTCTCAAATAAATAAATCTTAAAAAACAAATCTAACAAGGACTGGGGATGCAAATACATTTCAACTTGTATGTGGGCCACCCTGGCTGAATGCTGGTGGCTGCCTGGAGGATTGTTGAGGAACCTGTGCATTGCCCCCTTTCAAGGGGACAGTAGGCTTCATTGATTAGAGTTGTCTGCCTGGGAGCAGATGGGCACCAGCACCATCAGCCTTCATCTCTGATTTCTCCCATCTTGTGTTTAAGTCATTGTTCCAGCATTACTCTTTGCAAATTCTGTGATAATCAGATATTTTCTTTGTCTGTGCTCATTCCAGGCAGTTGAGCCTCTGTCTTGTGCTGTGCACTAGAAAACTCCTCTATCTGGGTAGTTTAACTACCCAGTTTATTAAAGAGAAAGACTAAATTCCATTTCATCCCTAAATTCTCCAACATGCATCTCTTGAAATGGAGACATTGTTCTACATACCCATAACACCATCATCACACCCAAGAAAACTCAAAGATATTCCACAATGCCCTCAACTATATAGTCCTCTATTCAAACTTGTGTAGTTCCTCCAAAATATCTTTTATAGCTCTTTATTTTCTCAATACAGCATCCAAATTTATGTGTAGCATGTAGTTTATATGCCTCTTAAGTCTCTCTCTCTTTTTTAAGATTTATCTATCCATTTGAGAGAGAGAGAGAGTGGGGGGGCAGAGGGAGAGAAATCCTCAAGCAGACTCCCTGCTGAGTGGGGAGCCCAATGTGGTGATTGAACCCGGAGATCATGACCTGAGCCAAAATCAAGAGTCAGCCGCTTAACCAACTGAGCCACCGGGTGCCCCTAGTCTTTTTTAATATAGAAAAATTATCCTATTTTTTTTCTTTTAATGCCATCGACTTTTTTAAAGAGCTCAGGACAGTTATTTCACAGAATATCTGCATTCTGGATTTGTCTGATTGTTTTCTCTTGGTTAAATTCAGGTTAAGGATTTGGGGCAAGAATTCTACATAGGTCCTAGGCACTTCATATTGCATTACATGAGAAAACACCTAATGCTAGGCTGTCAAAATTGGTAGAAATTTGATCACTTGGTTAAGCTGGAAAATGCTACAGCTCTCCATTGTAAAGACACATTTTCCTCCTTATAATTAGGTATTATGTGAGGTGATAACTCGAGCCTGCATTTTTGCCTTGTTCTCCACCAACCTTTCATTACTCCCCTGGTTTGTACATTAGTCAGGTCTTCTAAATGTTTTTAGGTAAATTTTAAGCATACAGGATGAAAACTACATTTTATTTATATCTTGGTTTCCTCAAATAACTCAGCCAAATTTGTAATCTACAAGTCACAATAGGTTATGCCATTAGCTAGTCCTGGCACAAAAGCTGGTAGGAACTGGTTATGTCTTAAGAGGCCATTGTTGGGCATTCTTCTTTTAAGCACATTAACAGGAATGACAGCGCCATGAACACATTACCTGGATGAAGATCGGATGTATTCTGAGGAGTTGCTTTGTTTGTATCTTCCTCTCTCTTTGTAAAAGGAGGCAAGTTTTTAGAAAGGGTGTCCAGATAATTAAACTGAAAGGAAAAACCAAAAGACTTACTTTAGACTTATGCAAGCCTGGAAGGCAATCGCCGCAAGCACATTAAATTGACAAGCAACGATGAAAGCAATTTTTTTTTTAAGGCTCTGAAAAGAAAGTTTGCAAACTAAAAGTTTTCCAAGAGACTGTTTAACTCAGTTCTAGATTTCGTCAATCTGTCATAACTTCCTATAACTTCTTCTCAGGCAGCTTTTGGTTAATAATAGAATCTGGAGAATCCATAGCAATATAGGGAGCTCAAAACACATGAAAATATTCACTTTGCTTGAGAGTGTCAAGGTTTCACAGAAGAGGAGTGCTCTGTCTCCATGGGCTTCCAAGAACTCATAATAATTTAGTGCTATTTCAGCAGCAGACGGGTGCAGACATTTTAATGGAATAAAAACTTCAAAATGGAATCTATAAGAGGATAAAAATAGGGAGAATTTGACCCAAAAAAGGGCTTAAAAGAGAGGGGAGAGGGTAATTAATAGTGACAATGCAAGGCAGAGAGGTGGAGTGGTAGGAATACATTGGCAGCGAACTTCTCCTTAGGTGTAAGACCTGAAATTAGTTTTCCCTCTCAAATCCTTGTGAGGACATTGATTTGATGAAAGGTAAAGTCAGTTGGGCTGATGCAGGAAAGAAACGACAGGAAAGGTTGATTACATAATGACATATGCATTGCATCAACTTTTGTAAAGACTCTTATTCAATTGTTGTTAATTACATTCAATTACCTGAGACTGACAGAACTTGCTCAATTCAGACTTGAAGTAGGGTGATACTACTTTGTTTCTAATTTCCGTTAGGTAGTTTTGTGTGTTTTCAATTTCCTTCCTGGTTGATATTTCCATAATGATAAAAAGAAGACACAGAATTTTAGCTTTAATTCCCACAGAAAATGGAATCACCAACACTAAAACTGGTAAGAATTAACTCATTAGAAATTTTTTTTTTTGTTGGGGCGCCTGGGTGGCTCAGCTGGTTAAGCGACTGCCTTCAGCTCAGGTCATGATCCTGGAGTCCCGGGATCAAGTCCCGCATCGGGCTCCCTGCTTGGCAGGGAGTCTGCTTCTCCCTCTGACCCTCCTCCTTCTCATGCTCTCTGTCTCTCATTCTCTCTCTCTCTCAAATAAATAAATAAAATCTTTAAAAAAAAAAAAAGAAATTTTTTTTTGTCAGTTTGCTTTGGTTCATTTTCTGCTCCTTCTAGAATCAGTCACATTTCCTACTTCAGAAATCAGACTTTAAGATAGGAAATAATGATGCCAGGTGGTAGTGTGTTTTTACAGTTGATCTCAAAAGACTAAAATCCACACGGTTGACCTTTTTTTGCATGTCTTTCAATTCTCTGAGGTTTAAATGCCAGTTTAATTCTACTGTTCTCTATAATTTCAGTAGGAGGGGTAACAAAAGCTAAAAGCCAAACCTAAGGAATGGTTTATGACTAGTGTGATCAGTGATTAAGAAGTAAAATAAAAGCAATCATGATAACCCTGCTAGTTGTCTTTCCAATATCAGAACCCTATATTGGGGAGGTGATACACCAGCTAAAAACTTCACTTCCCAGCCTTTCCTATATGCAGGGAAGGCCAATGACAAGAAACTGAAGCCACTGGGTAAGACCCCAGATAGCCTTTAAAGAGGGCTGACACAGCAGAGAGGCTTTCCCTTTGTCCTTGTCTCATCTCTTTTCCTACTTCCTGAAATATGGATGAAATGGCCGCAGCTGCAGCAGTGATTTTGCAACCCTGAGGCAAACTTGAAGATGGAAATCATGTGCTAGGATTGATGAACAGATAAAAAAAGAAATCTGAGTTCCTGACAATGTTGTGGTGCTGCTTACCATGGACTGCCCACTTCTGACTTCTTTTACATCAGGAAAGGTAAGCTTCTTTCTTGTAAAAGCGCTGACTAGGGGGGTTGTCTGTTAAATGTAGCTGAACCTAATCTTATCTGAGATAGTTCTCATTTTTAGGTCCTTATTACATGCCAGAAATTTTACCAAGTCCTTTACACATCTAATCTTACACTAACTCTATGAGTTACTTTTATTATCCCCATTTTACTGGTCAAAACATCAAGGTGTAGAAAAGGTAAGTAACTTACCTTAAATCACATAACTAGTAAGAGGTGAAGTCTGAATTAAAACCCAGGTTGCCTGCCTCCAAGCCCATGACCTTGATAAGTGCATATGCTAGTCAGCTATTAACCACCTAATGTGTGAGCTGAAAGATACTTCAGGTATTAAATGGCCCAGTCATCCTCATTTTACAGATAAACACACTGAATTCCTGAGGTAAATTTTACTGAACTAAACCCACCAAATTTTACTGAACTAAAACAACCAATCATTCAGCTGTAAGTAATCAAACTGGAACTGACTCTAGGTCCACTGGCTCTGAGACTAGCCCCTTTCTCTTATACTAGCTGGCCTGTCAGAAAATACTGACCAAATCAAAATATCATCTTACTTAAGCAACTTTAATTTCCTATTAAAATATCTTCTCTCTACTGCCTCACCTGATTCGTTCCTCAGTCTATGGCAGTGTGGCCTATTGCCTACAGTCTCTTAGAGCTCGTCTCACAAAATAAATCTCCCAGGTGATAGACCCAAATTCCTCTTTCCATTCTCCTTTCTGATTCCTCCACAGAATCTGACACTTGTTGATCACCCTCCATTTCCTGGAAACTCTCTCATTTCTTAACCCTCCTCCCCAGATCCATTTCCATGCTGCCAACACTTCTCTTTCTATGACACAAATCTAATTATGCGTTTTACTGTCTTCTTCAAAAACTTTCGTTGGCTTGCCATTATCTTCCTGTAGGTTAAAATCTGAAATTGTTAATGTTTCAAAAAATTTTTAAATGTGAACGGATAACACATGCATATAATTCAGAAAGTATTAAAGAGTATGTAATAAAAAGGAGGTCTGCATCCCACACTGTCCTCTAACCTCTCCATCTCCTTCCCCATAGGCAATCATTGTCACCAATCTCTTAGAACTCCTTTCAGGGATATTCTATGAGACAATACATACCTTCTAGTTTGACCTTGAATATAGGGGTGGCCCATAGACGGAGGGTCCTATTTTACCACTTCTCCCACACATTCTACAAGGTAACCCAGACATTTTTATGAAGAAGAATCTTCATCCTTCCTCCAGTCATTGTGGAGAGGAGCCATGCAAATGTGTGCGACAGTACCATATGAACCACTATATACTCAGTAAATATATCTGGCTTCCTTTCCTGATGGGGTGGTATCCTCAGCTAGGAATAAAAGGAAACCAAAGCACATAATGCTTAGAGCACACTCCTCATCTGAATTATAAGAACCTTGAAGGCTTATGACTAGGCTCTGCATTAAGTTCTAGGATATTTATTAGTATATTAGAATTAACAGAGCACAGAGAGTACCTGAGAACTTTCTTGCTTATGAAAAGGACTGGATCTACGTAACGGTCAAATGGGCTTCCTTTAGAAATGGCGACATCCTCACTCATAAGCTGAGTAACCACTTGGAAAAATGTAGAAGAGATTCAAATAACAGCAGAGAGCCTGGATGGTAGGACCTTTCAACCTATCTCATTTCCATGACCCCACGAAACTGGTCCTTTTCACAGGCTTAGATATACTTCAAGATAGAATTACCTCTTTTGTGCCAACTTTTCTTTCCAGTGCTTTGCTTGTGTTGTGTACCTGGGGGAAAGGAAAGGAAAGTATGATGGAAAAGGGCAATGCTCTCAGCTTACAAAAATACAAGAAAAACCTCCACTGTATGATAAATTGTTGACAGTGTAGGAGATGAAAGTCTGAGAGTTCATGGATGTCATCCCCCAGAGTCAGGATACTGTCTCTCCATTTCCTCAGTCACTGTATGCTTCACACTAATTGGAACACATTATGGGATGAGCTTACCTCCATTTCTTTTCAAAGAAACCTGAATCCAGTGTTTCTGGCAGATGTTTCGGAGCAGTAGGCAAAGATTGCTTGAATAAATCGGTTAGGTGGGCTGCAACTTTAAAAAGAGACAAATTTAACTTTTATCCTCACTTCTTGATGGCACAATGCATGGTCAGTGCCCGATTACTCACTTGAGAGGATTTCTAAGAGCCTACATTTAATCTATCAAGTGTTTTCTAGAATTTCCATGACCGAGCTGTAATATAACAGTAAACCAGACCACTTTTAGGAAATAGCCTATGAGAGAACACACATCTTCTTGTCAAAATGTAAAATGTAGTGACCTCTCGTTTATCCCACAGCATTAGGGGAATCAGTGTTTTGCTTAACTGAATTTCTTCATATCTAAAACACCAAAACTTAAAAAAAATTAACCATTTTGTTGAAATTGTTTTTCTAAAAAAAATCTATGGATATGAACATAATACCATAGTTATTTGATAATTTGGGCAGTTATTCTGAGCCTATTCCTCAGAACATGGTCTCAGTGGGATGTTAACAAAGATTTAAAAAATTAAAAAGGTTCCATGTTTTATGGCTATATGAGCTTGGGAAACATTGATTTATACAAGGTTAAATATGTTTTGTTAATTTACACTGTGGCTCTCTAAAAAATAGGACAAGATACAGGATTATCCAAACTTATTTTATCATAAAATTCATTTTTGGTGCAGCCATTTCATAAATGAGTGTTTTGGGAAATACTTTGGGGAGAATTGACCGAAAATCGCCACTCTTAATATTTCAAGAGCAGCTGTGAGCATGCAAGATCTTGTTTGACTCTTGTGTCTGTTTGTATGTTTGAAAAATATATTTAGTTCGTCCTACATTATTAGGCAACCTACCCATTTACCTCTATGGTGATTGTTCCCTGATGCCACAGGTTTCAAATTCAAATGCTACAAGGTAGAGATCCCAGATAAAGTACAGGGCATCTAGTTACATTTGAACTTCAGATGAGCAACAAATAGTTTTTTAGTATAAGTATGTCCCAAATCTAACATGGAATAAACTTATACTGAAAGGTTACTTGTCGTTTATCTGAAATTCAAATTTAACTGGGCCTTCTGTATTTTTATTTGCTAAATTGACAATCCTAGTATAATGGGCTTCCCAGGTGAAAGAGTGACAGGAGTGGCAACTGAGGGTTGTGATTGATTCTTCTGTTCATGGTCATTCTAAAGGGGCAGCTGTTAATCTCTTCAGCCAAACGTCACTATGTGGTAATGTCACATTTCAGGAGATGGAAAATTCAGATAAACAAAAATAAGTGTGCACGCCAAACACTGTGGGGGACACATAATACATATCTGTGGGCTAAATGAAGCCCACGCCTGCCAGTTTCTGACCTTTGTCATATGGCCAGAATAGAAAAGAAAAAAAAAATCCCAAACCACCAAATTGTTCCGGGCTTGACTGTTGTGAACTATGAAGTCATATAACTAAGTTTGCTGGGGATGTATATTCCCCAAATGAATATGCTTTGAATGAGGCTATTTTCTTAGACTGCTTGAGATATATAGTGCAAAGTTTTGGTGATACCTATAGTTGCTCAAAAGTTCTGTGTGTGTGTGTGTGTGTGTGTGCCAGGAGGAGAGTGTTGGCTGGTTGACTGTGTCCCTCTTGTATCTTAGCTATGTTGGAAATACAAGCTGAGGTTAACATAAACGTCAAATGTCAACTGTTTCCTTTCAACAAATCAAAGTTAAAAATAAATTAGAGGCAGTCACGGTTTTCAAGGATCTCACTGTTCAGGCAGAAAAAAATATGTAAAAAATCATTACAATCCAACGTGGCCAATATGGCAACAGAAATGTGTACGTGGTACTTTGCTGTCAGATGAAGGAATGACTGAGAAGTGTATTTAAGATTTTTAAATATTTTGCAGAAAAATATTAAAGTTAAAATATTAAAGTAGTTACCTTCAGTTACATGACTTTTTGTAGTTTTTTCCATTTTAGGGAATGACTGAAACGAAGATAGAATTCCTTAATGATGATGATTATATTACATACACATTCACTTTGCTTAAAAGCATTCTTCATGTGCTCAATAGATCTTTTATGGAAACTACTATAAAATGAATTAGTTTTTAATGCCAATACAAAATTTATTAGATCTTTTTAGCCATTCCTTTCACTTAACAAATTTTTTAAAATGCAAATCATTTTAAGTTGTAGAAATTCCTCTTTCTTCCTTCTTCCTATTTCATTCATTCATTAATTCATTCAACATTTTGATGAACGTCAGTTTCTCCAAAGACAATTAAATTTTTATTTAAGAGCCTTCACAATTATTTATGATTTAAGGAAAAGCCTAAAAAGCATTTGGAAAATTCAGTACATGAGGAATCAGATTTCCCCAGAAATAAGAAATTACAAGGAGGGAGCAAAGGCTCCATAGAAGTGGCAGAAACAGCTTTAGTTGTAATATTTTATCTTGAAGCACCTAATATTGAAACAACAGTAAAAATATTGGTACATAAAATATTTTGTTCTCACCATAACTAGCTTGAGGAGGTCTGCAGCGTTGCCCCTCTCCTCCTCAGTTCTGGAATCTTTAACAGTCATTTCCTGTAGCTTGTCTTCTTTCTTTAGAATATGGTTTATATAATCCTAAATCAGCAGAATAAAATAAATCATTATAAAACAGAAATAAGGTAGAAAGAGATGCCAAAATGGTCAATATCAACTTGAAATACTACAAAATGAGTAAGAATATATAAGATCACAATGCTCAACAAACCAGTTGCTAGCTGAGCAATCTGGAAAACCTTTTCCTTAATTGTATTAATTAGCAAAGACCTGAAAAGTCCAAAGGCAAAGCTTGGAGGGCCACAAGATATTAGAACTGTATGAAGACCCCAGAGAGGTCCAGCTTCTAACTCTGTGCTCCAGTGTCCTCATCAATAAAATGTACAGACTTGGGTTAGATGGTTTCTAGAGTCCTCTCCAGGGATAGTCTTTATGATTCTTCTATGAATGTAAGTTTAGGCTTTGTCCATGCCTTTGCTTCCGAGAGAAATATACTTTACTTTTTCCCTAGGTACCTATTTTCATAAATAAATGGTCCCTTGCTCTATGCCAGGTGCTGGGTATATAACCATAAACAAAAAGCACATGATCTTGTTCTGAGACCATTACCAAAGTAGACAGTGAGATGGTACAGATGTAGCTGGTACAATTGACTATATATTTACAAATTCTTAAGCCATTTCCAAAAACCAACAATGCTTTTCTTCCATGGACAAGTATCAGATGAATAAACAGATCTACCTTTTTCCAGAGGTCATTAAACCAGTTTCCCATACAGTAAGAAAGAAGGGGGACTCTATAAGCAATCACATGTAAAAGTTATTTATCTTTTCAATGTCTCAGGGCCTCAATACTTCCTATACCTTATGGGAACCATTAAGTATTTTCTACCTCTCAACCTCCTACCCTCTGGAAAATTGACATTCATGTGTTGCATTAGATAACTAGTGGTAGAATTACATAATTTCAAGTTCCTCAGGAGACCAAGAGGAATAATTGCCCTGTTCCTGATTCTTCTGGATCAGGTTACCTGAATTCCATTACCTTAAGGGAAATCTGCAACTTCAATTTCACCTCATCCTTTATGACCTCGTGCTGGATGAACTGGCGCATCTGTAGCACTTTGGGGCTCTTGAGTAAAGGGGTTGGGGCACTTACTAGCTGTTTGGGCCCAATGTCAAGGCCCTTCCAAATCTGAGTGCCAAATGGAGGTCCGGGAGTTTTTTTCTGTTAACAGAACAAAGCAAAACCACCATCAAAAAAAAAAAAAAAAAAAAAAGAATGTTTTAACATTAATTTTATTTATTTATTTATTTTATTATTATTATTATTATTTTTTTTTTTTTTACTGAGCCCTTATTTATATAGATACTATGCAAGGAACTACTTGTTAGGGAATGCAATAGTAAAAAAAAAAAAAAAAAATCCCTGCTCCCTAAAAGTTTCTCAAATATAAGGAAAATTGGTAACAGAACTGGGCAAGCTTTCCTCTTTATAGGTGTTACCAGGAATCTGGATATTTTAAAATTCTGCTGCGTTATGTCCCACTGAATAGCACTTAGGGGGGCAGTAAGCAATGTGGTATCATGGAAGTGGAGCTTAGCTTACGCCAAATGCCTGTGACTATTGCTTACTACCCACAAGTAGCCTAAGACATTTGGAATAAGCGGTCTTGAACTTTCTGTTTTCATGTTCATTTTGACCTAGAGAGACTGAGAGAGAAATCATCCCATAGATTTGGGTGGTCTTTGAGCTCACTCTAGATCAAACATGCTTCCAGAGTCTTGGGCACAAATGTCTGCCTCAGAGCCGACTCACGTCTTTATGTTATCCTTGTAACTGATTTTCAGGAGTAGTGTGCTTCGATGCCCTATGTCCTATAGAGTGTGTGATGTGCTTCACTGTAAGCTGCTGTTCTGTGTCCGATACCTGGTCAGATATAACCACGCAGAGGCTTGCCTGGGCAGAGCCCACTACTACTGGACATAGGAGGTCATTGCTATAGGAGTTGCAGAGGAAGAGAATGAGCTTCCTTCATGCATCTTAGATGTGGCATATTATTGGTCAACAAGCACTACTTTCAACTTGGATATAGCCTGAGTAAGCCATTTGGTATGGCCTTTTTATTTTTCAGATAAGGAAGTAGAGGTCTAATGTGTCTTGTCCCAAATCCCACATTAATAATTGGTAGACTCAGGACTGGAATTCAGATCACCTTCATTCACCATGTTGGTTACAGTCACCAAATTAAAATATAGGACTAAGAGGTCTTTGTTATCTTTTTAAAAAAATATCTTATTTATTTATTTGAGAGAGGGCAAAGAGAGAGAGAGCACGAGGTGGGGGGGAGGGGCAGAGGGAGAGGGAGAAGCGGGCTCCTCACTGAGCAGGACCCTGAGATCATGACCTGAGCTGAAGGCGACTCTTAACTGACTGAGCCACCCAGGCTACCCAAGGTCTTTGTTATGTTAAGTGTTCATTATCTGTGCCATTGCTATTACCAGATTGTTTAGGGGAGCAAAATTCATTATACATCAAAAACATTATCCTCCCTACCTAACACAAGTATGTCTCTCTGATCATATTATCAATGTCTTCATTGATTTAATAATTTAACATCTGATAAATATGCTGGACATATTACACAAATTGCTTGCAAAATGAAATGTCAAATCTTGCACGATGCAGGACTTCATGATTCTTGCTCAAGATGTTTTCTTCCATTCTTTAAAAACACTTTAGGTGGGGCTTCTCTAATCTGACATAATTACAGTGTTTACTTTTTAACATTGTAGTTGCAAATCCTTTGTATAATCTTTCACATTCTTCTTCTTTTTTTTAAAGATTTTATTTATTTATTTGACAGAGAGCACAAGTAAGCAGAGTGGCAGGCAGAGGGAGAGGGAGAAGCAGGCTCTCTGCTGAGCAAGGAGCCGGACGTGGGGCTCGATCCCAAGACCCCAGGATCCCGACCCGAGCCTAAAGCAGCCGCTTAACCGACTGAGCCACCCAGGTGCCCCTCTTTCACATTATTCTTACATGCTTCAGTCTGTGCATTAGTAAATTAGGGGAGAAAGGGAGTGTGAAAGACCTAAATTGTGTGTTAAAACTAACAGATGAGGAATGAGAGAAGGAAAGATTTCTGTATTGCATAATATCAGTAATTCCATGATAGGAGAGGTAGAACATGCATTACTCAGAGTGGATATTTTCATACTATAGGAAGATGTTTGAGCCTGCAATATAGGCTAAAAGAAATGAAACTGAGATTTAGCTAGTCAGGTATATTTCTCTAAAATCTACAAATGTTAAAGTCTTCAAATATAAATCTCCTGAGCCCATTAACAATTTATGTAAGAATGAAAATATGTGAATATATAGGAGAAGACCTGAGACTCCAATACATTGATGGATGGATATGCAAGTGTAGTGACTTCCCAGAAGAAAAAATTTATACCTCAGTAGAGGGAAATGTCTCCCATGACCTTGACTGGAGATTAGGAGGAACAATTGTATCTAATTCTTTCTTCATTAGCCATGGTGATGCTTCATGAAAAGGGCGAAGGACAGTGATGCTCAGGGTGCCTGGTTCAAAGAGTTATCAGAGGATCATTTCTCTATCAAAAAGATTCTGAGAAATTCAATAGGTTTTCATTAAATTCAACAAACACTTTTTTAAAAAGACTTATTTATTTATTTGAGAGAGTGTGTGCAAGTGGGGAGAGGGGCAGAGAGAATCTCAAGCAGACTCCCCACTGAGCATGGAGCCCCATACAAGGCTCTATCTCACGACCCATGAGATCATGACCTGAGAAGAAACCAAGAGTCCGACACTTAACCAACTGAGCCAAACCAGGCGCCCCTCAACAAACACTGCAATACACAGTGATTATGATTAAGAACCTTATGATCTAAACAAGAAAAGTGAGGCTTTTAGCTACTGTGACACCTGGAGACTGGGTTTAGATCACATGGAATTATTAATTGATACCTTACCATTCTTTAAAAAACCACATCCAGGTCTTGTTGGTTCACTTGAGCACATCCACTGACCTACTTTGGATCATTTGTGTCTGCGAGATCCTGTTCTGGGCTACAGCAACAACCAGCTTTTCTACCCAGATCTACTCTGCGACTGAATCCCGCTAGCAGTCAGAGTGACTGATTACATTAGGCCATGATTTAAACATTTCTTTGACCTCCCACTGCTTGCCGGATAAAACTGATACCTCAGTATTTTCTCATCCTGCCTCAACTCACACCATTCCTCCTTCTATGTAGCTACTTTGGCCTTTTCCTCCCTCTTCTCTATGGCTTTTGCTTTCTGCTTTGTACTGTCTCTTCCAAGAAAGCTCTCCCTACTATTTTAATCAACTGCTACTTTTCCACCAGTTCTTAGCTCCACTGTCTTCAGGGAAGACTTCTAGACTACATCAGATTCCTGCTCTAATGGAAACATACTCCTGGGCGCCTGGGTGGCTCAGTTGGTTAAGCGACTGCCTTCGGCTCAGGTCGTGATCCTGGAGTCCCGGGATCGAGTCCCGCATCGGGCTCCCTGCTCCGCGGGAAGTCTGCTTCTCCCTCTGCCTCTCTCTCTCTGTCTCTCTGTCTCTCATGAATAAATACATAAAATCTTTAAAAAAAAAAAGGAAACCTATTCCTTTCCTTCAAAGACCTTATTCTAATTGATAATCATATAATCACAGTTATTGTGTGCTATACAATTAATGCCTATCTCTCTCATTAAACTCTAAGCTCTGTGAAGGCAGGATCCACGCTGTTTTAGCTCACTACTGTATTCCTAATACCCAGCCAGTGTGTTTGCACATTGTAGGTTATCAAGTAGATGCTAGTTCAATAACTGACAGAGCCATTTGCAATGAATTCTCATATAGTTCTACACATGCACTGCACAACCAGTCAGAGCGCCCACTCTCCATATTCACAGACAAAGAACAAGGTTTACTATATCATGCACATGTGCATTGATACACTAAAAGATGTAAGTGTGCAGGGATGCAGGCATATTCATAAATAAGTGTAAAGTATATCCCACCAACCAGAGAACAGATAAAAAAGGAACATACATAAACCTAGATACAAAACATTGGTTCGTACATAGATGACATCCAAGTTTATATCTATGTTTAAATACACATATGACATAAACTGATGTTTCTTTTTTTTTTTTAAAGTTTTTTTTTTAAGTAATCTCTACATCCAATGTGGGGCTCAAACTCACAATCCCAAGATCAAGAGTTGCATGCTCTACCAACTAAGCCAGCCAGGTGCCCCTCTGATGATTCTTTCTTGATGCATTATGTGTCTCTAATCTTTAGCCACACACTGATTTCTTTAAAATTGATGAGAATAATATACACAATGAATATATATATATATATATATATATATATATATATATATAACTTATCCTATATTTCAGGTTGGCTTTCTAACTCACACATCAAACATATTTTCTTTTCTTATTATATTAAATTCATCAAGGCAACACCTTCAAAATGACAAAAAAAAAAAATGAACTTACAAGCAATATCTCACTTTTCTTTTTTTTCCCTACCAAGATGAAAGGAACACATAAATAGAATCATAGCTACATACCTAACATATCTAAAGACAGATTCAAATCTGCTTACAGGTAGGAGAAGGACTCATACACAGTTTATAGGCTGATGCTCAGATAAAGCTTGGAATGAACATAAATAACTGTAGACACAGGTTGACATGGCCAGGTGGCAAGTAGAGTTGAAAAGTGAGCAAAGGAAGAAAGTAGAGTTGACATGGGGGTGGACTGGATAAAGAGGCTGGGAGCTGGTAAGGAGACACAATGACTTCCAGAATTCTGGATTCCCTACCTGGTTGTTCCTGTACTGGGTCCTGGAGAACAACAGTAGAGGATTCTCCATATGCCAAGGATAGGTATTCTTCTATGTCACTGTCACGAAGAAGTTCCACTCCTGATCCATCAGCATAAACGACAAAAAACCTATTTGAAGCAATAAAATCAAACCACTTGAAGTATTAGTTAAAGTGCTCCTTAAACTTGGAATTTAAAATAAAAGTCAGTGGTGCCTGGGTGGCTCAGTTGGTTAATTGTCTGCCTTCAGCTCAGGTCATGATCTCAGGGTCCTGGGATCGAGCCCCGAGTTGGGCTCCCTGCTGAGCGGGGAGAGTCTGCCTCTCCCTCTGCCTTCCCCCTGCTTCTGCTTGTGCTCTCTCTGTCTGTCTCTCTCAAATAAGTGAATAAAATCTTTAAAAAAAAAAAGTCATGGTATTATTTTTATCATATTACCTGGGCACGTGTTCACCATAGATTTGCAGATGATTCTTATAAAGGTGAGTAGATGATAAATTATCATAGCCTTCAGCTTTTTCACTTAGATCCTCTTCCAAATTGTTTTCAGGTACCACAGTTGATATGCTACCATCAGCCATAACCTAAGGGGCAAAGTATGTAAGGAACTAAAAGAAAAGAAATGTCATGAAGCTTGTGTTTCCCATTTGAGAAAGCATGTGGTCTTTTGGTATATTCAGAAAATCAGGGATATTTATCTCCAAGGTAATATTAAGTACAGTTGGCATTAATAAAAGTGAAAACCCAGTGGCACATCTCTACTTAAAACCACACCTAGACTGTGAATACAAACTGGAAGACAAACTGGAATATACTCAGAGGAAGGTGGCAAAGATAGCAGGGGACTCAAAACCTTATCTTTTGAGCATTAGTTAGGAACTGGGGATTTAAACATTGACGAGAGACTACTTATGTGATAGATGTCTTGAAATACTCAAGAAGCGATAGTATGGAGAAGTTTATATTCTGTGATTGCAAGTGCAGAATCAGGATTCATGATACTAAAGATTTAGTATCAGCATGAGATTTAGTATCAGCATGAGATGTAGTATCAGCATGAGAGGAAAGGTTCTAGCCATTACTACTATTTAGATATGGCATGGATCTCTCCACGAAGGAGTGTGGTTCAGGCTGAAAGACCATTGAAGGAGATGCCCAAGAAGAGCATTAATGCCTAGAAGAATGCTTGGCCTGAATGTCCCATGTGTTTAAACTTAGAGGGTTTAGGGCTTTAAGGTTCAATTTCAATTCACTATAAATTGAAATTTGTTAGCAGCCTGAACTCATGCTGCGAAGAGTCTCATTTTTTGAGGGCCAAAAAACCAAGCAGGATCAGGGCTACTCTGCATACCAAACCAAAGCTGGGGACTCTGTGCTATGGTTCCAAATCTGAAAAATAACTTCACCACCTACTAGCTGATACACAAACTTCTACTGTTGGGTGGAGGAGTGAAACAAGGAGAAATGCTTAGAGCAGGGGTTGGCAAACCATTTTTTTCAAGGGATAGGGAGGAAATATTTTAGGATTTGTAGGCCACACAGTTTCTGTTGCAACTACTCATCTCTACCATTGTATGCAAAAGCAGTCGGAGACGAATGAGCATGGCTGTAGTCCAATAAAACTATATCATGACATTGAGATTTGAATTTCCTGTAATTTTTATGTGTCATGAAATATTCTTCTCCTTTTGAATTTTCCCAACCATTTAAAAATATAAAAGCCATTTTTAGCTCATGGGCCTATATAAAGAGGTGGCCATGGTTTGCCAGCTTTAGGCCTGGATGTAAGAGGATAGTTGTGGTGTTGAAGGACAGAGAAACAGAAGATAGAGCTCTACCATCTACTAGCTAAGTGCTGCTCCCACCTCCCCATCTTCAATCCTACTAGAACCCTCACTCATTGATACTTCTCACCATGGATTCTCTGCCTAGTCAAGCAAACTCGTTCTCAATTATCCTGGATACAGACCATTCTTATATCATTTCTTTTTGTTGGCATTATTTTTAAATGTTTAGTAATGTTTCTTCCCTTCCATTCTAATTCTTTATTTGGCCTTAACATTTCTACCATCCCAACTGTTTGACTTTCTATCTCCTTGGAAGTACACTTGAGAAGCAAAGATGTTGACATTCATTATTGCTTATGCAAAGTATCAGCAGTAAGTGGATAACTAATCCCAAGGCCACCAAGGTATAAGCTTCATGGAAGCGCTCTAGTGTGAAATATCTCAAAAAAAAAAAAAAAAAAAAAAAAAATCCAGCCCCTTTCTCCATTCTAATGATGCACTTTACCTGAAAGGTATTTCCCTCAGGATCCAGGACCTCACAGATAACCTCTGATGTGTGCTTCATGATGTACCTGCTAGCTCTTAGCTGCTCACGTTTTTGGAAAGGGTGGTATATATCACTGCTTAATTCATGGCAATATATAGCTGAGCAATCCCTATCAATGTGGAGGCAGCCTATGTTTGGAGGTAACACCTGGAAGGGTAACAGAAAGAGAGAAATTATTTAAAATGTCTTGTTCAACATGAAGGATTTGGAAAATCATTTTTAGGAAAAAAAATTATATATAGATCTCAGCCATAAATTGTTTTTATCCAGGAAAAAAACAAACAAAGAAACATTATCCAAGAGAGGACTTGAGCTTTGGGAAGGGCTCCCTGATAAAGAGGCAAACTGAATAATCAGGGTACAATTCCTTTTGTGTCCTCATAATTTATCTACTCACTTTAATATCTTTTCCAAGTACTTGCCTTGTGCCTTCTTATGTCAAATATTTAACATGAAATAATAAAAATATATTTTAACTGAAGTCAACACACTCGCCTCTATTAAAAATGTTTGGAATCCTTCATGTTCTTGGGCAAAATGTATCTCAAACAGTCAGAAGCTATAGGACAAATGCTTTTAAGAACTCTTATTTGTCTGTGTTCCTCTGGTGGCTGACACGGTCCTTAAGTATTAGCTTTCATGTAATAACTTCTGGTTCAGATAGACTCATTTTTGAGGCATAATTCACATACCATAAAGTATACATTCAATGGATTTTACTATGTTCAAAAACATGTGCAAATGTTATCACTAATTTCAGAACATTTTCAGCATCCCAAAAAGAAACACTGATGTCATGAGCAGTCACTCTGCATCAACCGTGACCCTATCCTGGCAACCAGTGATCAGCTATCTCTATGGATTTGAATATTCTAGACATTTCATACAGATGGAAGCATGCAATATGAGGCCTTTTGTGTCTGGCTTCTTTCACTTAGCATAATATTTTCAAGATTCATCCATATTGTTGTGTGTATCAATAATTCATTCTTTTTCATGGATCAATACTATTCCATTGTATAGATATATAAAATTTTGTTTATTTGTGAGTTGATTGGACATATGTGTTATTTTCACAATCTTGCTATTATTAACAATGCTATCAACATCTGCATACAAATTTTTGAGTGGATGTATATATTAATTTCCTTTGGACACCTACCTAGGAGTGGAATTGCTGGGTTATATGATAACTCTTATTTTTAACTTTTTGAGGGACTGCCAAACTGTTTTCCAAAGTGATTGCACCATTATACATTCCTATCAGCAATGTATGAGGGTTTCAATTTCCCCACAATCTCACTAACACTTATTACTGTCTGTCTTTTTTATTCCAGTCATTTTTGTGTGTGGGAAGTAGTATCTCATAGTTTAATTTCCAATTCCCTAATGACTAATGATGTTGAGCATCTTTTCATGTGCTTATTTGTCATTTATATCACTTCTTTGGAGAAATGTCTATTCAGATCCTTTCCCATTTAAAAAAATTGGGTTGTTAGTCTTCATTGCTGAGTTGTAGTAGTTCTTTATATATTCTGGATACTCGACTATTATCATTTGTATGATTTACAAATAATATCTTCCATTCTGTAGGTTGTCTTTTCACTTTCCGGGTGGTGTCCTTTAAAGTGCAAACTTTTCTCCTTTTGATGAAAGTTTGTGCTTTTGATGTCATCTAAGAAACTGTTGCCAGATTCAAAGACATGAAGATTTGCACTATGTTTTCTTCTAAGAGGTTTGTCATTTGAGCTTTTACAATTAAGTCCTTATGCTTTTGAATTCATTTCTGTGTATAGTGTAAGATACAGGTCCAACTTTATTCACCATTTGTTGAAAGACTATTCTTTTCGCCACTGAATTAGCTTGGCATGCTTATAAAAAGTTTATTGACCACAAGTTGGTAATAAATGAATACCTAGTCCTATCCTATTGATCTATATGCCTATCTTTATTCTAGTACCACACTGTCTTGATTACTGTAGCTTTGTAGTAAGTTTTGAAATCAGGAAGTGTGAGTCATCTAACTTCGTTCTTTTTCAAGATTGTTTTGGCTATTCTGAGTACTTCGAATTTACATAAGAATTTTGGTATCAGCTTATCAAGTTTTGCAAAAAAGGCAGCTGAGATGTTAATAAAGAATGTAGGGAGTACTGCCATCTTAACAATATTAAGTCTTCCATAAACTTAACATGTGATGTTTTCTATTTATTAGGTCTTCTTTAATTTCTTTCAGTGATATTTTGTAGTTTTCAGTGTTATTAAATTTATTTCTAATTATTTTATTCCTTTTATTCCTTTTTAAAATCCATATCACCTATTTCACCATCCCACACTCACCTCTCCTCTAGTAATCATCAGTTTGTTCTCTATGGTTAGGAGTCTCTTTCTTGGCTTATCACTCTATTTTTTCCCTTTCTGCATTTGTTTTTTTCTTAAATTTCACATATGAGTGAAATCATAAGCTATTTGTCACTCTCTGACTGATTTATTTTACCTAGGGTTATAATTATACTCTGTAGCTCCATCCATGTTGCTGCAGATGGCAAGATTTCATTCCTTTTTTATGGCTGAGTAATATTCCATAGTGTGTGTGTGTGTGTGTGTTTATATATATTACGTCTTCTTTATCCATTCATCTATCAATGGACACTTGAGCTGTTTCCATAATTTGGCTATTATAAATAATGCTCAATAGACATAGGGGTGCATATATCCTTCCAGATTAGGGGTTTTGTATTCTTTGGGTAAATACCCAGTAGTGCCATTACTGGGTCATAGGGTAGTCCTATTTTTAACTTTTTGAGGAAGCTCCACACTGTTTTCCACAATGGTTGCACCAGTTCAAATTCCCACCAACAGTGCAAAGTGTTCCTTTTTCTCCACATCCCCATCAACACTTGTTGCTTCTTGTATTGTTGATTTTAGCCATTCTGACAAGTGTGAGGTGATCTCTCACTGTTGTTTTGATTTGTATTTCCCTGATGATGAGTGATGTTGAACGTCTTTTCATGTCTGTATGTCTTCTTTGGAAAAATGTCTGTTCACGTCTTCTGCCCATTTTTTAATTGGATTATTTATTTTGTGTGTGTGTTGAGTTGTGTAAGTTCTTTATATTTTTTGGATACTAACCCTTTATCAGATACATCATTTGCAAATATCTTCTCCCATTCAGTAGGTTTTCCTTTAGTTTTTGTTGATTGTTTCCTTCACTGTGCAGAAGGAATTTTAATGTTGTCCCAACAGTTTATTTTTGCTTTTGTTTCTCTTGCTCCAGAAAACATATCTAAAAAAGATATAGCTACAGCCAGTGTCAGAGAAATTACTACCTGTGCCCTCTTCTAGGACTTTTATGGTTTCAGGTCTCACATTTAGGTCTTTAATCCATTTTAAGTTTATTTTTGTGTATAGTATAAGAAAGTGGTTGAGTTTCATTCTTTTGCATGTAGCTGTCCAGATTTCCCAACACCATTTGTTGAAGAGAAGTATTTTATTCCTTTTGATGCTACTTTAAACAGAATTGTTTTCTTAATTTCAATTTTGGATTGCTCTTTGTTAATGTAGAAAAATACAATTGACTTTTGTATATTGATCTTATATCTTGCAAACTTGCTGAACTTTTTTATTAGTTCTAATTGTGTGTGTGTGTGTGTGTACATTGTGTTCTTGGCAGATTGCCTTCCTTAGGATTTTCTAAATACACTTTTATATCATCTGTAAAAAGAGAGATGTTTTACTTTTTACTTTCCAATCTGCTTGCACATTATTTATTCTTATTGTCTGATTGCCCTGGTTAGAGCCTTCAGTACAATGTTGAGTTGGAAGGATGAGAGCAAACATTCATGTCCTGTGCCTGATCTTAGGGGGAAAGCTTTTAGTCTTTTACCAATAAGAATGCTGTTTGTTAGCTGTGGGTTTTTTTGTTTTGTTTTGTTTTGTAGATGCCCTTTATGAGGTTGAAGAAGTTTCCTTCTATTCCTAGTGCATTGAGTTTTTTGTTTTTTTTTTTAATCATGAAAGGGTATTGAATTCTGTCAAATGTTTTTTCTGAGTCTTATGTAGATAATCATGTGGTTTCTGTCCTTTATTTTTTAATATGGTATATTATATTGATTAATTTTTGCATCTTGAACAAACCTTAAATTTTGGGGATAAATCCCACTTGGTGACAATGTATAATCCTTTTTACATGTTGCTGGATTCAGTTGGCTAGCATTTTCTTGAAGATTTTTATCTATCTTCATAAGATATATTGGTCTGGAGTTTTCTTGTGATAACTTTGGTTTAGGTAACAGGGTAATACTGACCAGATAGAATTAGTTGGGAAGTGTTCCCTTCTCTTCTGTATATTGGAAGAGTTTGTGAAAATTCTTCAGTATTAATTCTTCTGTAAATGTTTGGTAGAATTTACCAGTGAGGCCATCTGGGCCTGGGCTTTTCTGTGTGCTAAGTTTTAAAATTACCAATTCAATCTCTTTACTTCTTAAAGGGTCTATTCTGATTTTTTAGTTCTTCTTAACTCAGATTTAGAAGTTTGTACCTTTCCAGAAATTTATCTATTTCATCTATGGTATCTAATCTATTGATATTCATAGTATTTCCTTATAATTCTTCTCATTTCTGGAAGGTTGGAAAAAATGTTTTCTCTTTCATTCTTAATTCTAGTAATTTGGGTCTCTCCCCGCCCTTTCTCCCTTTCTCTCTCTCTCTCCCTAAAGGTTTTTCAATTTTGTTGATCTTTTCAAAGAAACAACTTCTGGTTTTGTTGACTCTCTCTATTGTTTTCTATTCTGTCTTTTATTTATTTCTATTATAATCTATTATTTACTTCTATATGTTTGCTTTGATTTTAGTTTGCCTTCTTTTTTCTAGTTTCTTAGGTGGAAAGTTAGGTTATTGATTTGAGATCTTTTATAGTATACATATTTAGGCAATATAAAACTAGAAATTTTCCTTTGTGCATTGCTTTTGCAGCATTCCATAGGTTTTGGGATATTAAGGTTTTATTTTCAGTCATCTCAAAGCAATTTTCTTGTGATTTCTTCTCCGTGTTAATTTTCACATATTTGTGGATTTCCCAAACTTCTTTCTGTTACTGATTTTTAATTTAATTCCATGGTGGTGGTAGAAAATATTTTGTATGAAGTTGATCATTTTAAATCTACTGAGACTTGTTTTGTGGTATAACACATAGTCTTTCCTAGAGAATGTTCCATGTGCACTTGAGAATAATGTGTTTTATTGTTGATGAGTGGAGTGTTCTATAGATGTCTAGTAGGTCTTGTTGGGTTATTCTGCTGTTTAAGTCTTTTATTTTTCTTTTATTATTCACTTTTATTGTTTATTATTTTATCCATTACTGAAAATGGGCTACTAAAGTCTCCCAAATATTATTGTTGAATTGTCTATTTCTCGTTTTAACTAAGCCAGTTTTTACTATTTAAAACTAGACTTCTTTTTCTTTAATTCTGAGCTCAGATCAAGTGTAGAAGCCTTTATAGTTGTAAAGGTCAGTAGTAAAACCTTTTCATCATTGCTCAGAACTCATTAGTCTCACACACACACATCTCCCCTTCTCCTTCCCCCAATCTCATTCATCAAGTCCTCAGTTATACACGGTCACCTTTACACACACACACACACACACACACACATCTCCAGACACAAGCCCTTATTATTTTAAATTACGTTTGCTTCTCAGAACTACAGAGATCATGCATCAGGTAGACTGCAAGGTCTTCTGACGCTCAGATTTGGCTAATTTCATCACTGATCCACTTCAGTAAGAGCAGATCTCAGAGAAAAAACTTGACATTTTAAATTGTATAATGTACAACTCTGGAAATACTTAGATGTTTTGGACGTGTTGTTAGGTGTCTAATATGTTTATAGTTGTTATGTTTTCTTGATGGAGTGATCCTTTTATCATTATAACATAACCTCTTTGTCTCTGATAATATTTTGTTGTAAGATCTATTTTGTCTGAATTAGTATAGCCACTCTAGTTCCCTTTCAATTACTTATTGCAGGTCTATCTATTTTCATCCTTTTCCCTTCAAACTGTGTCTTTGACCATATAAATGTATCTCTTGTCAACAGCGTATATGCGGATCATGTTTTTTAATCCATTCTTCCAATATCTGCTTTTTTACTGGGTTATTTAATCCATTTGTACTTAATGTAATTAGTGAAGTCAGATTTATATCTTCCAATTTTTTATTTGTTTTCTATATGCTTTATGCTTCTTTTCCCCCTGTATTCATCCATTACTGCCTTTAAATAGACATTTTTTGCCGCTTTAGTTCCCTTGTTTCTTTTACTATATATTTTTCCATTACTTTCTTAGAGTTTCTTTTTTTTTAAGATTTTATTTATTTGCGAGAGAGAATGAGAGACAGAGAGCATGAGAGGGAGGAGGGTCAGAGGGAGAAGCAGACTCCCTGCCGAGCAGGGAGCCCAATGCGGGACTCCAGGATCATGACCTGAGCCGAAGGCAGTCGCCCAACCAACTGAGCCACCCAGGCGCCCCTTCTTAGAGTTTCTTGAAGATCACAAATAATGTCTTAATTTATAACTTAAATACTAACTTAATTTCAATATTATACAAAATCTTAGCGCCTATATAGCTCTATTCCTTCCCTCCTACTTTGTGTTAGTATTGTAAAAAAAAAATTACATCTTTATACGTTATAAGCACATATTCCTTGGAATCTAGAAAGCCACATTCATGTGCAGGACTGTATGCATGCCTGGAAAAGAGCTCAGAAAGCCCTAATCTTTCACTCTTGCCGATCAAGAGGATCTGCATAAGCAGGGAGTAAAGGCTAAGTAGAGTTATAAACTTCCAGCTGGAGTACTGAAAAGAATACCCCAGTATGCAAACAGAGCCCTCAGAAGAGGATGATTCCAAGGAATGTGTCAGAGCTTTTCAAAGCCTTATATGGGCTTCTGTTCCCCAGCTGTTCCTTTTAATTTTTTTGTTCACCCTCTTGTTTGTTATTGCCACTTCAGGCAGCTGTAATGTTAAATAATTACCTCCATTTGGGGAAAAGTCTGTGGTGAGTGAGCTCAGAGTCAGATCAAATAAAGATAACCCTTGCAAATGGGGTTTCCAGGGAACAGCCAAACAGGTCAACAATGACAATATTTTGTGGTGAGACTTTTGGAGAGCTCTAAATCTATTCTTCCTCTTTCAGTGTTTGCTGGCATGCTGGTTTTCATTGCTATCATGAATGTGAGGGTGTTGATTTTGAAGGGTACCATGAAGCTGGGGGCGGGGAGGGGAATATGGCAAGTGAAATCACCATGAATCTTGCTGTACTTCCCAGGATCAAGTCTTTGTCTTTCTTTGCTTTTCTGATTGTTGTAATCCTTTGGTTAATTTCCAGAGTTCTGAAAAAGTTGATTTTGACAATATTTTCAGTTTTCTAGTTGTTTTTGTGTAGTAATGTATTTTCAGAGGTCCTTACTCTACCATTCTGGAAGTGTCTCATACTGACTACCCACCATTGCCCAGGCCCAGAGAACCCCATTTGACCTTGGCTAATTCTGAGACTTTTCTGTGGTTTCAGGCACATTTTAGAGTAGGCACTGGTGGCTGGTAAATTTGCAACTTTCCTGGCCTCCAAAAGTCCTCATCAAAATGGACCCAAACTGTCAAATTTGACTCCATGATTTACTGAAAGCTGCTCTGGACAGAGAAGGGATGTCCTGTAACATCCACTGTTAAGACACATTCCATAGACCAGGTGAAGCAACAATATAGAAATGACAAAAGTAAACCTGATAAACAGGACGTGCATTTCTTTCTAGGAAGTTAACCTGGAGAAACATCTATGCTGAAGCCTACAGGCTCAACATGGCAAATATAGTGATGACCCACATTTTCTGCTAGAGATTGTTTCTGATTAACCCGATAGCCAGTTAGCAAATAGAATTCTCATTTTACATTCTCATATTTTATATATACTGCTGAAAGTTTACTATAAAATTTGCCTCTTCCAACTGATTTCACATACCGAGTAGAGGATATAACCACATTCCATTATTATAAGGTGTTTGTTTATGGTATTGCTAACAAAGACAAGGACTCTTGAAGTCCTCCTCCAAAGTATTCTTATAAATGCTTATTACATTTCTGTATCTTCCCCAAAGGAACCACTTAGGCTGGATCATACTGGCATAGAAGAATAGTCTGACTACTCTCTTTCAGAAGCCTGTTCCAGCACATACACACACACATACACACACTTTCCCCAGAAAGACAATAGGCCTTCTGGTCTAGGGAAACTGGTTTCAGTTCCTAGAACGAGGGACAGAGGAAGGTTTCCCATGGGGGCTAATAGACCCATATTTACCATCTTGTCTTCCTGAAACCCTCTAGCTGGGTGGATGGTCCCACCCCTACTTGTGACACATTATAGTCATAGAGGATAGCAACTGTTATACCTGCCTCCTATTTGATGTCTTGGTTAATCTTTTTAGTGCTGCTAAGGTACAATGGTGGATAATACCAAGATCTACCTCCTTTTTTTTTTTTTTATTACATTGCTTAAAATCCAGCCTCACTCATCATACTGCCCATTGTTCTCATGCTGGTGAGTGATGAAGTGATGACCAACCAATAGGGGATGGGCAGAGGGTATATTTGAATGCCATCTTTCAGTGCTATACAACTACAGAACTATAATAGGTGTTGGTAAATTTATTTGGAGGTTTTTTTTTTTTTTTTTTTTCCAGTTGGGAACTAAGGTCTGTGTGTTTCTCAACCAAGAGTGGTCAACCTTCCAATCCATTCTTGGGCTGTGTTTTGGGAGATTGGGCAAAGCTGGAAGGAACAAGTGGCTACACAATAGTGGCAGACACCAAATGTGTCTTAGTTGGATCTCTTTTCTGTTTATGTCTCTTTCTCCAGTGGCAACTGTCACTGGTTCTAAAATTCCTTTGCCCTCATAGTTGTAACCATTTGAGTTTGGGACTATGATAAAAACAAGACAAAAAGTGGACTCATCACACAATCTTAGGGGATTCTCATGACATCTGGTAGCACACGTGGTACTGGAATATGGATGCTGCCAATCTGCTGGAAAAAATGGACATTCTGAGTATTGTAGAAGAAAAATTGCACCCCTTAGCCAACTGCCACACTTCACAATCGTGTCTCATTTTCAGCACCTGCCTTGCTCCATAACAGTCTACACTGGAAGAAGAGGGAGTAGGATAACATTATTTGGAGAGATGGGAGGGATAAACTGGCTTTAGCAGCTTTCACAATAACAAATGTTTGTCACTGAGGTCTTTGTCAGTCATCTTCTGGTTTTGTGCTCTCAGCATCCTGTGACATTGTATGTGACATCTTGGCACTTGTGTCTCTTCTCCGGCAAGTGGAAAAATGAGGGCAAATCCTTCCAAGGCTAAAGGTACTACAGGCTGACACGAGGTGGTTGTGATTAATAGGGAAATGGAGGAAGGTACAGGAGTTGCTAACAGTGCTCCCTCCTGAGCCTTCAAGAACAAAGCTTTGCAAGCTGCTCTCCTAGGACCACACAGATCATATGCTCCCTCCCATCCTGTGGGGACTCTTGGTGAAGTGGCAATGGACTGGAGATGGGAAGGACGGGAGAGTGTGAATAAGGACAGAGGTGGCAGGAAGTGAAGCTGGTCGGGTAGGCACAGGACAGATCACATGAGTGCTTCTAACAGTGCCTGCCACCTACCACATAAAAGATCCCCAACAAATACATTCTGGTTTAAAACCTTGATCCCAAAATACCAAAGCATTGTAAGACAAGCAGGACAGTGTTTTTCTGTAATGGACTGTCAAAAGAAGATGAGTAAGTAAAAAGAGACTGAGGAGTGTGTTCTAAGAACATGAGACAAAAGGAACGACAGCTGTACATGGCAGGAATATTCACCGCCCCAGAGGAGTGGGTTTTCTTAGTTGAACGGACACTTCCCTTTGGCACTCCTCATCTCCCCCTAGACCCACCTGGTATGTTCCCTGTGGCTTTGCAATAATAGACGTCCCATCCCCAAAGGTGGCACAGCAGCTACTGTCCTCGCAGTTGGTGATGATAGTGGCGTAGTGTGAGTTTTCTATCCGCATGCACTTCACCTGCCTGGTGACAGTTTGAGGACTTTCAGCTGCAAGCAAATGCAAGGTAAGCATTTGACAGGATGCACACACTGGGAAACACGCCTGCCTGCTGAGTTTGCTCCTGTCTCCTGGCCACCTGGACTAGAAGTTGAGACCAAGTGCTGAGAACTCACTCCACGGGGCTGGTGTGTGGCCTACTCACTGTCAGTGCAGAGTCATTCTTCCAGAATAATTCTTCCTACTTAATTTAGTGTGCTCTTTTGTTCTCACTACTGTTTTTATTTTGAGAAATTGAAAACACCCCGAAGAGCATAACAAATAATTTAACTATTCATATACTCACCAATCAGAATTTACACTTGTTAATAGTTTGCCATATCTGTTTCAACATTCTTAATATGTATATAAGAGAAAAATTACAGGTGAGTTGAAGTTCACTTTTCTCCTTATCTCTGGGTTTATTCCCTTCTCTTGAAGTCTACTTTTATCTTTTCTATAAATATATGAATCAAAATAATATATCATCTTTTGTGAGCTTTAAATATGCATACATTACATATTACTGTATGTATCCTTCTACACCTACTTTTTTCTACTTGACATTGCTTTGAGACCTTTAGCCATCTTGATATGTAGGTGTGTGGGTATTTGTGTGTGTATGTGTGTACTTCATTCCTTTTAACTACTGTATAGTATTCTTTTGTAAAAATATACTGCATTTGGGGCGCCTGGGTGGCTCAGTTGGTTAAGCAACTGCCTTCGGCTCAGGTCATGATCCTGGAGTCCCGGGATCGAGTCCCACATCGGGCTCCCTGCTCGGCAGGGAGTCCGCTTCTCCCTCTGACCCTCCCTCGTCTCATGCTCTCTCTTTCTATCTCATTCTCTCTCTCAAATAAATAAATAAAATCTTTAAAAAAAAAAAGACTCCTGATATAATAAAGTGCATTTCAGGACCATTTAAAAAAAAAATACTGCATTTTATGTTTCTATTCTGCTGTTGATGGACATCTATTTCCCAGCATTTTGATATCATACTTGGTGTTGCAAGTAGCACCCTGAACCTATTTCCTTGTACAAATGGGTAAGAGTGTTGTTAAGAGTGTCTTTCTACATATACCCAGAAGTGGAGTCAGTACATCATAGGATATGCACATTTTAAACTTATATTTTTAAATTGCCCTCTCCAGTGGCTCTTTTAATTCTCCCTCTAACCAGTGGGATATGAAGGTTGGTCTTTTCCCACTTGCTTGCCGGTTTTGTTGCACTTAATTTGGCAAGGAAGCATTTAATGCATTAAACAAATAAAATCTGGAATTAAAGAAAAGGGAATCAGGGAATAATTTGCCTTTAAAAATCTTGTTTAAATTTAGGTTAGGAAAGGCGTTATGCTTTTAGAGTCTCTGCCCAGGTGTCTGTTAACTAGCATCTGCAGCTTGTTCTTCTCTCACACCGTCTCTCTGATAATGAGAGGCATGTTCCAAATTGAAGGAGGACCTTACTGAGGTCACCTATATGCAAATCAGGTTCCATAAGTATCAACAGAAACAGGTCTGAGAGCTAATGTCCCAGGCAATGAAGTCATGATCATTAACTTTTAGTTGCCACCAATCCACACTATATTTTAGCAGTGAAAATGGAAAAAGGTACTATTACTACCCATCTATATAGTAATAGATAGCCAACTAGATAGCCAACTGGAGCTTTTATCACTCCCACATCTGTTGAGGATAAAAAAAAGTAACAAAAGGGCCACAGAGGCCCTGCTCTAGACTGCACGTGTATTCTTTGGTTAAGAGAGTTCTTCAAAAAATTATTTTTCTTATGTGTGGGTTAAAAAAAAGCAGTGACATTTCTACTCATCTTATTCTAAAGACACAAATATTGTCACATGCTTGAAAAATAAACTTACTTATTTTGTGATCATCTGGAGGAGTAATATGATCTTCATAAACTTGATAAAAGGTTGTGATTCTGGTACCATCAGCATGATCCACTATCCGAGTACCATCTTTTCTTTCCACAATGACCACTCTGTCTTCTCGAGTTGTCATGACCTGAACATACAAAGGCAGAGCACGATCATTTGGTCAGGTGGTTCATCCCAAGTGCGTTTATTTTTATACCTCATTGAATACCATCAAAATCCTGGTTATCCGTTTATAAGCTAAAGTTTGATCTCCTCTACTTGGTCAAAGCTTTGCAACAATCCAGGAAGGCAGACAGTGCTATCCCCATTTTGTAGATGAGGGAATGTAGGTTTAGAGAAGTTAAGAAATTTGCTCAAGTTCACTCAGCAAGCACTGGGGCTGGTGTTCGACTAAGGCTGTTTGACTTGGAAATTGATGCTCCTCCCGGCATTGTGTATTTGTGAGAAACTTCACATCAGGACTGGCCTGGCCCCGGTCTGTCTGGGAAAATGATCCCAGGTCCTGCCTCCTTGAAAATTACAGGTGTAAGGTGAGCATGGTCGGCGGAGGCTGCATTGCCTGCCATGCCACCTCAGTCTAATGTCATCAGAACAGAACATGAAAATTGGTGGGGAACAGAGGCTGTGGCTTCTCTGTGTTTCAAGCCGATCCACACGCTCACAGGCTCTTGTCTGTGGCTGCTGGTCGTGCCCCATGTGGGCTGGAGGGGTAAAAGAAGCTGTGCCTGTGGCTTGTTGCTGGGCCACCCAGTTGGACGAGGGCGCCCCACTGATCACGCTGCATTTGCTGCCTTGTGTCCTTCCCTAAAGTGGAGCAAATGCAGGTGCAGATTAAAGCCTGGATGTTTGTTAGTTTGATTGTCAATTTTAACCTGTAATGTCTTCTATTCCAGTGGAGAGGGTTACTGTGGAAGATGGATGGAAGGTCTGAGAAGGAAATATAGCTGTTATCATCCAAGGCAGGAAGCCAAAGGGTGGTAACCTGGTCAGCCCCGTATGTCCCAGGTCTGTTCCAATGTGGAGTGCCGGCCATGTGCTGTGAACTGTGACAGGTGCTGAGGGTACGATATGGGATGAGACTAAAGTTTAAGTCCCTATCCTCCAGGAGTTACAGACCATAAGAAAGACACAGATCATATGCTCCCTCCCATCCTGGAAGAAAGACGGTCATTAAGGAAGACCCCAAAGGAGCCCTTGGAGGGATCACCTGGTCAGTGTCTATAGTGAGACTTCTGATGTGGTTTGGCTTCCCCTCAGAGGAAGCAAGGCCAGAGCTTGGTTTGGGTGTGTTGGTGCAGGGGAGCAGCACGGGGGACTCAAAGGACCCCAGGAAGCAGTGAGGAGAAGGGTGGGAGATGAGGCCAGAAGGTGAAGGATCAAATGAGAGAGAGCTTTAAACTGTGATTAAGGACTTCAGCCTTTCTCCCAAGCAGAGCCAAAGCAGGACTAAAGAGTAGCAGTCACAGAAAAAAAATTCACTTAGTTCTGACAAGTGCTTCACTCTGAAAGAACGATCAGGCCCTTACATACAGTAGCTCAATGGTTGACCAGTGAAGCTCTACACCCCCAGTTGTGTGTGTGTGTGTGTGTGTGTGCAGATGTGGCAGATACGGAGATGCACGGCCTGTATCTCTCTTCAAGAGAGGACTTGCTCCCCAACTGTGTGTGTGGGGGGGCTATCAGCAAACAGCTTCTGGCTCTCAGCTCTTTCTGTGTCTGCCCCAGGTGCAGAGAGATGCTCTGCCTGACTCACAGCTTTCCAGAGTAACTGTGTCCAGTGACTGAGTGAGGCAGGGACGTACCAGTCTGCTTCCTGCTACCAGACTCGGGACTCTGAGGCAGAGCATACTGGCTCCTGAGCCCCAGCCAGTTGGCTGAGGCTTTGTCTGGTCTGTGCCTCAGTTCAGCTTCTCCCTCTGCCCATTTATGCTTCCTTCCCTCCTTCCTTGCACGGATGGTGTCCAAGTGGCAAGAACAGTATTGCAAATTATGTAATACGTATTTCAATCATTGAGTATTTTCTAACTTGTACTGTCCTAAGTGTAAGGGACACAGTATTTCACTGAAGAGTCCAAATGGATGTGACAGCAGGTTTGTTAGCTGTGTTTTGATTCAAATATCTGTGGCTATTGGAAGCAGGTGATAATTGCCTTCTTATCTCTTTATAGTAGGCAGAAATCACTATATATGAGAGAAATGCATGCTGTCATTATTTTAGGTTCTTATCATTGGAACTCTCAGCCAATGTGTTAAATGAGAAATACTGCTGAAGAACATAGTGGTTGAAGTCAGAATGGCTAAAATTAACAAGTCAGGGAATGACAGATGTTGGCAAGGATGTGGAGAAAGGGGAACCCTCCTACACTGTTGGTGGGAATGCAAGGTGGTGCAGCCAATCTGGAAAACAGTATGGAGGTTCCTCAAAAAGTTGAAAATAGAGCTACCATATGATCCAGCAATTGCACTACTGGGTATTTACCCCAAAGATACAAAAGTAGGGATCCGAAAGGGTACGTGCACCCCGATGTTTATAGCAGCAATGTCCACAATAGCCAAACTGTGGAAAGAGCCAAGATGTCCATCGACAGATGAATGGATAAAGAAGATGTGGTATATATATATACAATGGAATATTATGCAGCCATCAAAAAATGAAATCTTGCCATTTGCAACACTGTGGATGGAACTAGAAGGTATTATGCTAAGTGAAATAAGTCAATCAGAGAAAGACAAGTATCATATGATCTCACTGATATGAAGAATTTGAGAAACAAGACAGAGTATCATAAGGGAAGAGAGGAAAAATTAAACAAGATGAAACCAGAGAGGGAGACAAATCATAAGACTCTGAATCTCAGGAAACAAACTGAGGGTTGCTGGAGGGGAGGGGGTGGGAGGGATGGGGTGGCTGTGTGATGGACTTTGGGGAGGGTATGTGCTATGGTGAGCACTGTGAATTGTGTAAGACTGATGAATCACAGACCTGTACCCCTGAAACAAGTAATACATTATATGTTAATAAAAAAATTAAAAAAAAGAGAATATAGTGGTTGAGAGCATGAGCTCTGGAGTAAAGCTGCCTGAGTTCAAATCCTAACTTCACAGATGGCTGGGCAACTTAGGCAAGTGGCTTAACTTCTCTGTGCTCTAGTTTCCTCATCTGCAAAATGAAGGCAACACTAGTATCTTCTTCAGGGATGTAATGTGGATTAAGCGAGAAAATGTTGGCAAAGTGATTAACATTCAGTCAGTCATCAAGTCAGCAAGGGTTAATACTAGCTCTTTAGCCAGTAGAGATATTTACTATTATTTAGAATTATTCGAACATTTCAAAGCACCACGTAACACTGACACTTTCTGGTCACCATATGGTGGGAAAATTATTATTCTCAGTGGTGAGAAGAATACAGTAGCAAGAATATTTACTGAACACCTGATAGTGTTGGATCTGGCATCAATCTTATCAATTGTCTCAGGTATGACTATTATCTCCATTTTGTAAATAAGAAAAACTGGATTAGAAGCTTGTCCAAAGTCACACAACCAGTAGGAGCGTGGCTGGGGTTCAAAACCAGGTCTGTGTCACTACGAGGGCAGTGCCCACACCTCTAATTTAGTGATACTTCATGTCAGGTGTCATGAAAAAACATCGATTTTCAATTTTGTTTTGTACAACCGTGTGATATCTTGGCCCTTATTTCCCTGGTGGCTAAGCACACGGGATCTGGAATGCAACCTTGGGGTTCACATTCTGACTCTACTACTTGCTGTGTGCTTTTGGGAAAATTACTTAACCTTTCTGTTTTTGCCTCATCTGTAAAATGGAAACAACACAAGTCTGTTGTGAGAATAAAAGGAGAAGAGGGCTTAGCAAACAGCAAGTGATCAGTCAATATTATTATTACTGTTGTTTTTATTTATCTCTTAGGTGTCTGATGTTCAACGAATGCTTGAATCCAGGCTCTTGGACATTGGTTCATGCTTCCATAATGGTGATAGGTAATAATTAGGGAAATAGAGAGTTACTAAGAAATATTCATCGCATTTGCATATTATGCTAAATAATCTACATCAGGGGCTGAATGAAAGGGAGTTATTTGAAGTGACCAGAAAACCTTCCTGAGATAATACGTACTTTGAGTCTCACAAAAAATACAACTAGCAGACAAGGTAAGAGATTACAAAATTATTTCAGAAGTAGACTGAAGAAGAAAGGAAAACACGTTTGTTTAGGTAATGTAATTCATCATTGCTTTTGACCAGCAGCACATTGTTATAAACAAGGGTAGGAAGTCTCAAGCCCAGATATAAGGCAACTACCCATCATGTCATGGGTACTGCAAAGCTCCACATGAGATGTCAGAGGACTAGCTGAGGAATGGAAAGAGCTCAGTTTTCAGTCACCAACAACTGTTTCTAATTGGGATCCAGCACTTCCTGGATGTGTACTCTTGACTGCATTACTTAACTTGCTGAGGCCCAATTTCCTCACCAGAGTAGTATAATATTCATTGGTGTGGAGACTGAATGAGATAATGTACACAAAACCCCAACCCCCACAGGGTGCCTGGGTGGCTCAGTTTTAGGTGTCTGTCTTCAGCTCAGGTCATATACCAGGGTCCTGGGGTTGGGCTCCCTGCTCGGTGGGAGGACTGCTTCTCCCTCTCCCCCTGCTTGTGTTCCTGCTCTTGCTATCTCTCTCTCTGTCAAATAAATAAGTAAAATCTTAAAAAAAAAAAAAACCCTAACAGAAGGCCTGCCACATAGAAGGTACTATTGTTCATCCCAGGAGTTTTGATTTCACATAATAAGCCAAACCATTCTTTTCTTTTCTTTCTTTTTTTTTTTTTGAAGATTTTATTTATTTATTTATTTATTTATTTATTTATTTATTTATTTATTTATTTATATATTTAAGAAAGAGGGCACATGAGTAATGGGAGGGGCAGAGGGAGAGAGAGAATCTCAAGTAGACTCTGCATAAGTGCAGAGCTGGACATGGGGCTCAATCTCACGACCCTGAGATTGTGACTTGAGCCAAAACCAAGAGTTAGACGTTTAACTGACGGCACCATTGAGGTGCCCCCAAACCATTATTTTCTATACCACTCATTTGTCACTTATTCTTAGGCTACAAATCTTTTGTCCAGTTGCTCTGTAATGTTGCCAAATTCTTGAATTATTTAATGTAAACATCTCCTTAAATATACTATACATTCTTTGAAGTCATGGATCATGAATAAATTTCTACCACTCATTTCAGTTGCACACAAAGAAATAGGAACAAAGTGTAGCCCCTCAGCTTCTAGAAGATAAGACAAACACACAAATATATCCAAGATAAAGAAATATATGACACAATCTTATATGTATTAAATGTGATATAGATATTCATGATCTGTTTCTCATTTCAAAAATTAGTATTTCATGGTACATTTTTCTAGTCAAATAAACCACACAAAGGTTTTGTGTTTGCAAAGATGGATCCATCTGTTCATCCATCAACCCACTATTTACCAAGTAGTTACAAAAAATTAATTATTTGTCAGGTGCTCTTCTAATGTGTTGTTTCAGAACTCTAATGATTTATAAAAATTTTGCAATATACAATAGTTTGCCATACCGTTCCGTTGACAGGATCTGTGGCCTTAAAGGATAATAATGGGGTCATGTCTGTTATTCTTTCTAATCCTTTGGTGCCAATCCGATTTCCTTCAGGTGTGGTTGTAAACCAGGTGCCTACATGAACCTCCACAGGAGTTACTCTTTGAACTGTCTCTGGGTGAGGTTCATGGCTTTCATTCTTATGTGCAATTGATGACTGATTTTTGTGACTTTTTCCTGCAGAAGTTCAAGTAAAATCAAACACAGTATAATTATAATATCAATTATATAGATTATTCATTAAGTTTTAACACACTGTAAGCTACATCAGACACTGTGGCATAGAAATTCTAAGTTGTATTCATCAATTATATTATTTCTCAAGTGGGAAAAATACCTATTCTGGTCAATTTCTGTATAATTTTGGGTATTGCCTATAGCTCCCTGGATTCCAGATTTGGGGTTTTGTACCCTAGTTTTTAAAGCTTACCTTTGCTCCGTACCTCAGATTCCTTCTTTTGACTTACTGAACTCTAGCATTTTCCCAGATTTTTAACTCTTCATTCCCCTGATTTTGTCATTTTGTTAGTCTTAGATAGGAGACAGCTTTCTTTAGCTCTGGATCTGGAGAACTTTACCAACCAGGCATATACCTTTGGCCTCTCACTAGGGGAGAGGATTTGTACAATTCAACTACTACATGGATAATCATTTGACGCATCCCTCCTCCCAATCCCCCCCAACACCACCTATTTGGAAAGGAATACAGAACTGAAAAAACCTTATCGAACTCTGTGAATAATACCTCAATCCCTGTATCATGGATAGATTTGCTCCATTTGTATAAATAATGATGAGTGATCTGTAGATGAGATTGGCCAGTGTTATCAAACCTCAATGATGATGTAAACTCAGACCCAGAAGCAAATTACAAACAAAGGTAGTGAAGGATTATTAGCTCTAGGAAGATTCCTCAGATTCAGAGTATGAAATGTGCACCAGAGCATGGATCTTGGCCTAAGATGCAGATTTAACTAATGGGACGAGTCCAATAAGACATATGCAGGAAGCTAAGCTTTAACTTTGCCCAAATTTAATTTGGACTTATTTCTATTTCCAGAGCATTAAAAGAGAACTGATAGACCTAACGAAATTATTTAGAATGACTCTCAGAGAGTCAAAGTAATAGAAATAATAAAAGAGAGGTAAAAGTCTCTTATATATGCAAAAAATGGAACAGAAACAACATTTAAAGAGGTAATTATTGAGAATTTTCCAGACTAAATGAAAGATACTAATCCATAGATTCAATAATCCCAATTTATTCTCACTTGGATAAATAAAAAGAAATCCACACCTAGCTAAATTGTATTGAAATTATAATAAGAAAAATAAAATATTTTCAAGGCAGTTAGATTATCTTCACGGCAACAACAATTAGACTGAGAGCCAACTTTTCGACAGCAACAGTGGAAGCAAAAAGAATCTAAGGAATTTTTGTCAATATGCTGGAGAGGAAACACCTATTAATCCAGAATTCTGTACCCAGTGAAATTATCATCCAAGGGTGGGGACAACATAAAGACATTTTCAGAAAATACCTGTTATACAATAAATGGATTAGAAGCTCTGGTTAAAAGACAAAAATTATCAAATTAAAATTTTAAAATATTCACCTATAAGTTGCTTACAAGAGATATATTTAAACATAAACCACTGAAAGTAAAATAAAGTATGAAAAAGTTATAATGCAAAGGGATTAAACAATAGCTGGTGTGGCTATAATAATATAAGCAAATAGACATAAGGGCAAAAAAAAAAAAAAATCCTAGAACAAAAAGCCACTGCTTACTGATAAGAAGTTAAATTTACCATGAAGATATCTAAATTTGTAAGTTAATAAAATCACATCCACAAAGTATATAAAGAAAAACCTTACAGAACTATTAAAAAGATATAATAATTTCAGAAATAAAGATTAAATTATAAGGAGTATAGCACCTGGATAGACTATTTTACCCTTATTTAAACATACTTCTGCTACATCAAAAACTAATGATGTACTATATGGTGACTAACATAACATAATAAAAAAATAAAAAAAATAAAATACTATTTTCACTCTCAAAAAAATAAAAAACATAAGTAAATATTAGTATTATTATTACTAAAAAAATTAACATACTTCTGTTGAATAAACTGATATAGTAGATTAAAAATATCCATGAAGTTATACAATAGGGATTGGCAAATTTTGACATGTAGAGCAAATACGGCTTGCTGTCTGTTGTTGTAGTCTGTGAAGTAATGCTTCTTTTGACATTTCTATATAGTTAAAAAAATCAAAACAATACTATTTTGTGATACATGAAAATTATATGAAATTCAAATTTTAGCGTCCATAAATAGGTTTTATTTAAATCCAATACACCATTTCATTTAATTATGTATGGTCTATGGCTATTTTCATGCTACAACGGCAGAGGTGAGTAGTTGTGACAGGGACAATATGGCTCATAAAGTCTAAATAAACACTGGGTGTTATACACAACTAATGAATCATTGAACACTGCATCAAAAACTAATGATGTACTATATGTTGGCTAACTGAACATAATAAAAAAAATATTTACTATATTGCCCTTTGCAGAGAAGTTTGCTGAACTTGAAAATAGATTGGATAACACACCTAACAGTTTTGATCTAACAGTTATAAAGAGAACACTATACTCAATAACTGCAGGATACATGCCCTTTTCAATCATACACAGACTTTTTTAAACACTTGCCCATATTTGAGGCTATATATCATGTTTCAATGAATTTCAAAAAATTGGTTAAAAATTGATTATTTAAAAATCCTAGAAACACTTCACAGTTTTGGAAATTTAGAAACATGTTTAAGTAACTTGTGGGTCAAAAAGGAAGTCATTATGGAAATTAGAAAATATTTAGAGCTAAAAAAATAATGAAAATACTAAATAGTATTTCTTGTGAGATGGGAGAAGCACTTCTGGAATGGCAAGAAAGGACCTTCAAAAAGCCATTCTTCCAACAAAACAGTGAGAACACTGGAAAAAAAAAATCAAAATCAATTCTATGGGGCGCCTGGGTGGCTCAGTCGTCAAGCGTCTGCCTTTGGCTCAGATCATGATCCCAGGGTCCTGGAATCGAGCCCCGCATCGTGCTCCCTGCTCAGTGGGAAGCCTGCTTCTCCGGCTCCCACTCCCCCTGCTTGTGTTTTCTCTCTTGCTGTGTCTCTCTGCCAAATAAATAAATAAATAAATAAATAAATAAATAAATAAATAAATAAAATCTTTTAAAAAAACCCAACTCTTTCAGAACTCTGGAAATAAACCAAAGAATTGCAACAATCAGCTGAATCTCAGGAAGAACCACTGCTTTGTGGTGTTACAACTTGCCCGATTCTCATCCTCCATCTTCCCCATCTCCAACTGTGCAGGAGCCTTGAAAAACAGTAGCCTTGGAATCACAGTAGCTGTGAAAGCCAACAGTGTGGCAGCTGCTGGAGGGGGCCAATAGGCCTGGAATTCTCCCTAAAAGCCCCATTCCTAGAGACTCATCATTGTTTGCTCTGAAAATTCCCCGAAAATCCTCACTCTGACCTGAATCAGAATTCACTCACTGTAAACAGCCTTATGCTGGGGCCCTTGTTGAAACAATCGGTGGCCATTAATCATCATGTGGCTGTCTCAGGCAGCAATAATAGTTGGGGCAAACAAGAGGCTGACCTAAAAACTTGAAAAGCTGGAGAATTAGATGACTGTAGGGACTTTGAAAAATTCTGCCATTTTCCTGTGGCCAGATGAATGTGTAGGATTGTACTCATGTCCAGGAAAGACCTGAGAAACACCAAATCTCTCACCTCTGGCTGACCTTGAGGCTAAGGCTAGGGTTTAAACTGTGAGAGTGATGAAGGAATGCCCCAATAAGCTCCCTTGGCAAAGGCTGGGAGACTTTTTGGCTTGAGGCATGTAAGTAAATCCCCACCTAATCACTAGCTGATCACTAAGCTAATACAGCAGAGACTTTAGTAGCCACACAGGACAAAGGAGAAAGACTTGCAAGAATAAGTTCAGGAAAGTCACTAAACAAACAGCAATGACAGCAACAACAACAACAAACACCGGGGGCTGGGATCTTATTTCCAAAGTTGCTGCAAAGCAAAAAATATTGGAGTAAGAAAGTTCAGCAAGGTTTCACTATACAAGGCCAAAATACAAAAATTCAATTGTATTGGTGTACACCATCAATGAACAACCCCAAAATAAAATAATTCCATTTATGATAGGATCAAGAAGAATAAAACACTTAGGAAAACTTAACAAAACAATTGTTAATAATCGTATACTGAAAACTATAAAAAAGTGCTGAATGAAATTAAAGAAGACCTAAATAAATAAAAAGATATCCCTAGTTCATGAATTAGAGACAATATTGTTAAGATGTCAATGCTCTCAAAATTTATCTACATGTTCAGTGGAATCTCTATAAAAATCCCAGCTGCCTCTTTTGCAGAAATTAACAATCTGATCCTAAAATTCATACAGAAATGCTACAGAACCAGAATAGTCAAAATTACATTAAAAAAGTAAAACAAACGTGAGTGACTCAAACTTATAAAGCTATAGCAGTCAGGACAATGAGATGTTGGCAAAAGGATAAACATATAGATCAGTGGAGCAGAAATAAGAATCCAAAAATAAACCTTAACATTTATGGTTAATTGATTTTTGACTGAGGTGCCAACCAATTCAATGCGAGAAATAATTGTCTTTTTAATAAACTTGAAAGAATGAATTTGGACCCCTATCTCATATCATATAAAAAAAATCATATAAAAATGGATGTACAAGCCCCTAATGCAAGAGCTAAAAATTTAAAACTCTTAGGAGAAAATACAGGAATAAGTCTTTGTGACTTTGGATTATGCAATGATTTCTTAGATACAGTACCAAAAGTACAAGCAACCAGAGGGAAAAAAAACCAGATAAATTGGACTTCAGCAAAATGGACACCATGAAAAGACACCAATAAGAATATGGAAAGATAGCCCAAAGACTGGGAGAAAATATTCACAAATCATGTATCTGATTTGTATCTGATCAGGAACTTGTATCCAAAATACACAAAGTATACTTACAACTCAAAAGTAAGAAGACAAATAATCCATTACAAAATTGGGGCAAGGATTTGAATAGACATTTCTCCAAAGAAGATAGACAAATGTTCACTAAACACATGAAAAGGTATTCAACATCACTAACCATTAAGAAGATGCAAATCAAAATCAAAATAGGATACCACTATTATGCCCACTAGAATGGCTCCAGACAGAAAATAACAGTGTCAGCAAGAATGTGAAGAAATAGGAACCCCCTCATCCATGCTGGTGAGAATAGAAAATAATGCAGCTTCTTTGGAAAACAGTTTGTCGGGTGCTCAAAATTAGAAACAGAGGCACTATTCTAGCAATTCCACTCCTGGGTATCTACTCAAGAGAAATGAAAACATACGTCCACACCAAAACTTGTACAGAAATATTCATATCAACTTTATTTGCAATTTCCCAAAAGTGGAACAACCCGTATGTCCATCAAATTGATGCGTGGATAAACAAAATGTGGTGTATCCATACAACAGAATATTACTCGACCATAAAAATGAAGTGCTGACACAAGTTACAACATAGATGACCCTTGAAAATATTATGCTAACTAAAAGAAGCTAGTCACAAAAGGCCTTATACTGTATGCTTTTCCTTATGTGAAATGTCCAGAATATGTCAATCCATAGTAACAGAAAGTAGATGGGTGGTTCCAAGGTTCTGGGTAGAGGGAAAAAGAGAGTGTCGGCTCATGGGTACTGGTTTCGGGGAGAAGGTGAGGGGAGAGAGGAATAAATAGAGCACAGGTTTCCTCCGACTCCCCCGGGGGGTAAAATTATTCTGTATGTTATTGTAGTGGTAGATTGACTACATTATGCATTTGTCAAAACTCTTAGAACTATATAACGCGAAGAACGAACCCTAATGCAAACTATGGACTTCAGTTAATAATAATGTCTTGATATTGGCTCATCAATTATAACAGATGTGTTTAAAATAAGGAAAACTGTGAGCCAGGTAGGGAGGAAGTGTAGGGGAATTCTGTACGTTCTGCTCATTTTTTGGTAAACCTAATATTGCTCTTAAAAAGATAGTCTATTAGGGTTTTTTTTTTTTTTTAAATGTATTATCTTAGATGGATGGGCTTTAAAGAAATCTGGAGCACACCATGCTGGAGGCAGAAGCCCTTTGGAACCCAGCCAAGCTCTAAGAGAAGTGGTTACCCTTACATCAAGTTTTCTCCCATCAAAAAAGGAGGGGAGGCTTTGAGCTGGGAAATTTGAAAGCAATGAGGACGCTTTCATTCCCTTCAACCAAGAACCCTCAGCTACTACTAAGGAAAAGTCTATTTCATTAAATTTTGAGTGTAACCCCAGTCAGAATGGCTAAAATTAACAAGTCAGGAAACGACAGATGTTGGCGGGGATGCAGAGAAAGGGGAACCCTCCTACACTGTTGGTGGGAATGCAAGCTGGTGCAGCCACTCTGGAAAACAGTATGAAGGTTCCTCAAGAAGTTGGAAATAGAGCTACCATATGATCCAGCAATTGCACTACTGGGTATTTACCCCAAAGATACAAAAGTAGGGATCCGAAGGGGTACGTGCACCCCGATGTTTATAGCAGCAATGTCCACAATAGCCAAACTGTGGAAAGAGCCAAGATGTCCATCGACAGATGAATGGATAAAGAAGATGTGGTATATATATATATACAATGGAATATTATGCAGCCATCAAAAGGAATGAGATCTTGCCATTTGCAACGACGTGGATGGAACTGGAAGGTATTATGTTGAGTGAAATAAGTCAAACAGAGAAAGACATGTATCATATGATCTCACTGATATGAGGAATTCTTAATCGCAGGAATCAAACTGAGTGTTGTTGGAGTGGGGGGTGGGGTGGGAGGGATGGGGTGACTGGGTGATAGACACTGGGGAGGGTATGTGCTCTGGTAAGCGCTGTGAATTGTGCAAGACTGTTGAATCTCAGATCTGTACCTCTGAAACAAATAATGCAATATATGTTAAGAAAAAAAAAAAAAGAAGAAGAAGAAGGTAGCGGGAGGGGAAGAATGAAGCGGGGGAAATCGGAGAGGTAGACGAACCATGAGAGACGATGGACTCTGAAAAACAAACAGGGTTCTAGAGGGGAGGAGGGTGGGAGGATGGGTTAGCCTGGTGGTGGGTATTGAGGAGGGCACATTCTGCATGGAGCACTGGGTGTTGTGCACAAACAATGAATCATGGAACACTTCATCTAAAACTAATGATGTAATGTATGGGGATTAACATAAGAATAAAAAAAAAATTTTGAGTGTAACCAAAAAGGGAATTCAGTTTGCCTCTAAGCAAGGTTACTGGTTACTATGGGGAGATGTGTGAAATTGACAAAGAAGATTAAATCTTGGTCTCAGATCACCTAAGTCCTATGAGAAATTGAGAAAAATTTGCAATGCAGATGCCCAGTCTCCAATCCCAGCTCTACCACTTAGTAGCTGAGAGACCTCGAGGAAGTTACTCCACCTCTCTGTGTCTCCATTTCCTCATTTGTAAAGTGGAATGAATTATTAAAATATGTATCACACAGAGTTGTTATGAGGATTAGCTGATTTAATATTTTAAAGTATTCAGAATTGTGCCTGGTACACAAACACACATCTCCTACATATAAAGATCTCTTAAAAATAAATATGAAAGTAATGAACATCCCAATAGTAAACTAAGAAAATATGTGAATAGAAAATTCACAAAAAGAAAAAAATTGATAAATGTTTAGCCTCACCAATAACAAAGAAATGCAAAGTCACATAATAAAAAGATTATTATCTATCAAATCAAATGGAATAAGATTAAAAGAATAAGGAAATCCAGCATTGGCAAGGGTATGAGGAAGCAGATATTTTTATACTGCATTGGAGGTAGGGATGTAAATCGAGAATATCTCTGAGGAGAACAAATTCATAAATTAGATTATGGTAGGCACGGTTGACTGCTTACTCAAGAGTGATCCAGCTTCATTTTTCCCTAATAGTAGTGCTCATCTCCTAAAAAAAATTCGAAAATGTCAGATGCTTGTTTTCCCAGCCTAGGTCCTTGGCCAGGTCTAGTCAATAGGATATAAGGGGAGGTCTGCTGGTGGGGGAAGGGGGTGGAATCTGGAAATGTTTTCCTCCCTGATAAAAAGAGACACTTGAAAGTTCTTGTATTCACTCTCTTTGCTTTTTGCTTTGAGAGGTATCATATGAGAACCTCACACCTGGAGCTGGTGTGGCCTTCTCCCAGCTTGCAGCTTGGAGGAAAAGGTCAAGAGAACCAAAGAGATGCCTAGTTAGAATCTTGACATCATTGGTCTGCTCAACTAACCCTAAACCAGTAGCCCAGGCATTAGAGCTAATGCTGTGTAAGAGTATATGTTGATTATTTATTACTAAGAGAAAAAAGCAGTTCATGAAACAGTGTGTAGTGCTGTGATTCAATTAAGATGTATACGTATGGGGCGCCTGGGTGGCTCAGTTGGTTAAGTGACTGCCTTCGGCTCAGGTCATGATCCTGGAGTCCCGGGATCGAGTCCCGCGTCAGGCTCCCTGCTCGGCAGGGAGTCTGCTTCTCCCTCTGACCCTCCTCCCTCTCATGCTCTCTGTCTCTCATTCTCTCTCTCTCAAATAAATAAATAAAATCTTTTAAAAAAAAAGATGTATACGTATGTATATATGTGAACTTACATGAGCATATTCATAGAAAAGATGAGAAGTATAAGATTTATTAAATACATTATAAATTGAGAGGCTTCAATTATTACCTTTCTTTGGAATGACAATCTCAGATGGTGCTGTTTCTGACTTTTGCTGAAAAACTGTGTCCATCAAGTCTCCGCTGTGAGGGCTTGGTGGCATTTCAACAGGAGGAAAAACAGGACCTGAATCAGGACTACTGCTCACAGCACCATCTGCAAAGAGAACCTGAAGGAAAAGCAGAAATTCTTACATTCTCAGAAGCAAGAAAGAGGCTGGTTAACATTTAACACAGTGTATCAAACTGGTAGAGGTTGAAATTAATCCAAAGGAAAAACGCTGTTTGCAGACCTCCAGACTCAGCACAAAGCATACTATAGGATGGTGGCTTTGGAGCTCAGAGACTACAGCTTAATAATGAGCATGATAATATATTCAATGTTTTCCATTTACCTTCTATTTTGTTTCTTTTCTTTTTATTTCTTGTCTTTTATTGGATTGACTTGAATTTTTTTTTATATTTATTTGTTTAATTTTTATTTTCTCCATTCTATGCAACTAGAAAATTACCCATTCTTTTTCAATTTATATAATGACTACATTTAAAATTTTATTACATATTTAAATGTTTCATCTCTATCAACAACTATCTCTAGAATGTGTCGTGTCTATATGGATCATCAATACATCTATCTGGATCAGTATCTATAACCTACCAATGAACATGACAAGAACCCCCACCAGTGCTGCTAATGAGAAATCTAACGTCCATCCAGTTCTCATTCTATAGTAGGTAACTGGTTTCCTTTAGGAACTTTTGGGATTGTCTATCTGTGCAGTTCCAAAATTGCACTATGACATATCTAGATGATCTTTTAAAGATAATTAGTATCAATCCTGCTTGGCACTTGGTCGTCCTGTTTAATCCGAAGTTGTTTTTTGTTTTTTGTTTTTTGTTTTTTTAACTCTGGGAGAATTCCCTTGATTATTTCTTTCATTATTTTCCCCCTTCACTCCCACTATTTTCTTCTCCTGGAGATTATATTTTTCAGATCCCTTTTCCACATCTCTTTTAACTTTTCTCTCCCTCATAATCCACTTTCTCACCTTAATTTTTCACAATTGTTTTTCTTCTTTTTTTTCTCCTTTAAAGTTTTTAACTGAAGTATATTGACATACAATATTATATTAGTTTCAGGCATATTATATATATACATATATATAATATACCTGAGTGATATATATATATACACATATCACTGTAACACAGTGATTTGACACACAATAGTCATTTTTAATATCTAAGAACTCTTTATTTTTTTCCACAGCAACTTTTTTTATTGTTATTTTGTAGACTGTTAACTCTCAAGTCTCTGCCTATGTTACTTTTACTCTCAAGTTTTTTGTTTAACAATTTATTCTTATTTTTAGATGCTATTTCTTTAATTTTTTGATTATTCTGTAATTTACTTTCATGCAGTTGGTTTTTCTCTAAGCCTGATGATTCTTGGGTGCATGGTCATTGTTCTCCTTGAGGATCCCTTTTCACTTCTTGGTGGTGTATCCTCTGATCACAGAAGCAATTTCCCTGTGATCACGGGAGGGATAGTACAGGGCATATGGCTTCTGGATATTATGACTTCTGGTTCCCAACCTCCAGGTTAGCAGGTTTTCTCTTGTACATGATTTAAACTTTGCTCTTGTTTCTCCAGCAGTCTGGTCTCATCTGACTTGCATTTTCTAGAAATTCTCCTAATCTTCTGATCCATTGATGGCACATTTTGTTGTTTTCCAGTACTGTTATGAATTTATTATTTAAAAGTGTTTTTTAAATTATTCTAAGGTGCCTTGAGATGTGGAGGAGATAAACACTGTGTTTAGTCTGCAGTCTTGAATCATATACAGAATAAGTTTGTTTGTATCCTGTATTGCACAGAAGACTATACTATTCTCCGTTTGTCATTTTAAGTGTCTCTCCATTTTCAAATGAGTTATCCCTTTTGCCTACCGTAACACTGTTCTTTACCCACAGCTTGTTTGTATTTTACTTTGCAGCAGGAAGGAGTAGTATTTATCTAACATTCTGTTACCTGTGTGGATCCATCCAACATGTATTTCACAACTGTGCCTTGCCTGGTGATAACTCTTGATGCCTCCTGATCCACTGGTGGCATCACCGTTTTGTAGAATTCATAGTGCTTCACCTTCTGGAGGTAGCTCTGCCGAACCATAATGTCCCAAGTGGGTTCCGCATCCGTAAAATTCTGATCTTAAAAAAGAAAAGAAAGACAGCCTTCCTGTGAACTGGGCAATGCTGTGTAGCTGGCGTTTTATCTTTTTGCTTAATTTTTTTCATTCTTCTGTCTACATCTGAATAATGGGGCAGTTTTCATATTATGACCGATGGCCCAGAGCACTGGTGTTTTGCCACCTTTGTTATAGTCAAGTGTAGTAAATACGGTCAGCTACAAGTACTTAATAGGTACCTTTCTCCATGTATAACCCATTCTTCTAATGAATTCCAGGACATCCTTGGCAAAATTAGGAAGGAAGCAGATTTTTGCTCTCTTAGATGTTCCTTTTTCCCCTGTTGGTACTTTTCTCCTGCCTTTGAGGAAGCTCTTGCCCCTGCATGCACAATGCTCTCCTGGGATCTCCTGGTTGCCTGGAGCGCCAGGGGAAGTTCCTCAGGCTTGCCCTTCCTAAATCATTCATCATCTTTCAAAGTAAACATAATCCCCTCATCTCTAACCAAATCCAGACTTTCTCAGGGTTCTATTCTTAGCTGGCAATCAAGGAGAAAAGCACCTAATAAGTTCCTTCAAAAGAAAATATTATTATTGAGAATTTCTGGCATATAGAAACTATTCAGTTTTTGCTAACTGAATACTTTCCTCTTCTCAACTTATAAAGGGACTTATCAACACGTAGTGATTTCAATGACTGTATCAGGCTGACCGAAAAATATTTTGGAATGAGGGCCCTTCATGATACCCTCTAAGTCACAGAAGTATTAGTAACAATAACATAATAAGCATTTACTGAGATGTTTATATATGTTAAATGCTTTGTATATGTGTTTTATTCAGCCCACCTCAACAACCCTTTAAGAGAGACACTCTCACTTTCCAGAGTTTCAGATGAAGAAATGGAGGCTTGAAAGGGTTATAGCTTCTCCAAGGTCACGCAGTCAGTAAGTGGTAGGGCTTGGATTTGAACTAGTCTCTATGCTTAACTATTTTCTCATGTAAAAACAACAGCTGCTACCCTGACCAAAAAACAAACAACCTCCTCCAAATCTAACACTAGAATAGTATGCTCCAGATTAGAAAGTATTTTCGCATTTAATACTTGTAACAACCCTGTTTGGTATATGACATAATTTTATAAATGAAGAAATTCAGGTGGAAAGCGGTTATGACCTGTCCAAGGTCACCCAAGAAAGCTCATTCTTTTTTTTTTTTTTTAATTTTTTATTTATTCATTTGGCAGAGAGAGAGAGAGGGAGAGCACAAGCAGGGGGAGGAGCAGAGGGAGAAGCAGGCTTTCCACTGAGTAGGGAGCCTGATGTGGGGCTCGATCCCAGGACCATGGGATCACTACCTGAGCTGAAGCCAGATGCTTAACTGACTGAGCCACCCAGGCACCCAGAAAAGCTCATTCTTCTTATACTGTGTGACCTTCCCTTCCTCTGTCCAAAGCTGACCCAGAGTAGGTAATGAAACTAATAATAATTAAAAAAACAGGTGAAATAGATATTAAGCTGGGGTTTGATAATAGGATCAAGCAAACAAACCAACAAACAAATATCGTTCTTATCTAGAAATATCTCTGTTAGTACACTCATAACATCTTTGACTTTGACATTGGAAGACCCTTACTGGCCATTACACAGTCAATCCCATCATGGAAAACCTGGACCACTAGGAATCCTTGGAAATAGAAACAAAGTTTCATGGTCTATTTTTCATATTGATAAAGCCTAATGAAAAACAAAATTGAGACCAGCCAGATCAACTGCAACATTTAGTTTCTTTTCATTTGGGTGGCAAGTAAACATGACCTTGAATTAGTTTTCAATAGGTATACTCTTTTTCTTTGATAGATACTCTTTTCAAATATGGTATATGTAAAGGGATTATAATAAAGAGGATATTTGGTTGTGAATAAAGGTCAGGATCTACTGATACAACAAAACATTTATCAGATGAAGAAACATGGTCCAGAGATAGTAAGGTAACTGAAAGGGCCATATATAAAAGTCAAGTCCCAGGCCAGTGCTTGCTTTGTTGCGTCTGCTAATTCTATTGCAATAGTGGGCCTCCATTTAAATGATATTCAAATTCAGTCACTAATGTAGATGCCACATCATGTTAATTAAGGAGATCCTACTTATACTTATTTAGTCATCTTAATAAGTTAGAGGCCATGTACAGAAATAACAGACTTTATAAAATTACATCCTAATATCTAGAACAAACTGATTTCCTTCAACCACTTAACCTGTATTTGCCTCCACTTACCTTATGCTCACTGTCCTTTGATTTGATCAGACCAGCAAATTAATGTACCTTGGCCCTTTGTAGAGCCAGGAAGAGAGGGTCCCACCCCGTAACAGTTGTTAAGAATACTGGCTTTGCCATCGCTGACCAAGAATGACCTTTAATTTCTGCCACTTACGAACTGAGGGACCTGGGAAAGTTAATGAACCTCCTTCCTGAAGCCTCAATTTATTTTGTAAAATGGAATTATTAGAACTTAGCTTATAATAGTTGTATATTTTCATGTACATTAAGTACTTAGTGCTGAGGGCTCAAAAAATGCCGGTCATTATTATTATTAGCTTATTGTTCGTTATCAACAAGTATGCTTAACTGGTAGAAGAATACACACACTGTCAATGGTGATTTAACTGTTTTCTACATGATTTTTGCCCCACTCCCTCTCTGCTCCATGCTGGCTAACACTCACCTGTAGACTCTTGCCCAGTGAAGGTCACCAGGAGTCCATTGGGGCAAGACACATTTAAGTTTTGGAAAGTAGGAACATAAAGAGTCTCTTGTGAAACAAGTTCTGGTTCTACTTCTTCCTGTAAATAATTTAACACATGAATAATTGTTTGTCATTTTCTAAATGAGCTACTAATGTATTGTGACTAAGCCAGCACTTGCTGAGTGCTTAAGATATGATTTGCCCAGGACTAGTGGTCCCTGCAATGGAGCCTATAAAGATGCACGAGTCTCTACCTTTGTGCAATTTATATTCTGCTCATAGAATGGCACACAGCCTTTTGAAACAATTAAATTATAGTACCAAATGGTTAGCACATCTCTCCTCCCAAAATGAAGATATCAAAATTAATGAGAATAATTAGGAAAGGATCATGGAGCAGTTGGGACTCAAAATAGGCCTTGAAAGATGCCTCTGTATGCAAGTGTGGGTGCAAGGGCTGACCAACATGCCCACTACCTGCTTGGTATATCTTTTAAAGTTTGGGTGTTAAAGATGTTATACTACTAGGAAATGTGTCATTATTTTTCTCTAATAAGCATGCATTACTTTTGTAGTGAGTAAAAACAATTTAAAAAGATGTAAAAAGATTATTTATAAACTAATGAAGTTTGGGTGTGTCTACTTTAAAAATCCTAGTTAATTTTATGCTAACTATGCTGAATCCCTTGTTTGGTTACTTGTACTCCAGAATGAATGTTATTTAATTACTTCCAACCAACCCCAAACTGAAATGATAATAATCATGTGTTTTTCCAGTTGGCTCTCTTCTGTTAGCCTCTAAAATCATTCCAGCGGATCCCCTGTTGCTGCACCTATTTTAACTAGTCTTCTACTGTTTATTTTATTTATTTATTTGAGAGACAGAATGAGACAGAGAGAGGGAGCATGAGAGGGGGGAGGGTCAGAGGGAGAAGCAGACTCCCTGCTGAGCAGGGAGCCTGATGCGGGACTCGATGCTGGGACTCCAGGATCATGACCTGAGCCGAAGGCAATCGCTTAACCAACTGAGCCACCCAGATGCCCTCTACTGTTTTTTAACTAGTCTCCTACTGTTGATCATTTAGGTTGTTCTGCCTTTGTTACTAACAAATAATAAATCTGAATAGTTAGCCAAAAATCAATTGAAAACACAAAGCAAGAACGCCTGAGTGGATCAGTTGGTTAAGCATCTGCTTTCAGCTCAGGTCACGATCCCAGGGTCCTGGGATCAAGCTCCGCGTTGGGCTCCCTGCTCAGTGGAAAGCCTGCTTCTCCCTCTGCCTGCTGCCTCCCCTGCTTGTGCTCTCTCTCTCTCTTTCACTCTATCTCAAATAAATAAATAAATAAAATCTTAAAAGAATAAAAACACAAAGCAAAATTAAGAGGAAAAAAATTATGAAGTTCTGTAAAATGAACAATAATGTTCGAAGACATGAACCTGCCATGACAAATTTATCATTACACAAAAAACCAGTAATTATCTTCCACCCTTCTATTATTGTCACTTTTTAAAAATTGTGGGAGAACTGATGGGTTTGCTACCAAATTGCTTTCAGTCAAATTAATGAATTATCTGGGGTTATTCTGCTCAACACTGTGAAATTTTTACTTAATAAGGGTCAAATGTCCTGGCTTGAGAAAAGTCATCTAGTACAGCTAAATAAACATGATGCAGAGATCAAGTGACATACAAACACCATAATGTTTAAAGGGCCAAGGTCTGAAATCAGTATCTCTGATCATTTTTTAACATGTTTTTTTTTTCTTCTAATAAGTTGAGAATTTGTACATTGTACAAACTGTACAGCTGTCCTAGGAAATTTTCAAGATTTCATCAGTGGTTTCCTTCTTGTCTGTATTCTTGTGATCTGTATTCTTGTATTAGGAACACGCCTGGAGTCAAAGCCTCTGTATGTGTGTGTGTCTGCATTTGGTGGCATGGGAAGCAGAGGGTGAACTGCTCTTTGGCCAGAAGCAGGCTGGCCTTCAGTCCTTCAGCCCATCAATATCCAAGCCCAAGTCTACCAAATGGAAGTGTTGCTACTATTTAATTAGAGGTGTTCCTCTTTCAGTTGTTGTTTATCTAATGAAACTAAATAAAGTATTTAGAGATTGGTAGGAACTTAACCAACCAAAAGCAAAGAATACCCAAGACCCAGATTGGAAAAAAGGATGAACTCTTCATTCTGAGTTTAGAAGGAAAGACCTGAGTCCATTTGTATATGACAGTATGTCTGCTGGTGTAGGGACCCAACTCCTGTGTGCAAATCTCTTCTTGTTCATTCAAAATGGAAACTTCGAGGAACGTTAATGCATCTGCACATTAACATACATGTGCTGAAATAACACTGTTGGCGTAACTCGTGATTTTAAAAACGTTAAAATTGAGGGAATAGGGTTTAGGAATCCATGGCAAGTCCTTGCACCTTTTTCTCTTCCTCTTTTGGGTGTTCCTCTTCTTTAAGAGATTCTTTGGGTTTTTCTTTGCCTTTTGTTTTTCCTTTCACTTTGCCTTGAGGAACAGTCACTATAAGAGGAACTACTGTTGTAGTAAGTGCTGATGGGATACTCAACATTGTTTCCAAATTAGGATCCTTATCCTCTATAACAAGAAAAAAGGAGAAAACAAGTAAATTGGACATTCATATTTTACATGTTTGTTAAATAAATAGATAAATGTTTGCATCACAAACACGTTGCCATGCATTTATACCAGTTGGCAACAATTTTTACCCTTGCTGAACATGATTTTTCAGTTGGATAGATTTCAGGGGTAATGTGGTTAATTTAAAAATCAGAATTGTAGTTAAAAAATCTGAGGTACTTAATATTTTGATATATTTGATTGAGTCATTATTTCACTTGTTCTTGCCTTCCCATCTAGATTGTGAACTCCTAAAGATAACCATCTATTTGAGAAATATTTGAGAGGTTCTTACATGCAACATGTTTGGAGCAGTGGGCAATAATGACAAAATATATATAAAAGATCTTATGAAGCCAAAATAGTCTAATGAGAGTTATACTCAAATAGCTTTAATACAAGGACATATTAAATAGGAAAATAATAAGGGATACAAACAAGGAAATTCAGAAACGAGGTTTTTCTAGTTGAGATGATAAAAAGAAGTTTTAGAAGTTGTAAAAGATTGATTTTATTCTGGGTCTAAAAGGATTGTCAGAATTCTCAAAGGCAAGCTGATCTCTGAAGGAATTATGTCACAATCTTCTGAACATCACTGGCCTCTTAAAAGAATTCTATTCTCCTCTGGGTTCCAGGATAATACTCCAACTGGATTTCCTCTTCCTTCTCTGAACAATTTTTTTCTGTCTCCTTTACTGGTTCTTCCTTTTTTGTGAGTCCTTAAGTGTCATTAGATTCCAGGGGGTTTCCATTTATGCTTTTTAAAAAAATTTTATTTTATTATGTTAGTCACCATACAATACATCATTAGTTTTTGATGTGGTGATCCATGCTTCATTGTTTTCTTATTACAACCAGTGCTCCATGCAGTATGTGCTCTTTATGCTTACACACAGATGTTCTCAACTCTGGCTGCTCATAATAATTACTCATTGAATTTTTTATAAAAAGCTCAGGCCCCTATCATGACCCATTGAATCACACTCCCTAGGGATGAGGCACAGGCATTTATATTTGTGAAAAAACACACGTGATTGTGATACACAGCCAGGACTGAACACCTTTATTATATATAGTAGATCTGAGCATCTCACTCACTACTGGGGCTCTAACTGTCATCTACATGCTGATGACTCCAAAATTTACATCATAAGGCATGACCTTTCTTCTCATCATCAGATTAATATTTCTGACTGCCTTTAGATATCTCCCTCTGGTTGTGGTACTGGAGACATTTCAAACTCAGTAAGTCTCTCTTCTCCTAGGAAAGGAAAGCCTCCTATATACTTAATCTCATTTAATGACCAATCAAGCATCTCATTTCTCAAGTTAGACAGTGAGGTATTTGTATCTTCTCTTTTTGACTGATCTCATACATCCAACTAGTCACCAAGCCATCAGAAATTTCTCTTGAATGATGCCACTCCTATCTATTCCTAACTTACCTCATATTCTCATTGATCTCTTATTTGATTTTCTGCAGCAAGTTTCCAAACTGGTATGGGACCTCCAATACCACCACTTCAGTGTACCTTCCAAACTATCACTGAAATTATATTCCTAATATAAAATCCAATCATGTCACTTCCCATCCTTTACTTAAACATCTTTGATGCTCATTGATCTTATAGGGCATTCAGTGCAGACATCCCACCACTCCAGCTACACTCAACTTTTCACCTTTCTATAAAGATGCTATGCTTTTACACAATTTTATGTTTATACACAAATGGTTCTTACTGTCTAGAATTCCCTTTCCTTGTTGCTTTGTCTGGATAGTTCCCATTCATCTCTAAAATCCCACCTCAGATATTATACTTTCTCTCTGAAGTATTTTCTAGCTGTCCCCAGTACTACGTTTATATATAATTTCTAGCACTTTGGCAGTTATTTCTCTATTTATTCTTTTCCCATTAGACAATGAGTTTTTTTTTAAAGATTTATTTATTTATTTGAGAGAGAGAGAGAAGAGAGGAGGAGAGAAGAGGCAGAGGGAGAGGGAGAGAAAGAATCCCAAGCAGACTCCCCACTGAGTGTGTGCCCAATGTGGAGCTTGATTTCAAAACCTGGAGATCGTGACCTGAGCTGAAATCAAGGGTCAGATACTCAAATGACTGAGCCACCCAGGTGCCCCTAGACAATGAGTTTTTTGAGTAGATGTACCATGGTTTTAGTCATCATTGTGGCTCAGTGCCAGCAAGATTCCTGACCCATAAGAAGTACAGTATATAAATAAGTGAATGGCATCCAGTTATAGGCAGCTGGAAACGCCTCCCTCTCATCCCCCTCCATCTACTCATTCAATAAATATTTATTGAGTACCTACTACTATGTACTGTGAATTGGGTAACCAATGATGAAGGAGACTACAAGGAACTTGTAATGGGTAGATCAAATGAAAAAACCCTCAGGTACAATGTCATGTGTTAAGTCCCTGATAGAGGAAATATAGTGCTCCATGGGAACCCAGAATAAGGACATCTAACACAAAATGCCTCCATAAAACTTATACTTTGGCTATACTGCACAATTTGCCTTTCCATAAACAAGTCATGCTTTTATTTTATTGAGCTTTTGCACACACTATTCTTGGTATTTAGAATTCCCTTCCTTTGATTCTTTGCTTATGCAATTCCCACTCACTTCCAAAGACCCAGTTCACATGCTACTGCCACTTGGTCTGTGAAGTCTTTCTCAGAGCAAGTAACCTATAAGCTGTGACCTTGAAAGATGGGAGGAAGTTTAACTGTTGCAAGTGGTGGTGCACCCAGCAGGAGGAAGTGTTCTGAGCAAGTTACAAAGCATGAGAAAATGGCCAGAGATAAAAGAAAGCATTCGAGGAACTAAAAGGCACAAAAAGAATAGGGTAACCAAGATGTAGAGACTGGGAGGCCACCATTATCATTCTCATCCCCTAAAGCTGCGCAGAAAGCCTTCAGGGAACAAAAACCATATAGAACAAACCAGAGCAGATTACTTAGCTTGGCCCCCTGGCAAGGGCGGTACAATTCCACCCCACGGCAAATACACTTGAGAATCAATGCAACAGGCCCCTCCCCCAGAAAATGAGCAAGAACATTCAGCCAAGACCAAGTGTACCAATCAATGAGAACTGCAAAACTCCAGTGATAGGAGAATATAGCACATAGATAGAATTCATGGCTTTTCCCCAAGATTCTTTAGTCTTTCAACTTTAATTAATTCATTTATTTATATTTTTTTCCTTTCCCTTTTCAACCAATTTCTTATTTTATCAACTCCTTTTTAAAATCTTTTTTAATTTTCATCTTTACAGTTACATTCTATCCTTTCAATGTATTTAATTTTATTTTTGTATATATAAGTTTTTCTTTCTTTACAATTTTGAGATGTAGTTTCTTCTTCTTCTTTTTTTTATTCTTATGTTAATCCCCAACATTACATCATTAGTTTTAGATGTAGTGTTCCATGATTCATTGTTTGTGCATAACACCCAGTGCTCCATGCAGAATGTGCCCTCCTCAATACCCACCACCAGGCTAACCCATCCTCCCACAAGATGTAGTTTCTTCTAACAAACTGACCAAAATACACTCAGGAGATAGTGTATTGTTATGTTCTGTTCACCTCTCTGTTTATATCCCTTTTTGTTGTTTTGGGTTTTTTTTTTTTGCTTTTGCTTTTTCTTGTCTTTTATTTCCATTTTTACAATTACATTCTATCTTTTCATTGTATTTAATTTTATTTTTGTACATGAGTAAGTTTTCCTTTCTTTACAATTTTGGGATCTAGTTCTCTAAAACACAGACCAAAATACACACAGAATCCATTATATTGCTCTATTCTGCTTGCCTGTCTGATTATATTCTCTCTTTTCTCCCTCCCAGTTTCTGGTCTCTTCTGATTTGTTTAGTGTATATTTCTCTGGAATAGATGGATCATTGTTGCCATTTTAATATTTTGTTCTCTTGTTCACCTATTCTTTTCTGGACAGAATGACAAGACAGAAAAACTCACCTCAAAAAAGAGAACAAGAGGCAGTACTAATTGCCAGAGACCTAAACAGTATGAACATAAGTAAGATGTTGGAACTAGAGTTCAGGATAATGATTATAAAGATACTAGCTGGGCTTGAAAAAAGCATATAAGACACTAAAGAATCCCTTTCTGGAGAAATAAAAGAACTAAAATCTAACCAAGTTGAATTAAAAAGGCTATTAATGAGATGCAATAAAAAATGGAGGCTCTAACTGCTAGGATAAATGAGGCAGAAGAGAGAATTAGTGATAGAAGACCAAATGATGGAGAATAAAAAAAAAAACTGAGAAAAAGAGAGATAAACAACTACTGGATCACAAGGGGATAATTCAAGAGATAACATATCATAAAGCAGAACAATATTAGAATAACTGGGATCCCAGAAGAAGAGGAAAGAGAGAGGGGGGAAGAAGGTATATTAGAGCAAATTATAGTGGGAAACTTCCCTAAGCTGGGAAAAGAAATAGGCATCAAAATCCCCATAGAGGCACAGAGAACCCCCCACAAAATCAATAAAAATAAATCAACACCCCAACAGATACCAATCTCAGAGACAAAGAAAATCCTGAAAGCAGCTCATGACAAGAGGTCTATAACCTACAAGGGTAGAAACATTAGATCGGCAGCAGACCTATCCATGGAGACCTGGCAGGCCAGAAAGAACTGGCATGATATATTCAGGGTAATAAATAAGAAAATATGCAGCCAAGAATACTTTATTCAGCTAGTATGTCATTCAAAATAGAAAGACTGAAAAATCTTCCAGGACAAACAGAAACTAAAAGAATTTGTGATCACCAAACCGCCCTACAAGAAATATTAAAGGGGATCCTCTAAACAAAGAAAGACCCCAAAAGTAACATAACCAGAAAGGAACAGAGACAATATACAGTAACAGTTCCTTTTCAAGTAATACAATGGCACTAAATTCATATCTTCCA